AATGATCCCATCTAGAAGCTATTTATCGAGGTCTTTCTACGGCTCCACATCAACAGGATCTTTCATTTCAACCAGGAAAACAATATTGTCTATCGCTGGATATTGATGGTACTCCTGTATATTCTTTACCGTGGTTTGTTCAATGAGAAGAAAATTGGTGAAGAGACAATATACAAATACTATTATAATGTATTACTTTTTCTTCGATCCTGCTCCATTTGAAAGTTATTTTTTTCGAAGATCAGATTCTTTATCAATAACAGTCTCAGTATAATTATTTTATTTTACAGTTTATATATGAAAGAGATCGGATGTATGTTTTGTTTTATCAGAAGTGATGGACAGTTTGAGCTACGATGGTAATTCCATAAAGTAATTTGTTAATTGGTGAGGAGACAATATACAAATACTATTATAATGTATTACTTTTTCTTCGATCCTGCTCCATTTGAAAGTTATTTTTTTCGAAGATCAGGTTCTTTAACAGTAACAGTCTCAGTTTAATTGTTTTATTCTACAGCTTATATATGAAAGAGATCGAATGTATGTTTTGTTTTATCAGAAGTGATGGACAGTTTGAGCTACGATGGTAATTCCAGAAAGTAATTTGTTGAGGAATGATAAGATAATGTATCCGAAACGTTGATAATATCATTTTAGTTAGATTAAAAATAGATAAAACACTTTGGGTGGCAGTTGAAACACTGGCAGTCTATCGCTGCCACTGTTTCAGTGGTCACCACCAGTTTCAGTCACCACTGCCAGTGTTTCAACTGCCTCCCGCAGTGCCACATTCTACGCCCTGAAGACGACCGGCAAAGTGGGTCAAAACGTCGGCAAAAATTAAAATAATTTATATATTTTAATTTTTTATTTATTTGATCGCACCCTCGACTAACTCCTTCTCATATTATATCAACGGTCAACCATCTCTACATCATGATAAAACACTTTGTTAATTAAACCATTTTTAGGTATGTATCTATATTTTATTACATTTTGAGACCATTATGTTTAGCCTTTAATATTTCTTACTAGTTTGACTAAAATTTTGACAGTTCTAATAAAACAAAAGGTAATGTTTTTTAATGTTTACTTTGCTGGTTTCATTATATTCTTACACTTATTGATATGCAATATATGGCTGTGAGAACTGGACACTAATCAGCGCCCTAGAAAAAGTTATTGAAAAATTTGAAAGAAAATCCTCTCACGTAAGATAACCGTATTGGAGGACTAACGCGTGGAGAAGAAAGACCAGTAAAGAGTTGTTTACAGAAACTGGTCAATCAGTATCTCATGATATGAAGACAAGGAGGTTTAGATAGATGTGACATGGAGCAATCCATGTGAAAGCCTCTACACGACAATAAATATCTCAATAATAGGCAAAAGATAACGTGTAAGCCCAAAAAGCAGAAGGATAGATACGATCGACAATAACAGATAACTGGAAAGAAATAGCCCAAGCCAGGCAAAGATTGACTAGGCTTGTATAGGTGGCAAAAATCTATGACGTCTGTTGTGGAAACAGAAAAAAAAAACCTTATTGATATGTATCAATATTGTATTTTTCATATATTTCCACAAAAACCTTTCGTAATAAAAAGAAAATATTTTCTTTTAAATTTTAAGTGTAATTACATTATTATGCTATATGATGCTCAGCATTAATCCTGAATTTCGGCAATATGCTTCGGCCAAAACGTTGACTGGTACAATATAAAACAAATAAAATAGTTTAATTCCGCGTTTCCTTGACCCATTAAAACCAGTCAAAACCTTTCATTATCAAACCCATCAAATCTCACCAGAACCATTTCCAGTCCTTTTTTCCCGGGTTCTATTAACTGAGTAAGGTTGGAACTATGGAGGGGTAAAGGGAACATCAGCCCTGGGTGGCAGAATTTAGGAAAGTGGACAAATTACGGTTGATATCTCCACATTAAATAAAAAACGTTTATTTCTGCTTTTTTATTTGTTTCCTTGATTCAGTCAATAAATAAGTTTATGCATAAAATAAGATGTATCGATGTTTATTTTTAAATATATACCGTATTAAATATATATACTTAAAATACCGTTATGAAACTGTTGATTTGTATACGATAAAAAGATGTTATGAAAAAGGAAGTGGTAAAAATAAACGTCCCTTCTGAAAAACAATTTCTAGTTGGGGCTCTCTAACTGTGTTGAAATAAATCATTCATTGAGTTTGATTTTTAGCAGCATAGTCACTTCCAAGAAGGCGTTTATTTGAACATCAATTAATTACATACTCGATTTAGAACGGATACTTCAATTTCAAAAAAGTCTAAAATATAAACCAGGCCTTTTCAATGGTAAAACATTATCTTAACTATCGGAGTTTTTATATTATCGGACAATAAACCTGAAATACCCATAAATCAGTCGAAAATAACTCTGTAGAATGATGGATTAGACATCAATAGGTTGGAGTGGTTGAGTAGGCACAAATGATTTGAAGGGGGCCCTTCAAGAGTGCCCCCCTCCCTGAAGCACCACTCCTCGTGGGTGGATCTCACTCTTTCGGAATTTTTCATATATGTTTATAGGTACCTGAGGTACAATTGATACAAAATTATGATAAAAGAAAATTTTGGCTTTAATATGAAATTTCTTGAATGCATACAATATGCACTAGACATTATTGGTTAGGAGTTCAATTATTTTTATCAAATGATTCAAAACTTCTTCACTGTTAAATTTAAGACAAAATCGTCATAGTCTAATTTTACCACGTGTCCCATAACATGAGTTGTCAACTTTGATGGCAATTAAGTTACCTATTTCTACTGTTATTAACATACTATTTTTTCGCATTAGAACCACTAGTCATATGAGCTATTAGGTTTTATGAGGAATGAGGGGGTCTGTTGTCAACATAAAAAAAAAACGGTATTCTCTCAGTCCTAAAGATTTTATCTATTTCCATAGAGCTCTATTGAAAATTCTGCCAAAATTTTTCTGAGATTTATATATTTATTTTCATAATTAGAAAACTACGGGAGGCTTCCATCAAATTATGGATAATCTAATTTAGTTCTCGTTTCAGTTTTAATTTTCTCAATTATACTGCGATACGTTGAAAATTGTGTTATACATTAAAGTAAAGTTATGAATTTTTACATCTATCAATCAATATATTGAATCTATCTGTAAACTTACGGTTATCACGAATTCAAAAACTTCCTATGTTATACATATCGAAAAAGTGTTTAAGGTACAAAAATAAAATTCTACAGAGTAAATACGTATGGTAAAACAGATATAAATATAATTCATAAAATCCTGAAAAACTCTATTTGATGTGGATTGACTCTGCTGCAAGTAAGATTTAATCTATTAGGAATTAAACGATAATAATATTCGTTAAAATTCAATTTGATTAAATACAGAAGTTGAATTCAAGTATATCTACACAACCTATCTTACTAATATACTTATATTATATCATAAACATATTATTAACTATTAAAGGTTGTTTCGGGCAAAGTAACGAGGCAGGGGAATAATAGTTGTAATCGCTGATGGTTGTCAGTATGACCAGGTTTCTCTTCCAATGCAATCAACCTTTCCATTTCTCCTCTAATTACACCCATCAAACACCCACCATTCAGCTTTTTTTACTTTTTGCATGTCAATGCCCTCCGGACACATCATTAGAACGTGCCTTCAGTGAAAAATTGTTATCGCGAAGCTACACTAATTACTTTAGCGTCGTTGCGCATAAACAATGGTTAGCGTGCTTGCCGAATCACATACACAGGTTTATTCTGTTGTTTGATCAACAACTAAAAAAACTGCATATTGTCTGAAATATCTCAGTCTACCCGGGCAGGTCATTTACTAATTACTAACCTTTTCTGGCAGAATGTATTTGTCAATATTAACTCGTTGGTCCGGAACAAAGAAATAAAAATTTATATTCACAGGAATTCGACTCAGGGCAAATTTAAATCTTATGTGATTACATTCTTTGTCATCTCGCCTCACCAATGTTATTTCTAAAATAAACATATTTTTTTCCCAAATTTAGTAGTGCATTTGCCGATATTTGTTAACTTCGTTTTCATTTATATTTATTTTTATTTAGAAAATTCATATTAACTAAGAATAAGTGGGTAATAATTAATCTAATTCTACTGTTACTGTGTTTACGATTAAAAATCGAATAAGTGATGTTATTCATTTTAAAATAAATTCTTTATATCAAAAATTTTTTTTACGTTTCATCATAGTTTTGTTTATCATTTATTCATTTTTTTTTCTATTGGATAAGAGTACCATAGAGGTGAAAAATCAAAGAAATTGTCAATAACTTTCTTTGATTTATTTTTAGGTCTTTACCAATAGGTTTTTAACTAATCAACCTATCCTTATATTTCATTGTTATTCATTTTTGATGTGGTATACAATACAAATTACGATTGTATTTTTTGTCAAAGTACTACTATGTTTCTATTTCCTGGAAGTCCCTCTTCAGAAAATAGATGCTTTACTATTATGCTATTACTGTTAGATATATTGTTAGATATAGATTGTTATATATAATTATCACTTTTATACTATTATAGGCAAAGATAGACTCTATTTGTATGCGTTGTCCCTCAAAACAAATAAAGATTAAATAAATAAATAAATATACTATTATAGATGCCATGAAATGTAAAACTAGTTATCAGAAAACTAACCAATATTTTGACCGTTTTTTAATAACCTTTATTAGTATTTTTTTTTTAATTCATTAAAACATTCAAATCAGAGAATATGATATCTGTATGGATGAGAATTATTTCCTAAAATATTTTAAATATTATTTTAACTGTTTGCCAGTATTCTTAAATTGAAATCAACGATGGCTCTAGTATAAATTTAAAATTTGATCTGAGATATTATCCTTTTCCGCCCATTCTATTTTATTTTTTTTTTTTTTTGTTAAAAATAAAATTCACATCAAGATATTAGAGTCAAGTGTCATGGCCGCAACACAGTTAAATAATTCTCTCGCTCTGTGTTTGTTCCCTTGTCATTTATACTGCAGTTAGAGTTTGTATACAGTAAGTTTTTAAACATTCAAATATTTTCTCAGACACATATAGTGAGATAAGTTGCTTTTTGTTTATAATTAACAAATTAAAAATTGATGTTTTTGGTAAAGATAGTTCGGGAACTCGATGCATTTAATACAACTCATAAAACATACATGTTAAAATAGTTGTAATACATAGCTTCAACAAAAATAAACACGAAAACTCATTTCTGCCGGCCTAAAGCTCTTATTAAGGGTCTAATTAGTTTAATTAGTAATGACTCATATCACGATAACTTGCCAATCGAACGTAAGATTAGTTCTTGTTTCTCAAAGGCGATAAAAATATATTTCTGGCTAGCACAATATCCTTGCTAATGTTCACTAAATATTATCTTAAAATATGAATAAATTTGATTACTTACAATCTACAGGGTGTCCCGTAAGTAAGAGGAAATATGTAAAGAGGTGATAGGGGATCTTAAGAGGTACAAAAAAGTTTAAATAAATAATTGGTCGATTTGTAACAGGAAAGTAGGAAATTATAGTATTGTGATTTTTTAAGTAAGTCACGTTTTCTGTTGAATAGAAAGCGATAATTAAAAAAACTATTTAATTTAAGAAATTTACTTACAATTACTTCACTGAGAACTAGACATAAATTTTTACTAAAATCTCTAATAAAAGAATTAATGCGTATTTATAAGTGAAGAAATAAATGATTCTTGTCCTAAAATAAAGAAATCTGATGATTGTATCAATTATTTTCACGAAGATGCAAATATTAGTATCAAGGACATTTAGTTTATAATTTATAAATACGGATCAATTAATGTAATGTAGATCTTATCTTAGTAAAAAACACTTTTTATTTTTCTACCTTTATTACTTTCACTTACGTATATATGTATTATATACGTAAGGGTAAGTATTGCGATCGAAAAAATTTTTGAATCTGAGTTTTCAACAGAAATACACATTTTGAGGTGCCCTGAGGTGAAATGACCAAGTCCCGAAAAATGGTCTGTGTGTCTGTATGTTAGTAGTCTAGCTCAAAAACGAAAAGTCCTACTAAACTGATATTACGTATTTAAGATAGGTATATGCCTTAGATGTGACGGCAAATTTTTCCTTAAAATCGGCTAACCGGAAGTGCCACTTTATATTTACGCTGAAACACATTTTCACAGTTTTCTCAAAAAAGGCTCTAACGATTTTGATTAAACTCGGTGTATCTTTGTATAATTAAGTGGTCTTTAATATCAATCAGGTCTTATCCCCATTGATGTCACTTTACAGAGCTTAAATGCCCAATGTTCATATACGTCTTCCTCTAAAGTACCTTTAATGTGGTTTATTTTAAAAAGTTAATCATTTCACATTATTCAAAGTTATGAAAAAATGCTAAATATAACTTTTGAAAGAATTTGATAAGTTAATAAAGGAGAAAAAAAATAAAAATGCAGAAAAACCTGCATTGTTATAGACTGCAGCGCCTAAACGAATGTACCGATTTCAATGAAACTTCGCTAAAGTCATTTCCTCGACATCCTTTAAATTTATCTATATAACATACTTCAACGAAAAGAAGCTGGAAACAAAGTTCCGAGGGATGGTAAAATTAAATTCCGAATAACTCAAAAAGTATACACTTTTGGTTATGGTTTTTTAAAAGGTTATGGAATTTACAAAAAAAAAAAAATGGTCAGTTTTTTTCCCTGAAGAGGCGAAAATTTGGATATATTTAAAATATACTTTTTTAATTGTTGAAACTAAAAAAAAAACTTTTTTCTACAGATATTAATTAAAGTATCTTTCCTAAGAACAGTTCCATAAGAAATAAGTACATAAATTCATACCTTTATTCTCAGTTCTATATTTCAACACTGCAATTACCACCTCCGGAATTAACTTACTCATATTTTGCATAGATAACTTCTTCGACTAAAAATATCACTAAAATGATATCACTCAAAAATGTTGAAATTGGAGTTAGTCATTCTGAGGTTTATAAAAGCAAAGAAAGTTGTGTCGTTTATAAAAGCAGATGGAGTGACTAGATTTTTATTGCCTGTCGTCGATATATTAAATAGACATTTTGTAATCATAATGGTCTTAATGCCTTGTTATCTGTAAGCTTTAAGCTTTAGCTCCGTTTAAAATGCACTTCAAAAAAAATTATAATAGCCCAGCATTGCCAGAAAATAATTTCTATTCATAGTAGATCGGTAAGTGAAAGTTGTGTGTTGCGTGTACCAGATTTTTTTATATTATATTACTTTCCTAGGTAAGGAAAGTATTGTGATCGGGTCAAATTTCCAATATGGAATTTTTGACGGATCTGTACGTTTCAGTGGTCTGTCTGTCTGTCTGTGCCAAGATTATCTGGGGATCTAGTAGACTAGTAGAAACAGTTGTTAGCCTGTTTTTTGAAAGGCGATGAAATTCCCTACAAAACTATATAAAGATCGTTCATTTCGGAAAACTATTAACAAAGAAGAAAAATGTATTCAAGAAAATAAATTTAATTTAATTTTTTTTTGTTTCTTAATAGACATATTTAAAGAAATAAAAAGTTTTTTGAAGAAGTTTGAAAAGTCCTGTAAGTGGACACACCAGATTTTTTCATCATCACTTTAAATGGTGAATTATCGAAACATTGTGATTATGCCTCATATAAAGTGTAATTTTATAGGATATAAAATCACCTCATTTTTTTATAAAATATGAATTTAATTATGAGTTTTTTCTAATAAACTTCAACTTAATTTTATATTGATTTGAAGCTTATTAAACCAGAACGTTTTCGTAAAAGTGGGGTTTCTGTAGTGGGGTTCACTTGTTCCCATTTCAACTTGATTTTCGTTTTAATTATGGAAATAAAATCCTCAACAGAAGAACCTCCCTATAAGGAATTCTCTCCGTAACTGCTTCTTTGGCCGCCCTATCTGCCAGTTCATTAGCCGTTATTCCGCTGTGCCCAGGGATTCAAATGAAATACAAAATCGTGTTATTACCATATGCAGATTTTAATGAGTACAGTATATTTTGGATTATATAGTTAGATGTAAAGATATTTCTTAAATTTAGTAATGCTGATAAAGAATCGTTTTTTTGTTATGGAAGGTATAATATTGAGGCTTCAGGAATATTTAAACTTGGTATAGTAGTCGGATCAAAAACAAGTTACCACACAATACTTTCCAAATATGGCTCAGTGGCAGCCTGAATCGGAAGAACGAAGAAGAAGTAGTCGAGTACCTTTTACAACAGATCACCGCTTCTGGAAATATCCTCCCATGTATCGGTGAATGTCAACGTTCGAAAAGTCTTGAGTTTCTTTGGGGATGGAATGTACTATTACAAGTATGAATATTCCTTGATGTCAATTTCGCTAACATACTGTCAAGGTGTTTCTTCAGCACATATACAAATAAATTCCCATTGATTGGATAAGATTTTTTCCGATTTCTATATATGGCTTTTTTTTTCTTTTTGTTCTATTTGGCTCAGCAAATTTCGTTTTTGAAAAAAAAAAATATAGTAATGTTGATCTTCACAGATATTGCAACAGTTCAAATATGTGTTAGAAAATTTCTATTCCAAATGTACTCAAAGTTATAAGTGAACATCAAAAATATGTGTAAATGTCATTTGAGAAGACAAAACAAATATTTTTAAAACGTTCAGAAGGAATAGTTGAGGTTGAAAGGGGAAGTAGTCCAAACATAATGGAGATTGAAGACGAAACTGAGAGTGCTAGAGGGGCAAAATATTAAGAAGAGAGTATGATAGATCGCTTTCTGATGATTGTCTTTAATGCTCTTTCACTTCAGAGGAAACGTCAATTCCGCCAAGGACCAGCGATCTACTCCAAAGCATTAACCATAATCTAAATAGAAACTAAATAACAATATTATTCTATAGCATAATGTTCTCTAAGAACAACAGTGGAAGTAGAGCTGATGAGAGTAATGCTGCCAATCTACAAATCGAATTATTAAGAAATATAATAGTTGTACATATAATAAATTAAATGTTAACAAACATTAATAAATAATAATATCTAAATCTCAAAAAACTGTTATTAAAAAAATATTTACTTACTTTTCCTATAAATTTAATTGTATGAATTATACACCCATTTTTTAAGTAATACTATTATGATATAATGTGGGTTACTTACTTACCTCTAAATAACATTTCAATGGGTCTAAAGGTTTTTGTCTGTTAAACAATAACACAACCGCCACTATTTTATGGCAGCTCATTGTTCTCATCTATAACTAAGTCGACATAAAAATGTCTACAAAAACGTTAGTACTTCAAGAGGAATTGAAAATACCACAAATAAATAATTTCATAAATGAAAAGGATTCTAAATAATACGAATCAATGAAAAGTATGACAAATCCTTTATTCAACTAACTTAAACAATCTCCATCACTTTTCTACCACTTCAACTATGGCAAAAGTTGTTTAAAAGTTAATTTCTCTTTAATTACACTGTAGGTTCAACACAAAAAGAAAGAAGAGTTCCATCGCCTTATTAGAAAATATAAATAATATAATTTTTGTTTATAATTTATTATGATATTTACAACTGTATAAAAAGAAATACATCTGGTAAATTCGTACAATGCATATAATGACACGAAACACATGTAGAAACTACCCACTGGTAGCACTCTAATAATATGTCTGCATTAGGGGATCACGGGGACATCTTCTTAGAAACAAGAGGATTGGGATGGTTAGGAAGTTTATTATGGAAGGATAGATATCTGGATTGGGCCAAATCTGAAACATACGGAACATTAAGGTCATTATGGATGATTTTATTTGTAAAAAAGTAAGGAGCAATGAAGATTATACAAAGGATTTTGGATTTTAGGGATTGGATACGAGAGGAATTTGATGATTTTATGGAGCTCCACAGCTCAACTCCGTAAGTCCAAATTATTGTAGTCAGGTACATGAGTCTTTTGTAATTAATTGGAAGGTTAGAGCGTTTGTCTAATAAGTGTTGAAGTAGTCGAAAACGTCGATCGGTTTCTTGCCGTTTCATGTAGTAGTAAGTAACGGATTTGTTCAACAGGAATAAACGAGGTATTGTTAAAGGATATTGAAGAACAGGAAATCATTGGTTTACGACGAAGGGTAAAGGTAATTTGAAGGGATTTATTGGAATTTATTTTGGTTCTCCAGTTTTGAGACCACTCTTCAAGATTTGTCATGTGTAATTGAACAGTTTGGGATGCAATTGATGGGTCGTTATTAACTGATAGGATACATGTGTCATCGGCATACGTGGTGATGACAGTGCTGGGATGTCATATGCATAAACTATGTAAAGGATAGGATCTAGGATACTACCATCAGGCACACCTGGAGACAGAGAAAAGAGGGATGTATAGGAAATGAGGATTCACGGAGGTTATATGAGAGGGAATTACCAGGAGGACAGTTTACAGCTGAGAATGTGACATGGAAAGGGCGAGTTGAAAGGACTATAGAAGTTGATTGAATGGAATCAGTTGGATTGGAAGGAATAAGGCAATGGGATAAACATTTATTTATAAGGGTGCATGAACCGTTGTCCGGGTAGTCAGATCTATAGGTGAAGCAGTCACGTATGTAGAAATGTGTCCATTGAGTGAGCTGAGTTTTTGTCAGGAGGGCAATGTCAATATAATTGTCATGGAGAACTATATTATTTTTATGGACTAGTTTTGTAGTCCATTAGCGTTAAATAAGAGGATAGTTAGGAGTTTTGTATTCATCGAGGGAAATTAAACGGAATTTCGGAAAGGAATCTTGAGAAAAGGGTTATAATCGGTTTGATAGTGTGTTGAAGATCTTTCAGCAATGATGATAGGATAGAATTGATTTCGGATAATGTTGGGCTGTGGAGAGGATTTGGGTCGTGAGGTTGTGATGGGAATGTATGTGACTAGGATTGTTCAGTGAGGGATGGGCCCTCCGTGACGAGGAGTAGGGTCTAAATTCTGTTGGACTTGTGATAGGAGGTTCATCTTATAATTAGGAACGAATGGAGCTGGGTATGGATGCTCAGGCGGGAGTTTGGTCCTTAAGGGTAGATGGTGAGGAGGGATTTGCTGACGATGAGGTTGAGTATTACAGGTTTTGGGCTTAGGTTGAGGCTGCTTATTACTGATGGGAGACTGAGAGTGAGAATTTCTTGGATTCTGACGAGGACAGTCCTTAAGAATAGATGGATGGTTGGTTTTGGATGGCGAAAGAAAGTGAAGTCGCAAAACTGAGAAAGTTTCCTAATTTTTAATTTCAGGACACGTTTTCTGAGCCGGTCCAATTTGCGTGATCTCCTATACCTCACAACCTCTATAGCTCGCACCACAAAGAGCACTTGTCGAAGGCTCATCTCTGGGTTTCTGGCAAGGGTCTGAAGCTTGAAGGCCAATGCATTAAACGCATCAGGCCTCGTGATGGCAATAGGCCATAGTGCTCCCTAAGGTTTGACACTTAGTGCACTGTACTATTAAGGGCTTCTGTCGTGGTTCCTCAAACCAGTCTGTTGAGTATACTAAGCGTTGAACCTGAAATATCTCAGTATTCGTTTTTTCTTGTTCCAAATGTACTAAGAATAATGGAAGCGGATATCTTTCCGTAGAATGTAGTACGGGCACTAACGAATCCAGGATTTTATTTTGGAGGGCCTCAGCCCGAACGATTTTTTTCTATATATGTATATTACGATTATTACTTCGGAAGAAAGAAACTAACAACTTATATGAAATGATGTTTAAGTGATTCTTTAAGTTCTATTAAATGTAATTAGACGAACAATAATACTTTTAGGGATGATTTTTTTCATAAAACATAGTTATATTTTACCATTTTGGGGGACTTCAGCCCGAAAGATAACTCCCTCTCCCCCCCCTAGATCCGCCTGTGAGTATGGGTGCAATGTTCCTGATGTTATGACCGATTTCTTCCAGGCCTGTTTTGATGACAAATATGGGGGGTGGTTGAATGTAGACCTCTCAGAACCGCTCGATACGCCTTTTTTTTGTTTTAATTGGTAACAATGGAAATCATAGTTTTTGGAAGTTAAATGGTTATACAAGATTTTATAATTTTCTCTAGAGATCGTGTTGTTTTTAATGGTATTGGTTTAAGAGAAACAGCGGAAAACTGGCTGTCCGATTAGTTCTACGATTTCTTTACCTAACGACATGAAGCTCTCAATTTTTTAAACAAAAGCAGGTGGTGTAATGGGGTCAGAAATCTTGAGGCCTCAGAATCTTGTTTGATAAGTTATTATCGAAAATAATATTCTTGCTGGCTGAGGTGTTTGGTGCAGTTGAGTTGGCTCTGATTGTATGGCATTAGACTAACTCCTAGTTTTAGGTAGAGATTTTTCTTATTCTGTTTGCTTATTTGATTTGTTAGATTTATTTTTTTTTTTTATGTAGTGAGTTTCCCGATCCGGGAGCAAAGTTTCGGTGACGCTTTTGGAGGGTAAGTCTTTTCAATTATTACAAATCGGTCTCGCTGATTTCTGAAAAGGGTGTCTCGTCCTCCGAGTTTTCACAACATGTGTTCTTATCTTATCCGCATTCATGATAAGTAAGAGAGATAGAGAATGAGAAAATATATATATATATATAGTGCAATGAGAAGCACTTTGTGACAGTATAGAGTGAAGTATTTTAAGAAAAAAATAGTAAACTATAACGAACTTACACACTTGTTGAATAGTAAGGATTGGAATAGTGTATTGAAATATCACATATCGTCGGCGCTATCTTAAAGTAATGAATGTGAGCCTGTTAAACGTTGCGCATTCGTTACTTTTAATTGCGCATTCGTTGCGCATTACGCGCATTCGATGCTATCGATATAATAGAATATACTAACAATACAAGAAAACTCCATCGATCATGCATACAATTATTCAATTAAAAAAAATTCGTTTCTGAATAATACTAGTTGATTATCTTGAAGTTGAAAATACTTCATTTATCCCATTGAGAAATTCGATCAATTGAGATATTTGTTCAATCTTGTAAAATTATGTTTTTCTATTTCTTGTTTTGCTACACTAATATTTTCGATTTGTGTTCCAGAAAATAATGCGAGAGATAACAACTTAGAGCAACATCTACTTTAATAATGATTACGAGGCTGATAATAATTGTTCTTCTGTCACCCGTCTTCGGAAGAACTGTGTCAGAACCCAAGTACTATTGGAAAACAGGTAAAGATAAATATAAATATATTTGTTTTAAATTCAAAGCATAATTTTCCTGAGTTAAAATATAAAACTAAAACATTTCGGAGTGTTTTTCTTCATATAACAACACTCTGAAATTTTGTTTAATCTCTTTTTGTAATACATCTATAACATGAAGGTAGACGTACCGAACAGCTTGATTACTACCTATAATCTAGCAAGACTGAGCTGTAGGTTTCTAAACTCAACATTAATTCCATCGATGGAACCCATGGACAGTCAGATACATTGAGATTAGAGAGGACCTGTTTGATTCAAGTGAAAGGTTGGTAACATGGTGAATAGATAGTTATTCACTGTTGGTTGACACTTCTGAAATATAACAAAAAATCTAAAAAATAAAAATTGTTTTTGAAATTACTAAACGAATTTTTCGGACAGTGAACATTTGCTGGTCACTCAAATATTTCGTGTAGTTTATACATTAAAACTAAGATCTTAAAATTCACAATATTGATATGAACAATGATTAGTAATAACAATGATACAATCATAGATGGGTCGTTCTCACTAGACATCAAATGAATGTCTTATGATATTATAGGTTATTCTTAGATGTCTAAAAATTATGTTACAGCCTCTTTTTTCCCCATGTATTAGTGAAGTGGTGAGTATATCTCTTGTTACTCATAAATGGTAAATGGCCAAAATATCTACATTTAAAATAAATTTTAAATTTACTAATTTCAAATTTTCAAATACTTTAATGTCCACACCCTGACCTACAGGAACGTTCCTTGGCCTATATTGTTGAAAACAAAAATCCTACCATAAAACGAAAATAGTTTTAAAAATCTTGAATATAATTGTAAAAAAAAAATAAGAAATAAAATATTTATCAAAAATCTTGTATCCAACCATAATAAGACCTACATCGTCATATAGAGTTGAGCTTTGGGGCTCTACCAAACCATCGAATTCCTATCGTATCCAATCCTTACAATCCAAAATCCTTCGTAAAATCCTTAATGCCCCTTTTTTGTCACAAATAAAACCATTCATAAAGATCTTAATGATCCATATGCCCCTGATTTTGCATGAGCCAGATACCTATTCTTTCATGATAAACTTTAGTCCCATCCGAATCCACTTGTTTCCAGCCTTGCTTCTTCCTCGATTCCTGATAATCCTCCTAGACGTCTAAAAAGAAGATGGCCTCGTGATCTTCTTACCTAGAATTAAATAGGGAGTGCTACCACTGGGCAGTATCTCTTCAAGTCTGTTCATGTCATTATTTCTGATGGGTGCATTTTTACTAGTTTTATTGTTTGTACAGTTCTAAATTTTATTAAAGAAATAAAAAAACTTCAATGAAATCAACGTTATCAACAAAAGAAGGTAGTGATGCAATTTCTATTACAGCGGCTGTATAACAGCAGATAAGTAAAAAGGTATAGAATGACCAAAGTATAATAAAAGAGATATTGGCAGTTCATTCTCGACATGTTATATCAGCTCTATCAAGTATTGGTGATGAAAAAAGTACTCCATGGGTCTATAAGCACCTTTGTCTACTACACAAAAGTAGAAATATTTGTTCAGTTTTGAAAAAAAAAAATCAGGAATAAGAAGAATTTATAAAAAAGAGAAGGTCATCAAATAAAAATGGTAACAGCGGATGCCAGAAGGGAAACCAATATTGGAAGAGATTGATGTAGGGCACTCGAAATAGGGTTGAAGAACCAACTTCACCAGAGTGCTCATCTCTTCTTTTTTTATAGCCATCATCGGTTAACAATCATGGGGAATGTTCTTTTCTATTCTTTATCCAAGAGATGTTATATCCCTCTCGCATATTTTTAAATTAAAAAAAAGGAATGAGAAAAACAAATAATGACAGGACTGTAAAACACGATTTTTTTTTTTAAATAGTCAAAAATCATCTTGGATTTAGAACAATTGTTTTATTACTTACCACATCACAACAGAAAACACAACAATGAAAAGAATTTGACGAGTTTTTAATATTTAGGTGAATTTTGAACACTGTAAATGTACCAATAATAGACCTTGTAAGAAAATTTTTCAACATTATGTGTATAGCTTTAGTTCTAACATTAAAATTTTCAAAAAATCCAGATTTCAAACTTATCTCTTAAAGAAAAATGATAAGAAAACTTTCCTGAAACAATCACCTAGCCTTGCTCCTTAAACTTTCATCTACCAATCGGTTATGTAGCATACCACCTGAAGTTCCGTCATCACTTCCTAACCTTTTTCTAGTCATGTGCACTCCAGTTCCCATGACACTGCCCATGACACTGCCCATGACACTGAGTTCAATTCTGACACTGCTTGTTGTTAGTTTGAGATAAAACAACAGTTGGTTTACAGTTAAAGGCCTAATCCGTTATTTGGGCACCATTTCCACGTCAATTTGGAAGATAAAGTTGTGGTTATATTCCTTTGAAAGTCGCATGCCATGTGGTGTTACCCATAGTGAAGCGAAGATAAAGTTTTTCTATTATACGTGTTAAAACATCTCTGATTGACCTCTGTTCGAACACTCTAAACCCGTTTACTAGAACTGGCTATGGGTTCATATTGGCCTTTTGACGAGAACTCGCACTTAAAGAACTACGTATATAGCAATCTACCTTACTAGATTTCGCAGGAATTAAAATAAAAAACGGAAACTTATATCCTTATTACTTAAAGACTTAAGACTTAGAGATGTATTTCGACAACCACTAAATGGAAAGTAATAAGAGCCAATTGTTAAGCCTGATTAACGATGAGACAAAAAAATTATTAAATAGTATAGTATTTGAATACCTTCATAACAGAGACCATGATTTAAACTAGGATGAATCAATCGAAAACTTTTAATGCTCGTCTGAGGCCGTTTTGAGCATTCTATTGGCAGTTGTGGGGCAAACCACTTATAGGTCTCCGCTTATTTATTACTCTCTTAGTTTTATTACACCTATCAGTTAAATTATGACTTCCTCAAAAAGTAACCAACAATCAGCAATAAAATATTAAAAACCTGGCTGACTCACTCCAGGATTATATCATCGATCCTCTCAACAAAACTATTTAAATTCAACAGGTACAGATTTAAGGGGTAATTTTCTAGCTGCAATTTATTCATATTTACACTCTCTCCGGGCAAACACAGCTTATTATCTTTCAATGAGTTGAAAACTTTCTATTATTGGTCCATTTAACCTAATTATATGTACCTTTAACCTAAATATTGGTACCTTTAACCCTTTATGATGTAATAAAGGGGAAAGGATAAGAATGGTTATCCGTGGTTTTAACAAAAGATGAATGTAACAAGAGCCATACGATTCCTTTACCTTAAAAATACTTTATAAATTGTACATAACCATTATAACTAGTGTTATCGCCGAAAGTTCAATCATATCGCTCATATTATTAACTTTTGGAATACATTGTATTTTTGCAATGAATAATAAAAAAACTTAAATATTTTTCCAAACCAAATTCTGCCAATTTGAATTGTTATCTATATCATAAAGTTACTTAAGGATTCCTACTACATTGCACCTGATCGTAGGGGGTTGATACATTCAAAAGAAATTGGAGAGAAAAGAGGAATCTGGAAGCTTTGTTCAACGATTTTTTTTTTTTTTTTTTTTTTTTGTGCTTCTCAAAACCTGATACTAGAGAAGTTCATCTGAAATCTCAGATATTAAGTCTGTAATTTTTACATCAGTTATTGGAAAATTAATTCTATATTGCAATATTTTTAGGGTTTTAGAAAGTAAATATTTAGTAAAATAATTGTTCATATCATTAACATACTAAATGCTATTGGATCATCGAAAATTACACAAACAAATGTTTCATGTATTCGATTGATGAAAGAAACATTTTAAAACATGAAATGGTAAGTAACTCAACTTTATGTTTTTTCAGTGCCATCGATAATCCAGGCCTGTAAAAGAGAAATTTATGACAAAATACTAGTTTGAAATATCTTTGTTGTGACATATGTGGTTAAATTTTTTAAATATTATTCATATATTATAATAATATAATGATGTGACGTAATCTTTTTTGATAATAAATATATCTTGTATTTAAAAGTTATACGTCTTGTCAATACGATTCGTTATCTTTTTGAAGAGACTTATTATTCTAACTGGTGTTTTCTCATGTGCATTCTATAATAGTAAGACTATATTTTCCATCACTTTTTAATAAATATCCATTCAATTATTAAATTAATAATAACAATATTGAATGTCTATTATTTATTAACCACATAATACAATAGTAAAGTGTGCTAATCAATAATCTTGCGCTAACGTGCTAATTAATTTAATTTAGTTGGATAGAATTAGAAAGTTATATAGACCAATGTTTATTAAAAGTAGTTAAGCCATAGTGTGAGGATGGTTGTTGGTAAACCGTTTGTCGAGAGGCCAATCATAACTATTGGCCATTCGTTATTGAAAAACCATTTCAAAAGATTGGGCCCTTAATGAATGCTCGCTGGGCAATTAATTCGGGTATTCACTAATGACTCGGCTGTAGGCAGACACACCACCAATTTCGACGAGGAAATAACACTTAGGGAAACAGCAAAAGAACAACTCTAGCAGGGTATAGGTATCGCTACTGTATCCTACATTAAAGGTAAATTTTGAGATATTTTAGTCCAGACCACGAGTGGATCTACAGGGGAGGGGGCTTTGGGGCTGAAGCTCCTCCCTCCTCTCCCAAAATGGTAAGATATAACCATGTTTTATAAAAAAAAAAAATATTATAAAATTATCTCTTAAAGTATTATTGTTCGTGTAATTACATTTAAAAGGACTTTAGGAATCACTTAAACACCATTTCATATAGGTTGTTAGTTTCTTTCTTTTTTTCTAAAGTAATTATAGTTATTTTGATGAAAAAAAAAAAGCTTTCGGGTTGAAGTTCCCTCCCCAAAATTAAATCCTGGATCCGATAGTGGTACAAAAGGTCAAAACAGTCGTTTGTTATTTGTTTTTTTGGGCTATCTATTTCCCTTTCTGACTCACTGACTCGGTATGGGATCAAAATTCAATTTTGATTTAGAGCTCATTACAAAGAGGACGGATTGCTGAAAATTTATCTAGCTTATATTACGCCGGTTCAAGCATTAGTTTTTGATATAATTTAATCTAAATGTTCAACAAAACTCGTTATCATTTGGTTTTCAACTCGATCCTTTTCCCTTTTTGTCTCTCTAACACGACGTCGTGTTTAGATACAGTTTTCATTTATAGCTCGTTACAAAGACGGTGAAATACTGAAAATTTCCCTCGCTTATAGTATTCAGGTCGAATTTTTTCTGTATTTCTGGGATACCTTAATCCAAATTCAAAAATACTTCAATAAGGTAGATTCAAGCCGATTTTATCCGAATGAGCGTTACATGTCCGATGGTGACGCCTCAATTTCATTCACTACACTTGAAAAAAGTGCAAAGCGCGCCTTAAGAAGTTTTCACTCCAACAATATAAATTTTTTTACTGAATTTTATGAGAAGGTTTTTATTTTTATGTCGTTTACTAAAAGATAAAATTATTTCTCTTCAAAACCATAACAATAACTTTTAGATTTTACGCCTTTATAAAGAATAAATTAAGGATAATTCTCCAATATTTTTTATTTTATGTCTCCAAGTCTAATTTGTTTAAGAGCGTCTGGTTTGTATAATTTCGTGTATTTAATAGGACCCTAAATCCTAGCTAATTTCCGTGTGGATAGGTGGAACCATGTTGAAGTTATCACAAATATATGTGATTTTCGAGAAAAAAAAATTGAAGGCGTCTTGTTGAAAAATTTAGGCAAAAAAATTATTATTATTCAAATGATTTAAAGGATACTAGAAACGAATCTGGAAGGTTTTTCATGAAAAAAATTTATTAGACCTACTTTACTGAAAGCATCTTTTGGTTTTTGTAAGTTTTCTATTTTACACACGAAAAAAAAAAAAGATTTATGCATAACTTAGAGATCCAGAGAGATGGCGCATAAATCTTCCCCAATCCTCCTAAGATATTTTATTCATCTCTTCTTCTTAAAAACAGTGCAAACGAAAGTAGAATTTGAATACTCGTAGATTATATACCATTACACATCCAGTGGTTTGTTCTATGATTCCACTTGTCTTTTGATTTGAAACTTTTCATTTTGAAAATTCATAACCCCGTCGGATTGTGCCCCCCCCTCAAAAATAGAAAACCCAGTCAAAAAGTACCCCTCTCATTAATTTTGATGACACAACTTCCGCCATAAAACCCACTAGGAGGATTAGAATTGTTATGGTCTCTAATAGCTACTATCTGTTGCTGGATGGCAATTAGGTGTTAGAAAAATAATTTTTATATACAAACTTTCTTACTTCTAGGTTTTTCTGTCATGAAATATGGCTATACTCTTTGTATGTCTTCTAGCTCAAGTTCCATTGATATGTTTATTTGATTTTTGGATTGGTTGTAAAAAGTGTAGTTTTACCACTTTTATTCAACAAATATTTATTACAAACAAAAACTATCTTAAAAAATGTTGGTTTTTCATCGACTTTCAAACATATATGATACTTATGCACTAGTTTCCCATTTCCACTTCTTACAAGGACATTTTAATTAAATATTTGTTTCACTAAATATGTCCCATTCCAAATGGGAAATAGTCATATTTATATTGTTTTATAATATATTGCTCAACTATTTTATATCAGTTTTTTATAGCAATCTTAGCTGCTACTCAATTTATTACTTTAATTAACTTTTGGCCAATTAATTAGGAAAAAGTACAATTTTATAGGACTTTCATTATGCCATTTTATGAACGAAAGATCCTAATTTTGTATACATGATTTAGCATGAAGTTATTATAAGCTACTATTATTTTTAAATTCATGAAATGAAAAATTATGGCTTGGTTATATGGTAGGTATCAAATAAATTAAGATGAAGCTTATAATGATATTTTTTTCTTCTGTCCCATATATATGATTATTATTTTCTCATCTCAGGAAATTTCTTTGAAATTCTCAGTTAACTGCTTTAAAATTCATAATTAAAACTTGCCATATATCATATTTAAATAAACTAAGAAAGAATTTTTTTTCTTTTTTACATCAATAGACACTGTCATTTTTCATTTTTTTTTTGTATTATTTTTTAAATAAAATCTATTAAAACGTGTTATAAATATAATATTCTTCCACTGAATAGTATTTTACAAACAAAATATTATTTTAGGAGAATGGGGCTCCTGCTATGTACCAGAAGGATGCGGAGAAGGAAGTCGAGAGCGCCCTGTTTGGTGTGCTGAAAAGAACTCAGGTAAACCTTCCATTGAATACTTCTGCAGAGCTTCAGAAGAACCAATGAGAAACAAAAAATGTTTCGTAGCTTGCAGACACCACAAAGGTATTTCATTTCATCTTAATACTTCAATTACATATTTTGTTATTTCAATAATTCTGTTTGGTACAATGGAACTGAGAGTATTGAAGATAATAAAAATAAAAAAATTATTTTTTCTTTCCTTTAATTACAGTTTTCATTTATTTATTTAAAGAGCAATGGAATTATAAAAGAACAATCAGTCTTTCTAATTAAGAGATTACTTTTATGTTCATAATCATAGAATACTTCTTCATAGTGAATAATTACTTCTTGTTAAACATGTAATTTTTCTCAAGTTGAAAATAATCAAATATTCATGGATCTAGTTATTTATTTATTTGAGCAGTTTCATACCAAAGATGGACATCTTTCATTTTTAAAAAGTTGATAAAAAGACAATTTTTGGTAAGGGAGATTCGATTTAAACCTATTCTAATGATTTTTATTCATCACCAATTCTAATCATTTTTTTATTTTTATTGAACTTGAAAATTCTTAAGTAAAATCAGAAGAAATAGTTTGAATTAAACATACAAAACAAAAATTGACTTTTTCACCACTTTCTTAAAATGACAGATTTCCGTATTTTATTTGAAGGAACTCATTTGTCAAAGTTTTTCACATAATCTGTTATAGTATCTAATTATATTTTATCAATTCTATAAATGTTTATTTAATCATTTTAGACCATCTAGAATGGAAAACTGGGGAGTGGGGTCCTTGTACTGTGCCTGGAAGTACTGCAGAAGAACTCAGCAGCAGTTCCGAAGAGTTAGTTGAAAGGAGAGGAACTATGGAACGAAACATCTCCTGTGTTTTAACCTCCCATGATGTATCGGTAAATTAAATATTGTTAACTTATAGATATCATATTTATCATATTCAGATTGAAAAGATATGTCCGAAGGTATTAACTGAAACATATGATTTCGAGAGGTTGCCTTAGACTATTTGAATGTGAAAGAAAAATATATGAATTATTGAAAAAAGCTAGTTGACTGTTCTACATATCATGGGTGATAAATATTTAGGACGCAGTTATTATAAAGTTTTTATTAGTGCCGACGTTTCAACCCAGACATGTGGTTCATCATCATGGTGTGGTTCGAGCACTGAAGATATTCAAATACTCAACTTGAATATCTTTTTTAGTACTTGAACATCTTCAGTGCTTGAACTATACCCTGATGATGACCCATATGTTTGGGTTCAAAAGTCGGCACTAATAAAAACCTTATAATGATTGTGTCCTGAATATCTATCACCCAAAAAAAATGTATGAAATATTTTTTATGAATTGTTTTAACCTAACAGATAATTATTTTTACTTTTATCACAGCTTGTGAATCATTTACTATTTCCCAATAACCATATAGTTATATACATAAAGTTATATTTTATGTACTATTTTAGGTTTGGATGACGATTGATGAAGACAATTGCTTAATTCTTGGTAAACCACCAGCTAAAAGCAGTGAGTGTTTTCTTCCAGCTAGACAAGAATGCATTCTCACTGAATGGTCTGATTGGACACCTTGTTGTGGATCCACCAGGCACAGAACTAGGAGTGTTCTTGTTGCTCCTCATTATGGTGCAAAGCCATGCCCCCAAGTAAGATCAAAAATGATTATTTCTTAAATAATTTTAGTTACATACAAAACAGCCAGTAACTTACAAAACTAGTGTTTCTTCACTACAAAAATACATCACTTATTGAAAATAGTAGTTTGTCAGAAATATTTGTCATTGGCATAACAATATAATTAGTCCATATTATTACTTTGAATTTTAACACTTTAACGATGGTGGACTCATATATGAGTTGAGAGCCTGTTGGCCTCTTTTTCTTTAAATTGCAGGGCTCAGTGTAGAATTCCATTTTCAAACTATATCATCATATTTCTATGAAGTAATCCCCTAAAGAAATATATTTTTTTTTTAACATAATAGCAAGCAGTCTTTTTTTTCTTTTTAGATTGTAATTATTTCATTAATTGCATCTAGGACATGTATAATATCAATTTCACAATAACATTAAATGAACAATTTTTAACCAGTATTTTTTAGAATAGGATAAATTTGCAGTATGAAGTTTTAATTATATTAATACAGTGTATTAAAAAAAAATGACTGTTTTATCAAATTCAAGATTTCAAAGGACTATAAATATTTTACTTACAAATACTTAATAATCCCTTTAGAGCATTCTCTAAGAATTTTTAATCCCATTCGACTTCAAAAAAAGCCTCAGTTTAGTTATTTGTTTCAAAGAAGAAATATGACAGTGTCCTACTAAATTCTCATAATTTTAAGGCATTAATGGGAAAATAATTTCTCAGCCACTGAAGCAACTTGTGAAATTATAAATATGAAGGGGAAGGTGTTCTTGACCAGCGCACTGTGTGGTCTTGGTTTGAAAAATTTAGCAGTGGATACACAACGTTGGAAAGGAAGAAGGCTCCAGATGACTATTAATTGATGAGATTCTGCAGGAAACTGTAGAGTCATATCCGTCCACAAGTACTTATAAACTTGCAAGAGAGTGTGGTGTGTCGAAAGATACTGTTAGTCGCCATCTACTCTCAATGGGAAAGGTGAAAAAGAGCAGTAGACTGGTCTCTCACGAATTTATTCCTGGGCAATCAGCTAAGGTGTTAGAAATTTATGAAAATTTATTGAAAAACCCTTTTGATATGAGATTTTACCGGAAGATTGTTACCTTTGATGAAAAGTGGGTTTACTGGTGAAATCCGAATACCCATGATCACGGTCAAATTCATGGTTTCCGTTTTTTGGAATTTCAAAGGTGTTATTCACTTTCCCCCACCCTTCTCAAAATATTTTATTGCTATTCTCTTATTAAAAACAGTGCAAATAAAAGTATATTTTAAAAATTCATAGATTATATACAATTACACATCCTGTAATATTTTTTATGATTTCATTTTTCTATTGATTTGAAACTTTTCATTCGAAAATTCATAACCCCGTTGAAATGTACCATCCTCAAAAATGTTGATGGTGCAACTTGGGCCATGGAACCCTCTTCTGGGCACCCCTGATGAAGCCTCCATGAAAATCATTAGATATGATATCTTAAGGGATATCAACTCGATTATCTCTCCGCAGTTAAGCTAGTGTTAGTCAAAGGTACCATGGCAATGTTATTTAATTTCAATATTTAAAATTTAAGGTAAAAATTGTCATGTTGGTGAATAGACCTTCTAAAAATTCATAATTTTATATTTTTAAGTGACAGAAAAAAAAATGAAATAAATTTAAAGTGATTTCTGGGTACAATTTTATTTGTTTTATATATTGAACTGAAAATGGGGAAAAGCTTCTATTCTATTACCACTTTAGCATAATTTTGCAACGAATTTTATTAATTCAACAAGGGAATCAAATGTTTCAGCCCCAGGTTGCCACAAAACGTACTTTAGCTCAATGGACCCACAAAATGTTTTTCAGCTGACAAAGGTCATTCAGCAAAAAAAAGTATAAGAACCTCCGTGCTAAATTTTATTTTTTCAGATACGGCTTGTAAGTTTAGGAGGTAAAGTTAGTCTGGATAAATACAATAGATATATCAATTCAATTTTTAAATTAAGTATAAATTACAAATATGCTTATTTATTGTTACGTTTTTAGAGAAAGTTTAAAAAAAAAAATGTATCAGTTAAAGTCATGAAACTGATTATTATATAAACATTTTTGACAAGTATAATATTTATATAATATTATTTCAGTTGAGTGAATGGAAATCATGTGATGAAGAAGAGGCAGATTGCAGAAAACCAGAGCCTGGAACAAGGATTAGGGTAGAGAAATGGGGTGAATGTAAGGTAATTAATAGTCAAAAAGCCTCCTTTATAAATTGAGAGAAAATTGTTTTGTTTTTTCATTGTGATGTAAAAATCATATCAGAACTTTCATTTCATAACCAATCATGAATTGTATAATTTAATCTGTAATTTGAAATTAAATTTTAAAAACTTATAATTAGACAATGATTAAAAACTTATAATAAGGTTAAGAGGTAAAAAATAAAAATTTTGCATTATCATTATTCATTTTTGCTGTTTAGATATTTTTTTATTTAATGCCACCTGATGTGATCTGTCTTAATCCACAATCATTTTAGTAATATTAAATTTTAAGGGAATCAAATGGTCCAGAGTGGCGGTCATAAATAGGCTAAATAGTGGCAAAACTATTTTATTAAAAGCCTTATTAGGCTTATTAGCCTAATAGCCTAAAATAGTTTTGCCACTATTTAGCTTATTTATGACCGCCACCCCGGACCATCTCCTTCCTTTATAATGCAACGGTCAACTATTCAATAAAATATTAAATTTTGTTGTTGTTTTTTCACCAAAATATTCCATGCAGGTGAATGGTGGTTCCTTGTGGGATGGAGAAACAGCTGGGCATGCTGACAACTACTACAAACACTGGCCTCAAGTGGGAACCCAAACGAGAGCTATCACATGTTTGAACACACAAGGGCAAACTTTAGACTGGAGGTAATTTACATGTATCATAATAATTTCCTGCTCCAGAATAGAGTATGATACACTCCATCATCCTTCAGTTTTGCTAATGAGCCTTCAGTTGCTCCCTTCATGCATTAAGAGAAAGGAAAAATAATTTCTTGAGCTCATTGTTTTAAAGCCAAAAATGTCTTTTAACTAGGGATTATAAAAAAATGTTGGGCATTGGGAAAATGAATTTAAGTTAACTAAAGTTATTTGAATGTCTTTAATGTTATTAAAGTTTCCATTAATTGCATTTCATTCCTTGGAACTAATTTTTCAAACGTTTTACTTTATTTTGTTTTGTAGCAACAGAGTTCAGCCTCTGTAACCTTAATTGGGCTAAAACAAACTTAATTAATATTAAAAAAAGTATGTAACCTGAAACAAAAAATGATTTTTGTTAATTTATTTTTATTTTTAATTAAAAATTAACATTTAAACATTTAAAAAAAATTTATTTTTTATGTTTAAAAGTTTTTTTTTTTGGTTTTTATACCATTACACTGAACTTCCAATGCTCGAGGTCCCAGGTTCGAATCCCGGCCCATGGCAGAAAAATTATTTATTGTGCTACATCGGCCGTGGGACAACCATGGGGTAGGGAGACCCTTCTGGGGCACACCCAGCCTCTACAAAGTGGGTACCCTTAATTAAAATAATTAATTAAGGGAGAAAACCTAGCGGTTGAGCGTGATCCTAGCCTGATCTCCTCCCTGCACAAGCATTGGCCTTGAAGCAGTACTTTCCCTAAATAGTACTGAACCTAAGACCCTTCATGGTTTGTAGGTGGTACAGGTTTTTATACCATTGACTATTTTGTTGTTATTCAGTCAACATAATGGTTGTCATAACCTCACTTTTTGACTTTGAGTTTTTAAGAATTCAGTCCTTCACATGAAATCTGAAAAAAATATGATAACATATCTAATAATGATGTTATAACAATGATAACATAATTATCAGTGCAGTATTCTAAGATACAAAAAACATTTGTGCACATCATCCATACAGAACAGTATTTCCAACTAGCTCCACGCTCTCTTACATGTTAATATTTATTTTGTTAAAGTTTCATTTGTTATTTTAAATGATTTCATAATTATTTACTTATATTTTTCTTATTTCTTTGTACTATACTTGTTTGTACTATACTTATGAGTTACATATTTTTTCTATTTACTGTAGATTTACTATATATCAGTTCATATATATCAGTTCAGCCTCTGCTGATACTCCTACTGTAGATTTACTACATAGACTGAGCTTTGATGGTAGCTTATCAAAACATAGGCTAAACAAATAAAAAAACTTAATAATTTGTGTGTATTTTATAATACTTTGACCTTTTCCTGTTCAATATTTTAAATATCTACATTAAAGTAAATGCTTTGTTTTATATAGTGAATGCGTAGGAGAGCATGGCGAGGTAGGCCTGCCCACAAGAGAGAGAGCTTGTATAATTTCCCAAGACTGTGCTGTCAGTGAATGGTCTGATTGGAAAGTGATCCAGGAAGGATGCATTGATCCCAATGGCAATGTAAGAATAATATATTTAAAAAAAAAAACTTTATTTTGTAAATTGTACAGGACATAGGTATTTAAAACCAATGTTAAAATAAATTATGATATTATAGAGTAAGTCCACTTTCCTTAGCTGTGCTCCACAAATGGTATTTGATAATGTTTACAGGAATGGGCCGATGTAAAAGAGAGAAGAAGAGAAATATTGAGACTGCATGAAGGGCAAGGGCAAATCTGTCCTCATCTTGTTGAGACCAAAACAACAACTACCGATCTACCGCTTTGTTCCCATAAGTAAATATACTTTCTTATTAACTAATTGTACCAGACTACTCCTATTTTTAATTTTTTTTTTTCATTTCTTACAAAATTGTAAATATTTATAATTCAGTTATAGATGGGTAACATCAAAGTGGAGTGCTTGTACATTACCTGGTATAATGGGTATAGTTGTTTGCGGTGGAGGTTTACAACTTCGAAACATTACCTGTGTAAAGGCAGAAGGTGGTCAACCACTTCCTCCAGAAGCCTGTAGGAATCTTCAGCCTCCTCCAACAGTTCAGAGGTACAGACAAAAAAATTAATAATTAATTTGAGGATAAAAATAATAAGAAATATTTAAAGTAAGAAAAGGTAATTCAAAGAGTTTCCCAATCATAAGAAAGATATGGGTAAATTCAGTCCTTTACAAAGAATTTTTAATGCTCAAAGCAATAATAAAACAGTAATTATTAAGGTTATTGATTTCACTAAACTGATCTAATTAAAATGTAAGAAAAAACATTTGTGATTCACCCATGACCTGTTAGCTTAGATTAGGCTACATCTTTACAAGGCTTGTTCTGAAAGTTCTTATGAAAAATAAAAAATAAGTTGAGTCATCATTTAATCAGATAATTCAATATTTTTGCTTTCAAATTACGCTTTTGCTCCCTGAGACAAATGTGTTTTATCCATTTCCTCTATTAAAAGGCTCCCTCTATTTCAAGTGGGATTCCTCTATTTTGAAGTTTTTTATTTTAAAAGGATGTTTTTTAATTTCTGTTTTGATGGCCTCTGTGTCATCCAAATCTTGCTCTTCCAAACATCATCTTGCATTCAGGAAATGAGAAAAAATAACATTTTAGAAAATGAGATGAAAAAGGGCTGTTCTATAATGGAAATTCGATTCAAGACAAAAAATTCAAGTACAATTAGGAAAGTGTGTGCAGGAATATTGGCACGATGGAGGATCTCCTCTGCTTCCCATGGGTCGGATTTGATTGAACCTGGGACATGAGTTTTGCAACATCTTGTTCAATTTTCTAATTGTAAAAATTTTAACATAGGGATTTTTTGACTAACAGTCTAGCCAAGAGGGGCTAGTTCTGATTGGAAAATACCCCCAAGAATCGAAAAAAATATTCTTTATTTTTGGCAATGAAAACTTCCAAGTATACAAACAATTGGTTTATTTGTTTAATTACAGGCCAAGTGGACATTTTGGGAAAATTATTCCCATCTTCAAAACTTAAGTTCCATACTTTCATAGTGGTTTATTGCTAAAAAAGAATTAATTAAAAAAGGTTATGTTGTGTTGTGTTGTTACAGAAAATGTTATAATTACCTTCAGCTTGATGAGCTCCTCAGTGATAATTTAAAATTGATGTGTTATAAATATAATAAAAATATACTATCTGGTGCGTCAACATTCCTAAGACTAATAAATAATTGAGTGTCTGCTATGGGAGATACTATCAACCTTTCGATCTAATTATTTACTCTACTATTATTATTCAATGACTGTTTATTACATAGCTCCATTTCAGTTTTACTATATTTTAAAGTTTTATAAAATATTAGGCCAAAGGTCACCAAATGTACATAGGTTTATTATTTATTCGACGTTTCGGCTTCAGGAGCCATTTTCAAGATACTGCAAACATGCACCACTTCATAAAATTTAATAAAATGTATCATTATAATATAAATCGTCTTTTTGTCATTCTTTTATTTCATCGAATGTTGTTTTATCACTTCTCTTTCATAGATGATATTAAAAATGTTCCTCCTCACTAACGCATTCATACAGGACGTCAAATAAATAATACAGGATGTAAAAACTGTGTACATTTGGTGGCCTTTGGCCTAATATTTTATAAAACTTTTAAAAAAATGGCACAGAACCTAAAAGATACGACTAGAAACTTATATTTTAATTTTATTTAAGATATCTGCATAGTGTGTTCCCAAATGTTTAGCGTCTGTTTTGTAATTTACTGTTGTTCTATTGTTTTTTGTGATGTGGATGGTATTTTGACCATGAAAATATGAAAATTAAGAGTAATTTTCTATTGTTGTTATTTGGTTCTGTGCCTATTATTGGTGGTTTATTGAAATTGGAATTATTGAGAAAAAAAATTATTTTTATCAATTTTCGGGTCAAACTGCTTTGTGCAGCAAACTTAAGTCTCGCTGATATCACTAATAATCACTGCCAGTATATTCTTCATCTACTAACTATTATGAAAACTATATTTTCAAAGTCAGTTCATCTAGATCTTTGTCTATCCCTTCAATGTTTACCTGCCATTATTATACTAATTAACTTTTTAAGGATTCTTTCATTTTCAAACCCAACAAATTCACATATTCCTTTCAGCCATTGATATTTCCTCAATTATATTTACCGGATTTATACTCTGTGTTTCTGAGTTTTATATCTCAATTATAATGAATACAAATTAACATGTTTAATGAACAGCGAAATATTTTTAAAAAATTATTTTATAATACTGAAATATTATTATCCAAACATACTTTTTATCATTTCAGGTGTGAAGTGGCCTGTCCACGTGACTGCGAAGTAAGTGAATGGGGTCCTTGGGGCCCTTGTAAACCATTTCCAGATATTTGTTCAACACCACCAAATGAACAAGCTAAACCCTTACCTCATAAAGGTATTTTTATTCATAATTTATTGCTTAACACCATATCATGTAAAACACTAAGTAGGAAATGAGAAAGAAACTTTTCATTAATTGTCTACTCATTTATTTCAACTCCTAGGAGAACGAGTTCGAGAAAGAACTGTACTTGTGGCTCCTAGTGCTTTGGGTCTTGGCTGTCCCAGCTTGATTGAAGTTCAACCCTGTCTTTATCCACGTTGCTTTACCTGGAGAACAGGTGCATGGTCTTCCTGCTATTTGCCTTCACACGGCCTCAAATGTGGAACAGGTGTTCGGAACAGACAAGTTGTTTGTGTTACTCACTCTGGTGTAAGAGATGCTTTTATAATATAAAATTTATTTCTTATAAAAAATTTTGATATATATAAAAAATAGAATTTTTTTTTATATTTTGCTTTCACAAATATGCATCATCCATTCTAAAAATGTGTTCCATTGTTTGTTTGTTTTTTAATTGAAGTGATTTTTGAGTACACAAATTTGAAGTAACAAAGAAATTTTTAAATTAATCTTAAAATGTGTTCATAATTTGAAATGCTTCTATTCCTTTTCTAGATTTTTTTCTTATTAACAAAATTAAAAATATCCATATATTTAGCTCAGTAATTTAACAAAAGCAAATTCTCTGAACTTAATATCAGTTCATTAAAATTCTCAATATTTACAGTGTCCTGTAAGTAGAAGGAAATATTTAAAAGGGTGATAGTAGACATCAAGATCTTCAAAAATATTTATATAAACAATGGCCTGATTTCCATAAGAAAAGTACAAAATTCTAGATTTGTGTTTATTTAAGTGTCACGTTGACATTTGACCTGATCCTCTAAAGTCACTCCAAAAATTCTTCTCAGTACCTATACCTTGGATAGACTCCAGCTCTCTGATCCATATGTAAGCACTGACTGAATCAGAGTTTTGTACAAATGCAATTTAATTTTGCAAGACAATATTCTACTTTTCATCAGTTCCACTAGCCCAAAATAACATTTATTAACTTCAATGATTCTTCTTTGAACTTCTTTCCCCACATCATTCTCCTGAATTATTAAGGAGCCAAAGTATACATATTCCTCTACTCTCTCAAATGTACATTCATTCACTTGTACATGAAAAGAAAGCATCCTTTGTGGGTTCGTTACCATGTATTTTTTTTTATTGGTTTACTTCCAGCCCCATTTTTGCAGCTGCAACTCGTTAGTTCTCTAACCCCTCGACCATGACTTTAAAATTTCTTCTGATGAGACCAATGTCGTAACCCAGCATTTGGACTGAACTATTGAAAATTTTTCTGCCAACTTAGATGCCTGACTCCCTTACCGCAACGTCGATAAGATACAAATAAAAGTGGAGACATGCAAAACTGTCACTTTGCCATAGACCTCAGTAAGTCTGGAATGAGTCTGAAAGCTTACCATCAACGCTCAAGCGCAATGAACATCACACCGCTTCCATTGTCTTCTGGATGAGACTCACAAGCTTGGATGGAAATTCCATATTGAACATAATTTTATAGAGTTCGTCCCACTTTTAGAAAAACATCCTTATTTAATAAGTTTTATGTCCATATGAATTAAGTTGAAGTTTATTAGGAAAAATTTTTATATTCATCTCAAGTTGTTTAAAAAAAATACGTGATTAGATATCCTATCACCTAAAATCAACCATGTTTTCAGTAATGACTACAATAATTTATTGAAAAGCTTTAATATCTTCTTTTTTTCCCATGACCTGTGATGTATTACAATAGATATAAATGCATAAGTACACTTTTAATTTATAAAAATAAATGTTAAAAATAATATTTTTCATCTAAAGTGATAATGAAACTGTGTTTATACCAAGATCTCTATTACAGATATTGATCTGTGTTTATAAATGACCAACTAAATGTTCCTAATCCTAATATTTACGATTTTATAAAAATAATTTAAGCAATCAGCAGATTTTTTTTTTTTTTTTTAAACTTGGCAAGAAGCACAGCGACCATGAAGGCCTATTGTGCTCCCTATTTAATTTTGATTTTGATCAGAGCATTATTTCAGCAGTCTCTGGAAATTGAAGAAGGTTTGTCAGATCGATAAGCTTGTTGTATTTAAGGTTTAGCAATCTATGATTACCGAATAGACGGAATCTTAACCTGGCAAACTTGTCAGACCAATAAGTAATATGTTTTCATCATCTTAGTCACAGAAACTACAGAGAGTTAGACCCACTAGACCGAATTTGAACATATGAAAATTCAGTTTACAGTGTTCTGTATAGATTGCTGTACTTTTCTTAAGAGAACTCCTGCTCCAGTTAATTAACAGATTAGCTCCCTTTGTATAAATCCTATCCAGGAACAACCTAGAATGAGTATGTTTTTTAGAACACCAGTACTTCTTGGTTTCTTCACCATAAATATTCTCGATTCTTCTTTTCATTAAACACATGCTAATTCCGCAGATTGGTTCGGGTACCATGGGAGTTGTTTATGAACCTTTTCTTGCTAGTTCATCTGTCATCTCATTTCCAGCAATGGGATCAATAAGGTACCCATTCGATGGTTACCTTATTGATCCCAAATAAATTTTAAGGTTTGTGCAGCAATCCTTAACAGCCTTAGATTAGTTGTATAGTTGCCCAGCTCTCATATTAGTGAAGATGGAAATCTGCCTCACCAACCCATCAAGCAACAGTTTTGATTCACAGTGAGATATCATCAGTATTTCAGATTGGAATACCGTTGCATATTTCTCTTTGTGATTTAATCACACCCTCATCTGGTTCGTTCTACTTCTAGAAGCCTGCACCAGAGCCGCAGATCATTAGTGAGCGATTAATGTAACAATTAATCGTAGTTCCTTACCAGAAAATCTTTGGCCTGAGTACATTGCAAACACCCCATGTTCCTCAACTCTTTGAAATATTTTCCAATGTCCCTCATGAGTATACACCCGCCAAAATAATTTTAGTTTGGACAGCCTATAAAAAGTTTTTAAGGCCTTTGATTCCATCTCTAACTGCATGGAATAAAAACCCAACATTTCTCCATAGCAGAAGCTGGAGTAGTTTTCATAGCACCTACATGCTAATCTTTGCAGTTTTTTAAGCTCTATCCTGTTGCAGTCAATTCTTACTGTTTGCCATTAAACCACAGCTGAATATAAAAGCATAAGTCTGGTGGCTGTAACATATAGGCAGTGAACAATTCGTGCTCTTATTACAGATTTCTTATACTTTGTAGAAGCAGTGTAATAAGTATCCCATCTGCCAGATCTTTTAGCAGCATTGGATAGTATTCTTGTCGGTGTCCTTTGCCTAGCTGAATCATTATTCATCAGGAAACTTTCCTGTTGAATTTTTTAGTATATATCTCCTTGCTGCTCAGGTAAGAGTTTTTAATAGCATCCATTAAAGATTTACTGAGGCGATCCAGCTGCCAGGTATTATAAACAACTTTTGGGCAGCACTTGCTTGCCTCTTCTAATTATGAGAGATGCGCTTCCCAGTCCGTAGACTTTAGATTTCTAAACTCCTCATAGTTATATTGTTTTCAGACAGGTCAAATCTGATATATTTATGATCTGAGCATGTTTCTTCATCGGATATTTGATCTTAATCTATAACAAAAGGTAGGTTTTTTCTCTCTGTTAAGGATATCAATATTGTTACTAATAATAGAAGAAACTTTGCTTATTATCATGACAGACCCATAGGATGTTGTGGGCATTGACATCCAATGCTTATGTATGATCCGCTACTTCCTCCTGCAAACTTGATGATAAAGTCTAGTTCTTTAGCAGTAGATAACCCGCCACTATAGTTAGTGTCCTATTTTTTAAATCAGTAGGTTCCTTTATCTTAAACATAAATATTAGGATTGAAAACATTCAGCTGGTCACATATATATTTGGATCAATATCTGTAATAGAGATCTTGGTTAGAAAAAAAACAGTGGCATTATCACTTATGATGATAAATATTATAAAAAGCATGTTTTTAAAGATTTTTTTTATACATTTTTGTAATTATTTTTATTATAATACATCTCAGGCCATGGAAAAAAAATCAAAGCTTTGCAATAATATATAGTAGTAATTTCTGCAGAAAACACGGACAATTTTAGGTGACTGGATATCAAATCACATAATTTTTTTTACAAAACTTGAGACAAATCTTAACTTGTTTCCTAATAAACCCTCAGTCAAATCAATATGGACTTTAAGCCTATTAAAAGGAAATTTTTTAGGGAGATAAAAAAAGTCGTGAATAATTTATGGTTTTTTTAAAAACAGAACTTAGCTTAGTTTAGCAGCTCAAAAATCCTCTTTAAATGATTTTACCAATGACAAACTCTACTTTCATTCAAATTAAATTTTATCTAGTTTACTGTGAATTAATTGTTGGTTATTGAAATTAAGTATTTTTTTAGTTATTGCTTCTTATTCCATAAAAAACATAATACTCAAAATAATAGAAAAACGTGAATTTCCTACTTTTCTGCCGAAAATCGGAGTATTGCTCTAAAATTCTATTATCACCTCTTTAAATATTTTCCTCTACTTACAGAACAACTTTTATAAGCTTAATATACAGAATTTTAATTGCAATTATAAAAATATTTAAATGTTAAAAGTATAAATTTGATGGAAATGAATTAATCAAAGCTTATATTTTTCAATACAATTACAATAAATTAATTAGTAACATATAATTGTTCATTATTACTATACTATCTTAATTTATAATCTAAGAATAATATCTTAATTTATTTGTATAACACTTTTTTATTGAAAATTTAAAATTTGTTATAGGATCCAGTTCCTAATAATTTCTGCACTGAAATTCAACCTGAAGAAGAAGAACCTTGCCTCCTACCTTGCCCATTTGACTGTGTTGTATCAGCTTGGTCAGACTGGACTCCATGTTCGCAACCATGCTCTACGCCAACAAGCATGGCATTAAGATCCAGAAATAGGACAATTATTGCCCCTCCAGGACCAGGTATATATTATTTAAACTTCATTTAAGTAATTAAATTTATATTGCATTGCTGAGAGAATATTTTGTAAATTGTTGCCATATAATTGTATGTAGATCTTGATAGGGTGTATGTATTTTATGGTCATTATGACAGCTTTCAAACACTTTCATTTAGATTTTCTAACTTATCTTCTTATACTTACCACTTATAGAAACATGGATTTCACTGAATACACGTATTTATTTGATTATTCCTTCATCACTTCCACCACTGTGGAACAGAGAATATAAGATTGGCCATAAAGTAATAATGATAATTAGTATCGAATCTGAATATATTATATGTTTTGTTGTTAAATAAATATAAAATTATTTTATGAGTGATGGAGATATGTCTGATCAATATTTTGGTTAAAAAAAGAAATTTCAATTTTTCTCATCAAAAGTTGTGTTGTACTATTCAGTTGTGTTCTCAGGAGTAATAATTTATTCATGAGAACTTATAATTCGTGAGGTGTAAGATTTTATTGGTTGAATTAAATAACACTGAACCTTGATCACTTACAGCCAGATGGCCTTAGAGTGGGCAATGGAGGCAATTGCCCTGGAATCCCAAATTTATAAGGCTGGCACTGCTTTCCATCCAAACATTCCAGACAAAAAATTGATATTTGTCTTCTATTCTTTTTCTTTTTTAAGTTTATCTAGTTTAATTTTTTTTAATATTTAGGTGGACAGGCTTGCCCAGATCCAGATGAAATGATGCAAATTGAAGCATGCAACACGCATGGCTGTCATGGCTACAGTTGGATGACATTACCATATCAAGAGTGCAATGGAACCTGTGACAGAGAGGGCTATCAAACCAGAGAAGTTTGGTGTGCTGAAAACCAACAATTTGTTTCTCCAGAAAAGTAATTTAATTAATGATTTTAACAAATATATGTGGGTGAAGGCTGTTTATAAGTTCTGGAATTTAGATTCCTTTACTCAGCTTATCCTAACCTATATTTCTGTCTTGGTTTTTCATTGGTTTTAGGATATGTGTCCAATCACTGAAGGGGAAGTAAAGTGCATTATACATTATGCAAAGAAACCTTTTAAAATAATGTGCGATTTGCCATTACAAACATTAATAAAAGCTTTTGTAACTTCATTATTTGTTTAACAAAAGTTTAGGAAAATCCAAAAATAGATATCTACCTTAGCATTAGATCTTTTTTGATAACAGTAATTATTTGTATAAATTTATTTACAGAAATGAATTGCATTAGTAAACACTTTTAATTTCAGTAATCCAAAATAAATTTTCTTTTTTCCTTTTAGATGCGCAACCTTGAGAAAACCTGCTGAAACTAGACTATGTACAAAAGATTGTCCTGCTGAATGTCAAGTTTCTCCTTGGTCAGAATGGTCTGAATGTAACTCCCATATTTGCTACCCTAGTAAGTAATGAAAGTAAATATAATTTTCTTAGAACTATCAGTAAAATATAAAGTTAATAATACATTTTAATTCACATATGTTTACATTAATTCACAACACAGACATTAGGAAAGAAAGGGTAGGATATATAGGGAGTAATACAGAAATGCTAGACAAAGATCGCATTCTGATGGCATTTAAAGAAAAGATATTGAGCATCTCGAATCAACATTTCTAGCATTTTTTCAATCAAGGAGATCCCATGAATGAAGAAGACATGGATCTCGCTGAAGATTTTGTCGCATAAGAGTTCAAAAACCATTGATCAAAGATATACTGGGTGTAGAAATAGCTATAGAATGGGTTAAAACTACAAAAGCCCCAGAGATAGACATCCTACCATCCTTGGTCTACCATAATTGTTTAAAGATGGAGGAGACAACTTAAGAGCCAAGGTACTACAACTAATCTAGAAAATATGTGAGGAGGAAATGATAATAGAGGTTGAAATACAAGTCTAATCTGCACCATCCTAAAGAAAGGCTCCATGTATGAATGTAGTAATTACAATAGCTTAGCACTCTTTCCTGTTGTCTACAAGATAATGACCAATATCTTACTGAACCAGATATATCTGACATACAAAAATATAGTAGGTTACCACCAAGCTGGATTTAGAAGAGGAAGGAGCACTCTAATCCAGATCTCTACCCTAAAACAAGTACTCAAAAAACGAAAGTATCTCAGGATGTGCATGCTTTATTTGTCGATTTTAAAGCAGCCTATGATATGTGTGGACAGTGGACAGTGGACAGTGGACAGGCATTGTCTTCGGAAAATCATGACTGAACCAGCAGATCCAGGAAGTTAGTAAGATTGATGAAGGTGTGTTCAAATGACCCTAAACGCTGAGTTCTAATACAAGGAGAAGAATCTGATGCCTTCAAATTTTAGACAGGCTTGTGGCAGGGAGATGGACTCTCACCAATGTTCAACTTAGCGCTGAAGAAAGTGATAAGAACAACAAGTAAAAATGGAGGGATGCATGACCAAATCAAATATAAAATCCTTGGGCTTGCAGATGGTATAGCTGTTCTTGGAATCAACCAATAGAACATTAAGAAACTCACAAAAACTCTGATAAGAGAAGCAAACCAAATCGGCCAACAAGTAAATGAAGATAAAACAAAATAAATGGCAATAAGCTAAAAATTCTATCAACAGTATCTGCGTAGGAGGAAAATCTTCTTGAACGTAATCAAATTTAAATATCCTGGCCTTACAATAACCTCAATGAATGAACAATGGTCGGAAATAGTCCAATGTATGACATATACAAACAGGTCTTTCTACTCTCTTTCCAAGATATTGAGGTCCCAAAAAATCTCAAATTACAATGCTATAATAAAGCCTGTTCTGATATATAGCTGTGAGACCTGGACACTAACCAGCACCCTAGAAAAAAGTAATGAAAGATTTGAGTGAAAAACGTACAAGCGATAACCCAAGCAAAGTGGTATCAGAGTACTAATACATAGAGGAGAAAGACCTATAAATAGCTGCTTACAGAAACTGGTATGAAGACAAGGATATTAAGATGGGTGCAGTATGTAGCAATCCATCTGGAATCTCTCTACAACAATGAATACCTCAGCAGTAGGCAAAAGACCTCATGGAAGAGAAAAAAGCAGATGAATAGATCAAATCAATGAAGATGCAATAGAGCTACGTGCAATTAACTGGCAGAGAACAAGAATTCTGGTTAAGGCAGCAAAAGGTCTACAAGGTGTTTAATGCCTTGAAAAAAAAAAAATCATATCTTAATGATTGAGTGTAAAATGTTCTATTGATCAGAAAATATTGCTCTATGTATTGCCAACTCATTTTGAAGATATCTCATTTAGTAATTCGATCCACCATGATTCTATATGATTGTGGTTTTAAAATTTTCAACCATGTTGTGGAGTCACAATCAAAAATGTGTCAAAAATTAAATTTAAATTATTGTTTACAGATGGCAGCAGAGGAGATGCTTCCATCCAGACAAGATATAGGGTAGTTCTTGAAGGTGAAAACTGTGGTCCTCTCACTGAAAAAAGAGACTGCCCATTACCGACAGAACCGTGTCCTTCTTACAGTTGGTCAGCTGGAAACTGGTCTCATTGTCAATTGGCTGCTGGTGTTCACTGTGGACATGGCTTAAGAACAAGAGGTATTGCATGAAATGTTAAAATTTGAAAAGATTTATTATTTTTTTCTATCAATTTTCACTTTTCAGGTCATGTTGGATACAGTTTTTCTCCTGTAACTGCTCTAGCCATGAAGATGCTTTACACGTTTTGGCCAAAATGTTTTAATTTAATTTTTTTTACTATATAACTTTTGCTGGTCCCAAATAATAAATCATATTAATTATTAAATAATATAATTTTTAACAGATAATATATATATATATATATATATATATATATATAAACATATTTTCAATCTGAACTTGTATGTATAATACAGCGTTCCTTACTGCCTAGCTCAATAATTCACATTAAAAATTATTAAACTATATCAGACCCACATGACTACATTTTGTTGATGCCACAAGTATGTATTTTTGGTTATTTGCATCTTCAGAAATTAATGGTCTAGGAGCTTAAAATTTTACAGAGATAAACATTAGTAGAAGCAAATGTGTGCACATTTTTATTGCTATAGCATATCAGAGAGCCAAGATATACCTTTGAAAAAGTACATTCTTTTCCAGTTAGATTCTTATTGTTCTTGTTCGACTTTGATTAGATTCCCACCTAGATGACTTAACATGTTTAGTCATTAACCAGATATTATTGTTAATATATAGAGAATATTATGTTTAAATCCGTTTATCAATTATTAATATGCCGCATAATAATAAGAAGTCAGAACTACTTTAATATCATTCTTGATCATTCTTGGATCAGTGGAAATTTATCACTTAATTGTAATTTATAATTGTTTGTATGGATAACTAGCATTACCAGGTCATGTGCCGCTATGGCCCAGTCTGGCAAAATGGAAAAGAAAGAAAATAGAAAGCACATATGATTAGATTAATACTAAAGGACATCTGTAATTTTTAAGAAGTTGAGAAACAAATTTGTCTGTAACATAGCTTCAATTTAAACTAATTCTAATGTGTTTTTTTTCATGATTCAAATTGAACATTCTTAACATCAGAAACAATCTGAGTTGAACTTATAAACCTAAAATTGACTTTATCTCGGTTTTCTGAAAATGGCAGAGATTCGTCTTTGATATGAAGCCACTCATATATTTTCATGTTTAATTTTTTTTTATATTTAATGTTCAACTTTGTGTTGATTTTTTTATGGCAAACAAAAATGTAAATGTTTGTTTATTCAAACTCTTAAATCTCGGAAAGATCTTCACCCATTACCTTGAAATTTTGGCTTAACGTTGCATTTAAATAAACGCATGGTTTTATATACCTATAAGGTGAAACTATATATATTTATTAACGAATCAACCGACTTCGATGATTTTTTTTTATTTTGTAGGAAATTCAGAAAGCTGTCAAGTAAATATGGGTATTATTAATCGAAAGTTATGTACTTTTTTAGTTATTGGCAAATAAATTTTTAATTCATCGTAACATTTTTTCAGCTAGTTTTTAGGAAAGTATGTTATACACATTAATTAAAAGGATATCAAGGTAAAGACTTAAGACAAGTTTCGTTAAAATCGTTAAAGCCGTTTTGGTGCTACAGTTTTTAGCAACACGTTTTTCGGCCACCATTTCGAAACGAAGGGCTGGATGGTAATAAAATGTTCAAAAAACATTCTTGAATTCGATTGCAACGCTTTGTCAAAATTCCAAATCAATCGGCGAAGAACTTTCAGAGAATAATGATTTTGAACAAAAAATCCTTTACATTTTTATTTTTTTACACATATAAAATTATCGTAAGAGAGAAGTACTATGCCAGAAACCTTTGCGGGAGTGTACGCAACATTTCCCATATTTTCATGACGATCGGATAAATGATTTAGTCATGCATAAAGGACAGACAAACAGACAGACATACATTCATTTTTATATATATAGATTGTAACATTCATTACAATTTATAATTATTTAATAACTCAAATTATATTATGTTTTTTTATAGATCTATGGTGTATAAAAGATGATGACACCAGGGTGGAACTACGGCATTGCCTGGTAACTGGAACACCCATCCCTCCTAGTATTCAAAGGTGTCATGCAGATTGCCACACACCATGCCAACTGACTGAGTGGTCTAGTTGGTCTCCTTGTAAGCAACCTTGTTCTGGGGTAAAAATAAGAACCAGAGAGCTTATAGGTCTGTAATAATTAGCTTTTTAAAGAATATATCTGAATATGTATCGGTTGGTACTGTAAAAATAAATTATGAAGGTATATAATTTGACTACTGATGTTTTTTTTAATTTGGCTTTAGGATTATCTAATCAACATAAGTCATGTAGAGACCTGTCTTTAATAGAAAGAATGCCATGTCCTTGTGCTCAATATAATTCATTGCCTCTATCTGATTGGTCAACTTGTCTTACTAATGAAAGCACACCTTGTGGAACTGGAACTAGATATAGGGCTATGGGATGTTTTGATCAGAGAGAACAAATGGTAGATCCAAGGTAAGTCAAATTTAAAATTTTACACATGTAGTTCAAATGATAAAAATTATTAAAATAAATGTTATTACAGTCTTTGTGGAGGGAGCAATGGTCTTGAAGAGGAACCATGTTTTGTCCCCTGCCCAGTGGATTGTCTCTTTAGTGAATGGACTGCTTGGAGTGAATGTAGTACTCAGTGTGGACCTGGTATTCATAATAGAACTAGAAAGGTAATTGTGTAAATATCTTATTGACAACCTCAGTTTACTGACCAGATCTGTATATATAAATATAATGCAGGAGTTTAGATTGATAGAATTATTGGTTTTAATGAGATTTAAGAGGTAAAATATCTTAGTATGTTTGGAGTTGTATATGGTAGATTATATAATATTAACTTTCCATCTAAAAATAAATTTGATATACACTGCCATAAAACAGTGGTCATAAGAACAAGCACACTTTAAATGTTATCATTATTTCTTTTCCAAATAAATGGGGTGAACAAAAATTCATTAAAAAAAATTGTAATGTAAAATAAAACAATTGAACACTCTTTTAAACAAAAATAAAACACATTTAATCCTTTTTTAATTATGAAATCTGACTCTTTAGTACCTAATGTTAAATTATTTTCTTAAAAACGCCTTGTAATCTCGTAGAAATACTACTAATAACGAGGTTACCCGATCTTGAATGTGATCCATTTCACATACTTAGAGGTCATATGAAGGGTTCTGTTGCTGACGGATGGATGTCCTTAGCTGGTCCCAAAGATGCTTTATAGGATTGAAGTCCGGCCTGCATGCTGGCCACTCCTAATTACGGGCACTAACCTCATCTAAGTACACCTGTAAATCATTTTTGATGTGTGGCTGAACATTATCCTGCATTAAAAAGAAACAGAGGTTGATAAACTAGCCAAAAAGTACCAAATATTCCTTGAGAATTTCGAGGATGTACATGAGCATTTAGTGCTGGCCTTCGGAAAAAATGTATATCTATACTTGACTCTAAGTATTATTTCTTTCCAAATTATCTCGGACCATCCTCCAAACTGCACTTTTCCCACTATATTGCACTGAGCTAATTGCTTAATTGGTCTTCTCCAAACTAGAACTTGTCCATCTGCACCATAAAAAATATATCTGGACTTGTAAAAAAAAAACAGAATAGAGGTATCATCTTTTGTCCAGGCAGCGTGTTCACTACGAAAGTGCAGGCAAGATTCTCGGTGTGTTGGAGTGAATAAAGAGCCACTAGCGGAAACCTCAGCATGCAGTTTGAGTTCAGTATGGCTTCCCCTTACTGTGTGCATGCTGACATCTATACCTCGAGCAATGCTCAATCAATGAGAAGTATCAAGTGAAGTCTGGTAGCGGTTTCTGAAGGTGTGCATAGCAATGAAGCAGTTATCAGCTGGACCTGTCGCTCTTGGGTGGTCTGAACACAGCCTCCTAGCGTAGGTTTCTGTCTCCCGGTACCTCAGGACTATCTACCGAACCATTGTTTCATGTAGCTCATGGAATCAGGCAGCGTATCGCTGACTTCAGCTGTTCTCAATTTACAGTTATCTGAGGGACTGCCATGTTATCCAACCATTTTACACTCATAAAAATGTTTGATTCAAATTAAAATTGTTTTTCAAGAAAAATAAACCACAAAAGCAAACACAATGTGATTGAACAGGCTTCTATTTTAATACTTTTATCATTAATACCATTGAGGATCATAAGATTTTTCTCGAAATAACTGCATGGTAATCTCCATTAACCTTTCATATACATGTTATTAATTCAGGCTCAAAAATATTTCTTCAATATGCGATTTTTATATAAAATTGAAAGTGTGCCAATTTTTTTTTACTGCCAGATTTTTGTTTTACTTTTTATTTTTGTTCATTATTTTTAGTAAATATAAAATCAAGTGTGTTGTGTAGAAATGTGAAGGTGAAAATTTGTTAACATATTAAAAAATTAATTAGCATTAATTTAATTAAATTAATTAATTAATATTTAATATTAATAATAAATAATTGAAGAGAAGGATGGTAGGGATGATCAGTCAAAATAAAATAGTAAAAATAAATTTTACTATTTCATTTTGACTGATCACCCCAACCATCCTTTTCTACAATTATTCACTACAGTCAACCATCAATCCACAATAATAAATAAAACGGATATTTGATTTCCTGGATCGGAACTAGTTCTGGCACTGGTACAGGTATTGGTGAAGGAACTAGTCCAGCAAGTGAGCCTAGTAGTTTGTTTTGCAAAGCCCAGAGCACTACTTAAATGTTGTCGCCAAATACTAACCAGAGTGGGAGTATCATGCCCTTTGAGTTCTCAGATACCCAGCAACAATGACAATTTATAACGGTTTAATACTGGCTATTCTGAGGCACAAGTGGATCCAGAATTTATTTTTGGGAGGTGCTTCAGCCTGAAATGTTTTTTTTATATATGTATATAATGATAATTACTTTGCAAAAAAAGAAAGACACTAACTACCTAATCTAAAGCTGAACGTTGAGAAATTAAAGCCATTCTCATTGGCTCCAAGCATCTTATTAATTCCATTCCATACTATCCCCTACTGTACCTCAATGGACTACCTTTCCGTTTCCATACCTCTGTCAGAAATCTCGGGGTAATTTTCGATCAATACCTGTCCTGAAATAATCACGTCCCCCAAATTATCCGAAAATCTATTGCTACCCTAAAACAGTTCTTGAGATTCCGTGATGCTATGCCCCTAAAAACCTGCCAACTCCTAGTTTCCTCACTCATTTTTCCTCACTTTGATTATGGCTGCCTTGTATAAGATACGATGGACTGTCTGGTGGGCTTGAGATCAGATTGAAAAGATTAATGAATTGTTTCATTTGATTCATCTTTGAAGTCCCCAGGCTCTCCTACATCTCCAATTGAAGTGGCTCTATCCAGATATCTGGCAGCAATATTTCCTAGTTGTATTCCTTTTCCGAACCTTTACAACCAAAAAGCCATCTTACCTTCTTGATTTGTTTACTTTACTCCTTGTTCATCTGTTCATTCGTTTAACATGAGATCCCAGTCCATAAAGCTGTTTGTTCCCTCACATAAAACCGTTTCCTTTAAAAAATCTGTTATCATAAGTGCTACCTTTTTTCGGAATTTTCTACCTATCTCTATACGCAAATCCTCTTCCTTAACCTGATTTAAACAACTTTTATTCTTTCACCTCTTTAGCAATCGGTCATCCGAATACGTGTATGGAAAATTTTGTATCAAAGAGCTGTCACTCTCATTTGACTGTTATGCTATTGTTACTTACATATCATCAATACTGTTAATCAGAATGTGTTTATCAATATGTTTACTAGTACTTAATGTATTTGAATTATAAGGTTAGATTATTATGTTACACTATCTAAAATTGTTCTTGTTTTTATTTTTTATAGTGCCATACAATTTTCAGTTTTTTGTACACTATAACTATTCTAAGGGGACTAAATGTACCAGAATAAAATTGATTTTACTTTCTTTCTTTCTTTCTACCAATATGAAATGATGTTTAAGTGATTCTTGAACTATTAAATGTAATTACACGAATAATAATACTTTAAGAGTTAATTTTTCCATAAAACATGGTTACATTTTACAATTTTGAGGGGGGGAGGCTTCATCCCGAAAGCTATTATAATGAGCTATTATTTATAAATTATATTTCATATTATTATTATTATTAATTGCCTTGCTGATTTTTTCACTTCTATCGTGTGGTCTAAAGCACACACCTTAGTTTTTTTTTTTATTTCTTTTAATTTTCGCTACAAAATAATTGAAAACTATGTACGGAAAACCAAAGTTACACCCCGTTACAATTACATTGTTACTAAAAATAACAATATATTAACTTTAAAGTAGGTTCATATTTCCATTTTCATTACAGATATTAAGGAAGGATTCATATGGTGGACGAGTTTGTGGAAATATTTTAGAAACTAAGATATGTAATACTCCATGTGATGTATTTCAATGGCGAGCAGGAGGATGGAGCGAGTGTCAACTCCTTCCATCAGATAAACATCTGGGCTGTGGAACAGGAGACCAGTATAGACAAGTGAAGTAAGTTCAATCATCCTAGGATCAAAATTTTCCCTAATCTTCTGGTTTGATGGTGCTACTTTTGAGTAATGTATTATGAAGAGATGCTAACAACCTAACTTCTATTAAGGATTAAATAACAAGAATTGGAATAATTTCCAAGCAAATATCACCAATTGTTTATAAATTATCATTCACTGAACTTTCTTAAAAGTTAAATTGACAAGACCTTATTTTCTTACAAATGCTTTGGGATTTCTTTCATTTAGCCACTTCTTTTTCTTTATTTAGTTTTTATTTCAATTACCCCATACTTTGCCATTTCTGGCATATAGAGAAGTTGTTCTAGAAATATAACCAAACCTATTCTATTCATTATTTGGTTGATTCAGTAAAATGGTTCAGAAAACCGTGAAAAGTGTTATTCTCTAATTAAAATTTAATAAAATAGCACTCATAACTTTTACCTTCTTGTGATAATACTTATGATTAATGATTACTTATGAAAATTGTATCTATAAAATGTTTATAGAAAATATATTAGTCTTTGGTGTTTATGATAAAAAAAAAATTAGGATATCTAGGTAAATAAATTAATGTTTTCAGATGTGTTGATTCCCGAACAAATAGTGAATCTTTGGATTCGCTTTGTGACTGGACAGTGCGGCCAGCTGACATTGCTGCATGTCATGTTGCCTGTCCTGGTGATTGTGTTCTTGGACCTTGGTCAGACTGGTCTCCTTGTCCTAAGGTAAAAATTTAATAAAGATAAAATTAGCCATTTTATGTTTGTTATATACTTTATAAATATAAATTATTCCTAATATTTATATTTTAAATAATTCTAGCAAAAACAATCTTGAATACTTCCAAACATTAAAGAATGAAACTATAAAATTGTTTAAAATAAAAACACTTTGTCTGTGTTTTAAATAAGGATAATAATGATCTATGTCCTCCTTCTGAGTACCAGAGTGCCGAACCATTAATATAAGAACTCAGTAAAGAGAAAATTGATATAGCTCTCAGAAAATTAAAATCTTATGAAGGATCAGGAACCATTACTATTCCTAATGAACTATTTAAGGCAGGAAAGGAACCTGGAGTTTAAAAAATACATTTCTTGGTTAAAAAGAACTGGAAGAATGAGAAATTGCCTGAAGAATGATTTGTTCTTATTCCTATTCGCGAAAAGGGCCTGAGGATGGATTGTAATAACTATCGAGAAATTTCACTCCTTTTGGTATATTTTAAAATATTCATATCAATCATAACTAGTTGAATCATGGAATACGCTGTGGAAATTATTGAAAACTATCAATGCAGATTCAATTATCAATCAAATATTTTCTTTATTGGAGAAAAAATTAGAATACAATGGTGTTGTTCATTAGCTCTATATCAATTTCAAAAAGGCTTATAATTCCATTGACTGCTATAAGCTGTATAACATTCTATTTGAGCAGGGCATCACAAAAAAATTAGTGAATTCAGTTGGGATGTTTATGTCCGAAACACTCAATAAAGTTAGAATTGGTTATTATTTATCCGAGAAATTTGAGATTCATTTGGGCTTAAAACACTCTTCACCTGTCCTATTTAATTTGGCATTACAACATGTTATTAGAGAGATGATACAGGAAAAGGTTTGAATCTGGATGGAACAATATCCGTACTTCGTTATGCTGATGATTTGGTACATGGAAACAATAAAACTAAATACAACAACGTTAATGAAAGACATTAAAGAACTAGTGCTTGACATTAATACTAATAAGACAAAATATATAGTTAGCAGAAAAATGCCATCAATTGCAATGTTATATATACACGTTGAGAAGTATAGGTATTTAGGGTCTATGATAACAAAAAAAAAATAAATAAATTGAAGAGGAAGTCAATGCTAGGTTAAAGGAGGGAAATGCTTGCTATTTTTCAGTTACAAAACTACTTAGCTTGAGGCTGTTCTCCCGAAACTTAAAAATTAGAATTTACAAAAACATTATTCTTCCTATAGTTCTTTATGGATGTAAAACCTGGCCACTTACATTAAGGGATGAACAACATTTTGAGATTTTTAAAAAAAAGTATTGCGTACAATATTCAGACCGAAAAAGGATGAGTTAACCTAAGAATTTAGGCGGTTACACAATAATGAATTGTAGGAAATGAACTCCGTTAATATAATTGACATTATCACTTTGAAGCGAATAAAATGGGTATGTAAAATTGCTGGGCTTAGTTACGAAAAAATTCCTAAGAAGTTAATATGCACTGTGCCGAATGGTAAGTGTCTGAGGGGTAGACCGAAGCAAAGGCAGGAAGATTGCTTTAAGGTTAATCTGGTGGAGTTGGATTTTGAAGGTGTACAGTGGATGGAAGAATGTAAACATCAATTGGTGGTATTGGCATTTGTTAAGCTTATTTTATTATTTATATTTATTTTATTATTTATATTTATTTTATTATTAAATTATCGATATTTATGCCTTCATTATTAAATATTTACACTATGTTTTAAATTTTAACTTATTGCACACTTTTATTATATAGGGTTGTCAAGGAAACATACCTCAGCAAAGAACTCGGTCACTTATGCGATCTGCAGCATCAAGTGGAGCCAACTGTCCACAACCAATACAAACACAAAATTGTGAAGTTAATATAACTTGCTTTACGTATCGGTGGGTAGTTACAAACTATTCTTCATGTATGCCTCTTGGAGGAAGTCCATGTGGCGAAGGAATGGCCACCAGAGCAATCTACTGTCTCCGTTCCGATAATAGACCTGTGGCTGATAGGTAAGATACAGTTTTTCACATTTACATTGTATTCAAAACATTATAAAGAATTCTTTATACATAACTATGTCCAATATCTACAAAAGTCAGATATATTTATAGAAAATAGTTTTATTTTTATTCTGAGACATTTAATCCTTTAAAGAAAAGTATTTTTATTATATTAGTAATTAAATATTATATTAAAACAACATTTGCCTGGCTGCATTGATAACAATTAAATTAAATTATAAACTAAAGACAAATAAAAGCATAAAATAAAAATAAAAAAGTCTAAACTTGATGAAAATACAGTAAATAAAATACAATAAATAATATTAATTAAACTGAATACAGTTTGGGAAGATATATATACATTTTTACACTTACTTATATAGACATTTCTTCTTTACATATATATAGAAGATTGATGATTCAGGAGATAAAAATAGGTGGTGTTTCAATAAGGTTAGGGAGGAATGGCCTTGTTGAAATATCTCTGAGATGTAAAAGTGTCTAGAAACACAAATAAGAAATCTTATGAAATAACACATTAATCTTTTCTGCCTCATCTCCTGCTCACCATATTATCTCCCATTGTAAATAACCTGTTAAAAGTTAATTGTAAATAATTTGTTTTGGCGGGAATTGTAAATATTCCTTCCGTTTTTATCGGGAGGACTAGGTTATTTACACTCGTAAATATTAAAACGAAACCCCAGCACTGGATATAGACTTTTTGAGGGTGTTTAATCAGTGTTTTTCCAGCTTCCTTCTTCGTCGATTGTTTATGGATATGAGACTTTTCAATGAATAATTTGTCCACTGCATAATTGAGTACAATTCATCGTGCAACCTAACATTCCTATAAATTCCTTCTCATTCCCTCACACAATGTCACATGAAGGAGTAAATACTGGGGGGCTATCTACTACACCATACACCAGCCATCCATAGTCAGAGGAGGAAAGAATGAGGGAATAAAGGGATATTATTTTGGGAATTTTGAATCATGGAATCTTAAGAGCTGTTTAAAGATGGTGATAAATTTTTAGGGTGATTTGGCAATGAGGTTATTCCAGATTAGGTATTGATCAAAGATAACTCCCAGGTTTATTTTAGAGTTTTGGAATTAAATAGCAATAAAGTAATGGATAATAGGGAAGAATCTTGAAAAGATATCTTGAATCAGTGAGAATTTCTTTAGTTTTTAATGGATTCAGACTAAACATATTTATTGAAGCCCAGCAGTTAATGGTACAGATCCCTTTTTATAATATTTAAAAAAAAACTGTCTAAAACTTCGTGTATAGCTTCATCTCATCGTAATCTAACTATTTTTCATTTACGCAATTCTCGGAATTGGGGCATTTTTAATTTGAATCTCATCAAACTTTGTCTATTTAATTAGGTATTAAAACCTAATAAACACCCAGTTGCTTTCCACTAGAATGGTACGATGATATGATCACAAAATCAAGAAAAAAAAGGTGGCCTACAAAACTATTGGGCCAGTTGGCATTAACTCCATCCCCAACATGTCAAAAAATCTGTGTTTTAAAATAAATATATTGTTTTATAGTGGGAAGCTGTAACTCTGATAGCATAATAGATATTTTGGAATATCGTAGGTAATTGTTTATGATTTTCATGCATGTATTTTGAATCACTTCAAGTTTTCCGTAATTAGTCTCGCATGTGTAACTACATACTGGAACGGAACAAGTGATTAAAGTGCAGATTACTGTTTTATATAAACTCAATCTATTTTTTATAGTCAATTGCGAATATCTATTGAAATATAGTGACATTTTGCTGATCATGTTTTTTGCTTTATTGCACTTTTTATTAATATGTTGGGTGAAATTTAGGGACCTATCAAGTTCAAGGCCTAAATATTTCAAGGAGTTAGACCAAGGTGTATATTATGGTTTATGCGTGGTCTTCTTTTTGTAAAAATAATTGCTTCAGTTTTTTTATCATTTATTTTTATTTTCCATTTTTCAAAATACTTGCAGTCTTATGAATTGGGATTGTAATCTGTTGGTTATAGTGTCAATTCTGAAAGAAATACTTAAATAAAATCACAAGCAAATGAAATATTTTTGTCTATCAGCTGGTGCACAGACATCCCAAAACCTAATCCTGCAGAAAAATGGTGTTACACTGATTGTCCAGTTGATTGTCAGATTGCAGGTTGGAGTGAGTGGAATTCATCTCAATGTTCATGCGGACAAAGTGGTAAGTTTTTATGAATCAAAAAGTATTTTTAATGAAATTTCTTATAAATAACTATTGTAAATAAAAAATAATGTGCTTCTTATTTTTTTTTTAGTTTCTTTTATAGACATTGTCAACTTGTACATAGTCTTGGGATTCATAAATAATTTTTGTTTAACCCTTCTTATTGCCAAATGGATTGCAATGACAGAAAATTAATTATAAAATGTATTCTTTATTTTATCTTGATAAAAAATGTACTTATTGTGAAAAATACTTCCATACAACATATTTTTATTATGAATATATAAATTTAATAGGATGCCATGCCCATAACATCAAGGGTCTGTTGCCATTCATAATAAAGATCCATTATCCGCTACAACATTTTACTTCTTAAATTAATAAAATGTTGAAGCAAATAATGAATTTTTATTATTAAAGCCAACGGACCCTTTATATCATTTTATTAAAAAATATTTACATAACCATATTTTGGACACCTCCATCATAAGGGTTCCATTCTTGAGAAACAATAGTTTTTAGTAATGGAATAAATAAAAAATTAAAGTTTTTTTTTTAATGTAATGTAGATTGTGATTTTATAATTTATATTCATTTACTGATAATGATTAATTTGTTAAGATGTCATATTGTTTTTTGTTTTTCTATACTTCTGAATAGTTAGAAAAAAATATATGTTATATTTTTTTACTGAAATAGTTAAGTTTTATTGCTAGATTGATTCAAATAATAAAAACTGATTATAATTTTTTTTCCTCAATAAATAAATTCAACGGAACATACTATTTAGATATGATGACATATATTTTCATATATTTCTATTATATTTCTCATATTATGATATAAGATATTAAAAATCATTTAACAATAATTTTAAAGTTATTAATATTAAAGTTTCAAAAATTTTTCTATAATGGCTCTCAAAACCGGCCACCTTCAGCAGGCATTTTTTAGGATGTCAGCAATTCACTGTATTTTCTTAAACTCTAGTCACTTCTTATTTATCTTACTGACAGCTCCTGTCTGACCAGTCCATGATTATTGTAATTCACTATCAAGTGCTGATAAGTTGATACCTCATTCTTAGGTGATGGAATAGGAAATATTGAGAGGGGGAGCAAAGGTCAGAATTACAATACAATTATTTAATACATGGAAGAGAAGAGATGATAGAATGCCATTGATGAACCAGTAGTTCACTCATCAGTTTATTACTTGTAATAAAATATAATTATTATATCTTCTGTTCATTGTGACTTTTTGTGAGTTATTTTTAAATAAATAACTGCGCAATATTGAAGAGGCTGGGTTCATTCATAAAATGTCGAGAGGCAAAAAGTGCTATCCCATCTCTGGTGCCAATGTCTATAAGTTGAACATAAAACTAGTAGAAACCAAAGACAACTGAATCCTTAGTTGACGTTAGCCCTCTCAGGACCCAGACTTAATTTACTTTTTTCAGGTTCAGAATGACTTGAATACCTTTTAATAAGTTTAAAACTCTACCTAGAAAACACAAATGAACAATCAGTTATTATTGTAAATATTGTAATGACGGAATTAATTTATGTATCTTTATCTATTCCCAAAAATAGGTATGAGCCGACATGCTTTAATTGGCACAAATCCTAGCACATCTGGCAGAAGTTGTCCAGTTTTGTTACAATGGAAACCTTGTCCAGCAGTACCCTGTTACAGTTGGCAAGCAGGACCTTGGACTTCTTGCCAACTGCATGTAAGTAAATATGATATATTATTTTTTTATTACAAATGTCTTGTGTGAAGTTATGGTTGAAATTATGACTGTGAAATCAGTATTTTAATTGAGTGCTGTAGTTTTTATTTTATATAAAATACAACTGCAAATGAAATTATTACACTAGTAGACAAAATGAAACTTCTTGTTTCAAACTATTCAAACTACCCCTTTACTTAATCGATTTACATAACACATTTACACCCCAATTTTTAAGAAAAGAAGAAGCAGTTATATATCATTATCTGACTAATATCAAACTAATTCTATGAAGCGGGGTGGAGAAAATAACTTTCTCAATAAAAATTTTTTTTCTTAGCTTTTAATCTGCCTCTTAAATACTCAGAAAATAGCTTAAACAAAGAACTTTCATTTCAATAGGTATTATTTAGGTAGAAGTATAATAATAACAAAAATAATAATTTTAGAAGTATAATAATGATAACATGATAATTACATTTTCTATCAGTTAAATATAAGTCGTAGTGAGTAGGGGGAGTAAAGGGAAGTTTTGGGAATGTCGAAGGGGTGGACTCTGTCCACCAGCTTTTTAGGGACGATAAGGAATAGTGGAGTATAAGGGACAACTATACATACCACCACCAAGTGGGCGGGGTGGCCGAATGGGCTAACGCGTGTGCACTGCACCGCCGTTACTCGGCAACCTGATAAATGAATCAAAGATATAAAAATAGACACGAGTTCGCGTCCCGGTGCCGGGGGAGTCTTTTAAATTCCCGCCCACACTCCCCACACTCCTTGGCCCAGGTAAATCCCATATAGCCTTAACGGCGAGGAAGGGAAGGACAAAAAAAAAAAAAAAAAAAAAGAAAACACCACCACCATATGTTTTTGACACAATTTATCACATGATTTTTTTTCAAAGTAAAATGGGTGCAATATAATGGTTGACAAATTTGCTAATTGATTATTTAAGAACTAAAGATTAAAACTGAATTCCCAGTAGATTTAATCTAACTATACTAATAAATATTTGAATTTCCTAAAACATGAGCCTAACGGGCTTGGTTCCCTGCAATACTTTATGGAATAACTGCATTTAAAATCCTTGCGTTAAGGCTGTCTGCCTCCATTGTGTACAAGTCCTTAATATTTTAAAATTATTGAAAATTTATGGAGTTCATAAATTTGTCCACTTTAGAGAGCAGTCTGCTAAGAGAAGTTTCATCGTGTTTAATAACATTGATGGTAGTTGGATAGTAGAGGACTGTATTATATATCATAGGCTATAAATAATCAAGATAGTCATATTTGATAATATTTTAACCCAATCAAGTGTGCCATCTTCAGACTTTTAATTAACATAAGATATTCAAGACAGATATAAGTAACAGATTATGAACCAACCCTACTCTCCTATCTACTAACTAGGAACTCCAGCAGTATATATGTGATCAATATTTTTAGTTATTACATCTGTTATCTTTTCATCATTTATGTATTCACCATTATATTCAAAACCATTATTTAATCATCTTATTTTTATCATTTATTCATTATTATTTATTGTTTAAGATTTTTTTATCTAGTATTATCTAGGATTGATGGTCTTATATTCATTACCTATATTTGTCTTGTATCTCTGATGTTATTTTCAGCCTTTAAGATGATCCACATTATTGGGTTAAAGTATAGCCAATAAAAATGACCAAAAATGACTGAATTCAGATTATTTGCCACTTAGGTGATAACATACTATCATCATATCACACAGTTTAAAGTTAGAAATTTCTAAATTGTTTGGTTATTAATATTTTGATAATTGAGAGAGGATCATGTAATAATTTTATAATATTTTTAATCATCTGGATTAAATAATAATATTATTTAAATCAGGGTGCTTCTTGTGGTCATGGACTTCGGACTAGAAATGTATCGTGCATTCGAGGAAATGACAACGCAACAGTTGAAGCCTGGTATTGCTCTGGTACGAAAAGACCTCCAACTTGGGAAGCTTGTCATAGCCCTTGTGATAGTGACTGCCAATTATCTACGTGGTCAGAATGGTCCCATTGTCATGCTGATTGCAGTAAAGAAACAACAGGTATGCATAAGAGTTTTATTTTATTTATTTTTTTTCTTGGTTTCTATCTGAGATAGAGAAAATTCATTATTTTTTTTAAACAACATTTAAAGAGTAAATTGTCCATAGAGCAGTATATGAAAAATAGTTAAAATGTTACTCCATCTGTAAACCTATGTTTTGTGTACAATTAATATTAATGTTTAAATTGACAATAAAAGAAAACAAGAAACAGTACAAATTTTAACCAACATAAATTTTATTTTATTTATTTAAAAGTATCACTATCTCATTTACTTAATCCCAACTAATTTTTAAAGTATTAACTATCGAATAAGTTCTACAGTTTCTTGTCAGATATAACTAGTTGTTGTACAGTCTATCACTTGCAAATTATGGCATCAGTATTATCTGTAGCCCATTAACCTTTTAGCGATGATGAGCGGGAAGATTGGAGCGGCCTTAAGGATAGTACTAGCTAACTAACATTTCTCCATGTCCCTAAAGTGAAATAATTTTTATCACCTCTAATTAACACTTAAGCATTTATATTTACAGAATCATTACAAATTTGTGTATGTCGTTTGTTTTTTTTTATCTAACTTTTATACAATATTAATTATATATTTAATAATTTTAACTAAGAGACACCCTCTTCATAGAGTCTAGGTGTGTCCCAGGAGGGTCTCCTGACCCCAGGATTGATCCACGGCTGATGAAAAATTACTTTTCATTAACCAGATTCGAATCCAGGATCTTGAGCTCTGAAAGTCAATGCTTACCCACTGATTTACCCTGTCCCATGTACTATTTCCTTTAAAAAAAATACTTATATAAGTTATCATTTTAATAAAAATGAAAGTAATATACATAAAACTTTAAACTATAAATTTATTCTTTTCTAAAAAATACTTATCAAGTATTTTGCAAGAATATAAGCCATTGAATAACAGTTAATTTGTGATAATCTACTTTTTCACCACTTTTTAATGAATATACTATTTAATTTTCTTGTTTGTCTAATCTTCTTCTACTAATGTTACAAATAAGTTGAAGTAGCAGAAGTTTATGCAAAAAGTGTTGTTCTAGATAATTATAAAACATGCTATCACAGGGTATGAAACAAGATCAAGGGCCGTTATCAGGCCTCCTCAGTCAGCCGGAGCAGAACCTTGCCCAGAAGCTCTATGGGAAACAAGATCTTGCAAGCCTCAACCTTGCTACACATTTGACTGGACAGTGACTGCAGCAGGGGTTATAATCTGTCAGCGTAATGATGGCTTGAGGGTAGAAGGTAATCTTAAATTTAGTTGATTAGTTTCCATTCTAAATAAAACATTGTACAATCTTTACTTTATCATAATCATAAAATTAGATATTTAAGAAAAAATAAATAAAATTGTAAGCACTACTAAACTTCCTTCATTAATAGGCCTAATCAAAACTGTTTCATACAGGAGGTTGCAATGGAAAAGTGAAACCCAAATCTCCATTATGCCAGTGGGATAAAGGCAAATGTATTTGCGAAGATGGTGCTGTCGTATTGCAACAAACAGCATGCCCATCTGAGTCCAATGCTGTACATGCCAGTATATACTACCCAAGTAATTATATTATACTTTCAATGCAATTACATACATATATCACTCATTAACATAATATAAAACAGTTCATTAAATGGACTTTTACTCACAATTGTATAATTTTACATTCGTACAAAAGTGTAAATTTAAGCATATCAATTTTAACCTTAATGATGCATCTTATTATTTTTATTCTATTATACCCTAGGCCTTTATATGAATCAAAGCTAATATTCTTTTATGTTTTAATATATTTTTTGCAACATATCATGTTACATGATTGCTAATTAAAATCTCTCAAAAGACCAAAATAGAATTATATTTATATGTAATCTAATATTAGCAATACTTCTATTATAATTATAATTATAGGAATATATATTTTTTTAAATGTAATCTCAACTATTTATTTGTTTAATGTTTTGTTTTGGGTGAGTCACCTATTTTTAAAAAGCATTTCTTCCTTACTTTTCTTATCATAACATATGTAACCATATTTATGATGATTCAATACCTATGCTATTTGATTTTATTCCTTCATATTTTTCTTTTTCTGTAGGAACATTTAATAAAAAATATCATGATGTAAAAAAATACTTTATTATATTAAATATAGTATTTTTCCTCCAATAGATGTTTTAACAAATGTTTGTTAATAATTGTTATTTTACATTATTCATATCAACAAAAAAACATAAACTGTTTGTGTCTAAGATAAAACTGACCCATCCCCATACCAGCCAACATTCCTTTGCCTTATCCTAAATATTCGTGATTATTCTGATCTGTTTATTTGCTAGTTTCTTTTTCCTTACATAACCAATTATATTTATATAATGGCAACCAATGCTTCCCACACCTGTTTTAAAATTTACAACATAATCAATGTTTTTTGTTATGTATCTGGCCTACATGTTCTTTCTTATTCTATAAAGTAAATTAACAATTATTAATATATATTCATCAAAATGTCTAGTGCGATTGCAGGAAAAATAATATATATTTAATATAATCCACTAGGTTTTCAAATCAAGATATTTTTTATTAAAAGAAGAATTAAACTTACAGTCTAAGGATGAATAATGAGATTATAAAATATTATAAACAACATAATGTATTAAATGTCCCTTTAGAAAAAGAAAAATTGATAACATACTGATGTATTATAAATATTGTTTCTTATATTATACTAACATAGAAAGTATCAATTGTACACGATTAATTTATTTGTTTCCCAGTTAAATAATTTTGATAATGGACGACTAACCCAAACCGTTAAGTGAATAAATAGTTGAGAAGTGGTATAAATGCCACTCTTCATTTTTCCTATACTGTTTTACATCTATAACAGCTAATGTCTTAACAAAATAAAAACCTATATTTCTTTTTTTCAGACGATGATTTGAGTGTCTGGATGTTTGCTGTAATTGGTGTAGGGTGTGTTTTCATTATATTTGTCTCAATTTCCATCTTTTTATTATGGTGAGAATATTTTGTTAATATTAATATTACAGTATATAATGTTTTTAAATATTCATATAGGTTTTTCCTTTAGCATTACTACAATTAAATTTTCAAAAAGAAATTTTATAAATGATTCAATATGTAACCTCACTATTGAAAAGGTTTGATCATTTGAGAACTCATTGAATGTGACCATTGGTACACTGTTCATGAAATCTTGACAAGATTAGTTCTCAAATTGTTGGTGAATTAACAATATTCAAACTTCCAAAACTGTGTAGATCATATTAGGGACTACAATGAGAAATGATGAAATTATTGCTCATGTATTAACCATTTATATTTGATTTACCATCGTATTTGTTCATCTTTTTCAAAAGTTCAGCTTGTCGTACACTATTAAATTTTTCATGAGCAAAAAACAAGAGCAAAAATCTTTCAAGTACTTTAAGTATTTAATATTCATTCATATAAATCAAATCGATAAAAATTATAGTTCTTATTCATTGTGTAGTTAAATGTGTTTTGATATTTTTTTTTATTTTAGCAGTAAATTATCTAGTTGTGCTAGGCACCTACGGATCTTTTATGATTTACTTCCTGGTAAAAGTTTTCATAAATTTAAAATTACTATTATATTATATTTTAAAACAATTTATTAGACATTAGTTTTTTAAATTCACTAACTTTACCTGATTGCAAACATCAATGTTTAGCAAAGGTTTGTTGATTTGAAGCACAAAAATCTTTTATATATAATTTAATCTTAATGAAATATGTATTTTTTTATATAATCCTTCTATGGTTTGATTTATTATTATCTTATTTATAGTCATTCAGCAAAAGAGGCGAGTATGGGATACCAACCAGCGAAACAATAGCAACTAATAGAGGAGGAAGGAGAGGAGGATCCAAAAGAATTGAGTGGAAATTGTTACAGATTTAGCTACTAATAATTCTTTTCAAAAATTATATAATATTTTTCTTTTTTTAAGTGTTTATTATTAACACTAGAATATCCTTTTTTTTTTTTTTTTTTGTATAAAAACTATTATGTACTTAACAATTCATTGGATTAATAAAATTCCACTTAAATGTTTTGTTGCGAAAATGGTTGTGATTTATATGAAAATGTGTATGTCAAAGAAAGTTTAAAAATATATAACTATGGCATGAAAGCTGTTGTTCTACTGATGATTGTGGAATGGTTGACAATTTGTAATAAATTTTGTAATCTAGAATTTTTGTATATAATACTTATATTTTAAATTTAGCATTTTTTAAAATGAACAGCAAATTAAGTTTTATATGCAATAATGATCATCTGAATAAAACATAACACAGCTTCTTATAAGGAACTACTATAATAGTGAAAATTCAATATTTTCCGAGCCAATTTTTTAGTCAGTCAACAATGTAGCTATTTTAATGGGTATGTAATTCCAATGTGTAAATGTTTAAATAGAGAAAAATATTCAAACAAACTAAGTTTAAAAGAATAATTTAATATCTATAATTTAATCGTGAATAAAATAATTTAATATGTTAAAGATGTCTGTTTAACTATAAAAATACAGTTATTTCAAATTATTTAAGAGCATTGAATTATAACTATAGCAATATGGGATTTAACATAACTGTTTCCCTGAAAATATATTTAACATATTACAATAATTCTGTATGTAAAACATACTTTACAAATTATTATTATTATTATATGATCTTGGACTGAAATATTTACATTAATATGTTTTATATTTTAAAATGAATGAATACTTACTAACTATACATTTCATTTTAAATTACTACATACTATTGTCTTAATTTATATTTTACATTTCTTTAAGATCTAAATACTTATAAAATTTGTATATAAATTATTAATGGTAAATATAAAGATCCAATAAAAAAGGAAAAAAAAAGAACATGGTATTAGTTTAAAAATAAAATTGTTCATTTGTATAGCTGTTTCTAAAACTATATTATATAAATATATATATTTAATGAGTTTAATATGTTGTTTATTAATATTATAGATTTATCTTGAGCTGTGTGTACAAAAATAGTTATTTATACTTTTTAATAATTTTATGTATTATATAAAATTAAGTTATTGTAATTCAGGATACCGCTTTATTTCCTTCAAGCTATTTATAAAAACTCTGTATTTTTATATATTATGGAGCTATCTGTGGTAATAAGATTGGCTAGAAGTAATATCTGACAATGGAGGCAACTTTTGGATATTGTAATCGCTCGTATAGCTGCCGAAATATATAATCATAAATAATGCGTATACTTGCATAAACCTATTAAACAAAATATGAGGTGGATGGTAATTTGGTATCGTTGTTTGTACTGACAAATATATTAAATGATCAATTTATTGCTTCTGTTTTTTAAGATACATGCATACATAAGTGTTTTAATAATCTTAAACAAAAAAGAAAAAAAAAGTTATGGGCTTGCATTGATGATTCCTTAATAAACTAAATGACTGCAAAGAGAAGAAGAAATATACAATATGTTGTAACCATTAGATGTATCATACACAAGGTATAAAAGATACAACAATAGAAATAAATTGAATGGGAAGCGATTAATTATAACTAGAAAAGTTTACATGCAAATATCCATAAGGATTCAGAATTTGGTCTGAAACAGCGTAGAACTAATGAGTGAAAGACAAATTTATAATAAATATATATAAAATAAAATCTTCAATGGAGTTCATTTTCCTTATCTAGATGGAATTAATCATTAATTTTTTCACCTATTAAAATATTTGATTGTTTACATTATGGAAAATAAATTTGTGTATATTGGTATTTTTTTTTTTAATATTGATCATAATTTCATCACTAATATGTATGAAACCATAATTCTATGACTAAAATAATATCTCTTCTCTCAATAATATCTTTATATTCAGAAAAATATTATGGAAAAATCAATGCTAGTCTTAATGGAATATACCATGATTTACATTGACAATACGTAGATGTGCTAAGTACAACATGAGCTTGTTGGAAGAATGACGAGTGCAATGTTGAACCTGTCCATTTAAATAATGCATTTTGTATGTCCACTGTTATATGTAATTAGTTAGCATAACAAGTAATAAAATATAAACAAAAATGGTTTTGCTTGTTTTTACCTGTTACACCAACAAAATTGTTAATACATTTATCTTATTTAAAAATTTTATAATTATTTAGTATATGAGTATGCTTGGCAATTTTGAGTTTGTACTAAACAATTTCAAATTTTTTCTTAATTTTCATTGTTCAATAATATCCGTTCCGAAAGGGATAGTAGATGTGCACTACTATTAACAATCCTTCAGCGCACTTAGACAGAACAGAACAGTACACATCTCAGAATCATCTCACGATAAAGACAGGGAGACCTGCAGGCACAAACAATTTAGTGACAAAAGAATTAATCTAGGAATGGTAGTACAAAGGAATGAAGTGAAAGTAAATGGACTAACTACAGACCTCTTTACCAATATAACGAGCTTTACAATTGTATACCTCAATTCTAAGGACCCAGTTAAAACCATTGAAACTTATATCTTAATGTTATGTACTTTCTCTTGTTTGCAGAGGATATCATCAGCTCAGCGCTGAATCCCCAGGAGATTTCAGAAGTCAGTAACAAAATGGAAAAAGAAATTAAAGAGAAAGGGAGTGGCTATTAAATCCAAAAAAAGTACATTTACTAGTAAGGTATTAAACATAAGATCTTCAAGCCAGTAGAACTCCACATTGTCCATAGCAAACAGGCAAAGGAGGTAGTGATAGACCACATATTTTCGCATGGTGATCAGTAGCTTTGGTGAAGTGGATTAGGAAAAATCTAAGACTATGAGATCTATAATTTTGTTACATTAAAAAGAGAAGTAGAACAGGATATAAAGCTTCACTTATTCAAACCTGTTTTCCTATCAATACTTCTCTATGAAGCTGAGAGCTGAATTCTAAATGAGAGGATGCTACGCCATTTAACTACTGTTGGAATGGAGTTACTTAAGAAAATCATTGGGAAAACATAAACGGTTTTGACACTGAATGACTGGATTAGAGAAGAGGCTGGAGATATGCCAAGTGATATTAAACCAGAAGAAGAGGTAACTGTGAAGATATAGACATGCTACTGCATAGAGCATTCTTGCTAAGGCAGAATGGCTAGAGATCTGGTTCTGAAAAGAAAATGTGTGAAAGAAAATGATATCCATGTTTTAAAATCTATTTCTAAAGGTTTGTCAATATCAGTGTATCAAATGCAGAGTGCATCACTGATTGATATACTATTTTAAAACTTTACCATCCTATATTAGAGTAAAAATTAATTGATACAACGATGGAAAACAAATGTCTTTTAATAAATGAAAGTCTCCTCTAAAGTGGACTAAAAACATATAATTAAAGTAAGTAGAATAGTGGCAAATATAAATATGTATATTCAAATTGAAAAGTAACAAATAACATCTTAATAATCATAAGTATATTTATGAAGCAATCATAATAAATATATTTATTTTGCATTGACTTATGGCCTCTATTAATGACTTTAGATTCAGTTTGGAAATATTTTTTTAACAAATAATATATTCTAGAAAAATTTTAAATTTAATTAAGACAATTTTAAAAAATAAGTCCTTCATTTATTCTTATAAATGGAATTTAAACAGGCTACATTAATAAATTAGTAATATGACATAAAATTATAATAGGCGCTAATTTTTATCTCCACAGCATGTGGAAAAAAACGTAAGGAGTGATAAGGACCAGTCTTGTCAAACAGGAAAATAAACTAGTTGAGAGAAGATCCCCAAGTAAATTCCAAGTAAGTCACATTTTTTAAATATTCTCAAGTAAAAATAACAAATTTACAATTCAAAATTTAATATTAATTACGAAATTTAATGATACTGTTTCTTGGATTCATTCTAATTAATTATCATATCAAATTAAAACGAAAATTATTGTTAAATATTTCTATCTCATTTTCCTGTTTATAAAAATGAAGAGCCCAGTAAATGAAAATATAAAATAGCATTATTTTATTTAATTATTCTATGAAGTTTCAAACAATTCCGTGATAAAAAAAAAATATTAACTCAAGCGTATAATTAATTATAGCAGTAAGTAAATCAGGTTAAGACCAGCCCAAAGAACAGTCAGTTACTTCAAATATTATTAAATTTAAATCGTAAATCATTCTCATCATGTATTTGGTATAAAAAAAAGTATGATTAGCCGGCTATTTTTTATTTCTTTTAAAGTAGGCACCTGCTTAAAACAAAACATTTACGAACAAATGTAGATAGCTATTGAAAATTATTTCTCTACTAATTAAATGAATTCCTGGAAATGTAAATTTTACAATAAAGTATAGTAATTTCGAAAGTGAATTAACAACAAAAATATAAATGTTCCTCTGAAAGTAAACTCTTAAATCCCCAAAATTGTTTTGTTTTGGAAAGGAAAACAATAATATATACTTTGATATAAAATCATTCATCTCTTTTTAAAAAAGGTAGTAAATACCGGCATTCCTTACAAAAACCTTATCATACTAATGTAACTGAAGAGTCACTCTTGAAAGATTATACAATAGGAATTTATTAAACAAGCTTAACCTAAACAGTTGTCAGATCACTTAGCAACCAAAGAGGTTTTAGTTAAATTTAATTTATTCAAGCGCATCTTTGCTCCTTGTGAACTGTAAGATGGAGTGATGATATTAGGATATAGTGCCCGTAGTCTATTAGGATAAATGTACCAGTAGCTGACATGCTTAAAGAAATTTATTTGAACTTTTAGGTGTAAAAACTTAAATATTGGTATTATTATCTTTTTCCTGAGATTCGTCTTTTAGAAATACTTCTCACCTTACCAAGACACATTTAAATTCTATGGAACATTCTCTTAAATTTAAAAAAATTAAAAATTACAAATTTAGAGAATAGTTGGTACTTGTCTAGAATCCGGTCGGGACGAAACCTCCCTTCTTAACATATCTTACGTCACATAACCTCCCTTCTTATCTGGGCTGAACATTTGACGGGGTTTTGAATTTTGGAGGGACACATTTCGACGAAGTTGTGAATTTTCGAAATGAAAAGTTCAAACGAGGGAACAAGAGGAAAACCAAGAACAGACCGCTGAAAGTGTCATTGCATATTACTTATTATTTTTAAAATCATACTTTAGCTTGCACTGTTTTTAAGAAGAGAAGAGCAATCAAATATCTTGGGAGAAGGGAGGAGGTTTATGCACCATCGACCTTGGCGCCCTTGGTTGAATGAAACGTCGAAATCAATAAAAAACCTTTAAAATGACTGCCTCCTGACTATTTATCACCCTTACATATGAAATATACAGTAAGGGTAAGTATTGCGATCGTGGAAGTTTTCAAATCTGAGTTTTCAGCGGAAATACATGTTTTGAGGTTTCCTGAATCCAAATAACCAAGTCTCAAAAAATGGTCTGTATGTGTGTATGTGAACAGTCTAGCTCAAAAATGAAAAGCCGTGTGAAACTGAAATTGCTGTTTTAGGTTTGTGTGTATTTGGGATGTCACAGCAACTTTTTTGTAGAAATCGGCTTACCGGAAGTGGCACCTTGTGTAATAGATTTTACATATTTTTACAATTTTCTCAAAAACGGCACTAATTATTTGGATTAAATCCATTATATCAGCGTAAATTTAAGCAGTTTTTTATATAATGCAAGTTTTATTCTCATTTATTTTCTCTAACAGGACTTTGATAGCTAATTTTAAATATTAGCTTCCTCTAAAGTACCTTTATTTCTTTTTTTATTTGTAATCATTATCCATTTCACATTAATCTCTGATATAAAAAATAGCTACATATAAAATATGAAAGTCATCATTAACTAAAGGAGAAATAAGAGTTCATAACGGATAATAGTTGTAATAGAGGAACCAAAGGAATAAGAGCATGCCTGAGCTCTCTCAAAAGATTAGAACAGGCTTCCATAGCTAATATGAGCTTAATATAATACAAAGTCGGACATATATGTATATATAATCCATTTCTATTAATACCTACTTGAGGGCGTTTTGGTATTGAGAAAACGAGATATTTTAAACACAGCCATTGCCCCACTATTACAGCAAAACTTTGTTAAGCATTTTTTTTTTGTTTTGTTTTTTTTGGAGATGAAGATATATTTCTGGATCCTATGCTCTAGAATGTTCCATACATTATTAATATATTACATAAATTAATAATGTATTAATATATATCTATTTTACTAATATTAACTAATACTTCTGTATATTTATATATAAGTTCATATATTGTCCTAAGGATAGAAGAGTATGCTGTGTATATAGCAACCCAATATAATTCTGCAGCAATCCTTTATATTTTATGAAAATAAAGGCTTCTGAATACATTTTACAAGACCCACCTTTTGGGCATATAGGTATTCCATAACAGTTATGAATTGATGATCCATGATAACTGATTAATGTTTATTAGAATGTTTAAATAATCATCTGAATCGAAACTACTGTTAATCAGACTATAGGTTTACAAACCCCAAGAAATGAGATGCTCTACCTAACAATAACATGTCCTCCTTCCATGGTTTACCATAGATTGAACATTTATTCCTTTGATTTTTTTTTTTCCATATAAGCTTCCATCATTTCTATAAATATATATATTTAAATACTTTAATCGATTAAATTCTATTGGCTTATGCCAATGTCCATTAGTAAACTTTTACTTCCTTTAACATCAATGACAAAAGGTGTGTTTTTTGCATTGGTCCGTTTATGGAAATGTTCCAAGATAAATACTAAACAATAACAATATATTCTCTTTTTAAATTATAAAATAATTACTAAATATAAGTACATTTCAAGAAAAAAAATAGGGAATTTATATATTAAAGCATTATTGTTCCTTTAATTAAATTTTTTTCACCTTTATGAAGGAACATTATTTCATATAGGTTGGTTTTATTTTATTTTTCTTCCGGAAAATAATTACCATTATAAAAAAAATAAAAAAAAATTAAATTATGGACCATCTACTTTTTTTTTTATTTACTGATCTGCATGCTAGAAATTCTTGTCACCACTCCACCAACCTTCAATTACTTATTGATGTATTAATTTTAGCTTCATCATAATAGCATTGTCAAGATATCAGTAACTTAGGTTCTCCTTTTCGTGATTCGTCAGAGGTTTCTATCTCTCCACACCTTTTAATAATATAAGAAACCATCAAGAAATTCAGACTCAGAAATTGAACGATTTGCAGATATTTTTTTTAATGTTTCTGAATAAAATTCTTATATGCATTTCACCTTTTTTTGGTTCCATTTACACTTGTATATAGATTGTTTAGTCATAGATTCGATAGTCTTCAAGATATAATAATACTAATAAAATTTTCTTATGTTTTCTGAAAAACAAGACTTGCTAGAAACCTAAAATATCCATAATCAGATTCAGAGACCCAAACAAAATTTAGAACCTTTCAGAAAAAAACTTATATGATTTTTTTTTTATACAATGATACTATTTGTTCTCTTTTATTAAATGGTATCGATTATGACTAATCAGTATGCTGAGTGATTTTGCAACCCAGCACAGTTGTGCAACCGTACAATTATATTGTGTTTCTCTTATCTTCTTGTCTAATAATTCTACATAGACATTATTTGACTGATATTTGGTATTTTTACGAGGTAAAAAAAAGTCATCAATTAATGGCTTTAAAAAATGCATACATTTCTTTTTTTTTTAGGAATGACTAGCTATGTGGATGGATTTCATTATCCTGGTGCTTCACAGAGAATGTCTTACAAAAAATTTGGAGAAACAGATATGGAACTATCTCTACTGGGATTTGGTGGCGGAGGCCTTAGTGGATTTTATGAGTACTTTTAATATAAATTCAATGAACATTACAGGAATATATTTTAAAAATATATTTTATTAATCATATTTACCTACAGGATATAAAAATATATATATATATATATATATATATATATATATTAATTATCTTCAGTATTTAGACTTATAACTATGATGGATAGGTTATTTTATTTCTTTGTATAATTTAAATTAGCATGTGTATTTTTAAAGAGAGTTCGAGGAAGATGACGCTGTTGAAGTAGTTCGGGAAGCTTTAAAGAATGGTATCAATTATATTGACACAGCTCCATATTATGGTGAAGGAAGGTCTGAGACTATTATTGGCAAGGTATTACTTTGTTTAATGCCGTAAGCAGATCTTTAAATTTAATGATTTAATAAATTTGGGTACTAATTTTTAAATATTATTATTTTCAGGCTTTAAAAGGCATCCCTCGGAAAGCTTACTACATTTCCACTAAAGTAGGAAGATATTGTACCAAAATAGATGAGCAATTTAATTATTCTGCAGAGAAAATAAAATCCCGATTTGAAATTAGTCTGAAACTATTAGGTTTAGAATATGTAGACATGATAATAGTAAGTAAAATAAATTATAAATACATGATTTTAAGTAATTTATCTATCATTAGGTTGGTATATATGAGAAGTCAATTACTATGGTATGATGCAAATGAAAGAAATAAAAAATTATTGATTATACTAATTATAAATGATAAAGACACCATAATTGGTTTAGCCATCTTGCACCACATTAGAGATGGCTTATATGGAGGACTAGCTTTGATCACCTCCAACCACAAGGTGCTTGAAGGCATGGTTAGTACTTGGATGGGTGACTGTCCACCAAGGGAAGCCATGCTGCCCGAGATTCCTGTATACGAGCCACCCTGTATACGCCACTGTATAAGCCCCCCTGTATACGAGGTCTGTCAGCATACTGGAGGCAACCCACGCCGACTGGAATTAGGGTAATTAAATCGGGATGTGTCCTACCAGGATGTCAGTAGCCTCCCTAAGGTTTGATCCTTGGACGGTCTGTTTCGTGAAAAGAAATATAGGTCTCCGTGGGCCTGCTTACTCTGAGCAGCCATAATCCATGGATCTAGACCAATTTATCACTTTCCTTGAACCTGAGTGATTCGGTGGAAAGGATACTGTCAGATTGGTCCCAAAGAGGTCGGCTATGGAGCTACGGATGTTCTACTGCTGCACCATGGTTCATAGCAAGGTGAGGTTGGGTGACCCCCTCCAGGATATCTGTGCTCCCACAAGCAAAATACGTCTGTAAGGAGACCACATCTCGCAGCCAAAGATCTTGATGGTCTGTAGGGCCAACCAAAAAAAAAAAAATATATATATATAGGGTTTTAACCGTAGCTTCAGTAACATAATTTAATTTTGACTGTTTATTTTATTAAATTATGGATTTAATGTTACAGCTTTAAGCTGTTTATGATTAACTGTCAAAGAGAAGTGAAAAACAAACAACTTAAAACATACTTTAAGTACATCATTTTTGTTTAAGATAATTTGCATTAGCTTCAATATATTTCTGTCAACGACCAACAATTTTTTATGTCCTTAGTTTAAAGAAAAGTTTTAATTTTATATTAATGAATTCAAGTAATGAATATTTCACCTCGTTTTCATTTCAGAATGTATATATATTAAATATATCAAACCCTCTGGAAATTATAGACAGTTGGAGATAAGGCAGATAAATGGTATTGTACATTCTGTATATAATTTATATATTAATAAAATCTTCTCAACTATACTTACAATTGTACTGCAAAAAATAACAAAAAAAAAAGCATTAAATGTACAGAAAGAAAAAGCAAAACCAACAGAAAAGAAAAAATATCAAAAGTACGTAAATAAAAAGTATTTACTTATGTTAAAACCTAAACACCTAAAACATACAAAATATATACATAGATTAAAGATATATAAATGATAGGATGAACAACGAGATCACGATATTGCACTATTCCGGGATACGAGACCTAAAATAACAATAAATAAGTAAATACAATTAGGAAGGGGCACTAAATTAATTTTATGAGAAAGCAATTGTGAATAAACAAAAAATAAAATAATGGTGTATGAAAAGAAATGAAAAAAAAAATTATCCTTGTAACATAATACATAATTAACCAGCATCTGATTGGATTGTGAAGAGGAATTGGAATAAGAGGGTTTTGAATGTGAATAAGGATGGTGCATGGCAGATTTTAAGCGGGATGGAATTCCAAAAGGTGGAGGAGCGGACAATAAAGAAATGTTGAAATGAAGTAGATTTATTTAAAGGGGTGTAAAGGTCAGAAGGACGAGATCTTGTGGAGATGGAGTGGATAGATGATTTAAATTGGAGGAGATTGTATACATAGGACGGGCGACGATTGTTGATTATTTGGTAAAGGAATGTGCCAAGGAAATATTGTCTTCTGAAGGAAGGAAAGAGCCACCCTAAATGGGCATAGTAGTGAGAAACATGGCAACGTCTCGGGGTCCCTTCGACAAATCTTACTAAGCTATTCATAATTCTTTTTAGCCTGTCCCCAAGTTCCACTGAGAGGCCACTGTATACCACGCAGCTGAAGTCAAGGTGGGGGAAGATGAGGGAGGATACTAGGGTCTACATGTGGGTATAGGAAGGAGATGGCGGAAGGGATGGAATAGTTTAAGGGTACAAATTGACTGTCGAGAGATGTGGACAATATGGTGATTCCAGGAGAGGTTTTGGTCTATTAAAATGCCTAGGTTTTTTACTGAGGAGCTGAAGGTGATGGGATGGTCGTTTAGGTATAGGGTAGGAATGTTGGTATTGGATTTGAGGAGGGGTTTGGAACCAATGATAATGGCCTGCGTTTTATCAGCGTTTAATCTTAATCCATTTATGTTTTCTCAGGCGCTGATACGATTTAGGTCTTCTTGGATTTTGGCAAATGCATCATACAACTCTGAGGGAGGGAAGGAAAGGTAAATTTGGGAATCATCGGCATAGAGGTGATGGGAACAGTGGAGGATAGATTTATGGAGGTCGTTGATATAGGAACTAAAAAGAAGAGGAAATATGCTAGAGCTCTGGGCCTCTCTTGAGGATAGAGTAAGATAGGAAGACAGGGGTTGATTAGGAATACTGACGGTTGGGAATGCTGAGAGAGGAAAGACTGAAACCAAAGAAAAGCGCTGTTGGAAAAGGATAATGATTTTAATTTAGAAAAGAGGATGGAATGGTTAATGGTATCGAACGAAGGCTTTGGAAATGTCAAGGAGTACAAGGACAGTTAGTTTTTTCTTATCTATAGTGGACTGAATATCACTAATGATTTTAATTATGGTGGATTGTTTGGAGTAACCTGTTCGAAAACCAGATTGGAAAGGGTTGAGTTGATTGGAATGTTCCAGGAAATTGGAGACTTGGGATTGCACTATTCTTTCAAGGGGTTTTGAAAGGTTGAAAAGGATTGAAATTGGATGGAAATCTTTGGGATAAGAAGGGTTAGAATTTTTATTTAAAGGACGAATGGTGGCTTTCTTCCATGAGGTAGGAAATACTCAGTTTTGAAGGGAGAAATTATATACAGGAAGGATTTTGGGAAGGCACAGTTTGATTAATTTGGCCAGAATGCCATCTGGACCAATAGAATTGGAATGTGATTTCATCACGGCAGATATGAGGTCTGTGGGCAAAATACATGAAAAGCAAAAGTCGTCGTCATTGAAGGATGTACCGGGAGTAGAGAAGGAAGCATTAAAAGGAGGAGTGGAAGAGGAAGCAGTTATAAAATATGAGTTTAAATCATCTGGTGGAATTGGAAATACTGTTGAGGGAGAGGATCTGGAAGATTCACAGAGGGAGAGTTTACGAAGGAGTATCCATTTGGATTTGGAATCGGGAACTGATGAAAGGGCTTCATGGAAATAGGGAGATTTGACTAGTCGGATTGTGGTCTGTGTCAGGTTTTGGAGCACCCTAAACGCTTGATAGTCATCGTATTACATATTTAAATACATATTTAGAATGTCACTTTTTGACTAGGCTGATGCTACTCTTTTCCTTGGACTCAAGTTACAATTTGTGCATCATCAGCACAGTTACTTTTACTGTCTTTAAGTTGTTAACAAAATTTATATTTTATTTTAATTTCTCGGCTTTAGGCGGGATAAATTCACTGACCTGGACCGAGGTCAAGGATAAAATTTTTTGAACATTTAATTTGAAATATTTCAAAAACTTTCGAACAATGCTGGCTGTTCCCAGCATTAGCACTTTCTGGATTTCTTGAAGTTCCCAGCTTAATCCAAGTACCTTCAATGATTTAAGAATCTCTTACCGAATCAGACATTGCTGGATACTATCATGAATAGTACTTTTTAATTCCACCAGCCAGTATAATTGCCTTAATTTCTCGCATAGCTCTTGATACTTCCAAAGTTTTTTCACTTTATGTTTTAGCAACATCATCATCAGCAGGAACTCCAACTTCCTTGATGATTGCTTTCTTTGTTAACAAGCAGCATGTCTGGTCTATTGTGGGGGATACTATGGTCAGCTATCATAGTTTGATCCCATTACAGTTTGACATTCGCTTTTTCTAATATTGCCTGTTATCTATAAAACATACTGTTGGGGTACTTCCAAAACAAATAAGAGGGTGTTAAATAAAAGAATATTAAAATTATAAGAATATTAATATATTAAACTGAAATTTATAATTATTTTATCTCAGGTATGGGTTACTGATTATCAGATCAAAAGACTCAGACAAACTAATATAATTTACACTAAACACGATTTGATTTTAAAAGAAAGGCAAGTATGAATTGACAAGCTAACCTTTTTTCAATATACACTTTTTTCCTTTGTGTCACTGAATTCATTTGTCTTCTAACATTTTCCTACGTCCTGCCATACACATCTTCCAAAATGGTAACACTTTCATCTACTCAAGTCAAGTCATGCACTCTATGCAAAATTTTAACTGTTTCACTCTATGATATAAAAGATATTCTAATACTTTACAAACAAACAAAATTTTTTTTCAGGATTATCAGCAAAGATACAGTGTTCTGAACTTTATTTTCAACTTCATTTGTTATATATTATGTACAGGTCTCCATTGAAATAGTTCACTTTTTTTTAGTTTTTCCAATAAGTCAAATACTAAATGTCTCTGAACAATCCATAAGCTAATTTGAAAGATGATTAAATTATTGATAGACCTAACCTTAAAATAATAATAATGAATTATATAAAAAATTATAAAATCTTTATTGGACTAATGGTAGCTAAGATACAGCAAATAATTTTTGTATTGGATATTGCATGGAAGTTGTGTAAATGAACACATTTATTTTATTAATTTGTTTTAGGTTCATGACGTAGAATTCGCAAAAATGAAAGATATACTTGAAGAGGCACTTCCAACTCTTCAAGATATTGTTAAGTCTGGTAAAGCAAGGTACATTGGAATTTCAGGATATCCTCTGAGCAGGCTCTGGGATGTCATCAATAGAACAAATATAAAACTTGACTTTGTTATGTGCTACGGTCGAGATACATTAATAGATTCTAGCCTTGATAAATATTATCCTTTGTTTAAGGTATGTATGAGAAGAATAATCTATTTTTCAGTATCCTTTTTTAATTATTTTACAGCATTTTTTACTTAGGAACTTTTGTTTATGGTTCCTGTTATTTTATAGAGCAAAGGACTTGGAATTGTGAGTGCAGCAGCTACAGCATTACAAATGTTGACCAATGCAGGCCCTCAGCCTTGGCATCCTGCTTGTGACTCTATCAAACAGTTGTGTTCTAAGGCTTCAGATTATTGCAAGGTAACTTTTCACTCACTCACTCCATGGCGCTTCAGCCCTACAAGGGCCTGGGATTCCTCTACAATCCTACTCCACTCTTCCCTATCCTGGGCGAGTCTCATCCATCCTCTTATTTCCATCTCCCTCAATACTCTCTCCATCTGACCATCTTAATCGTTGACAACCTCTAAGTCTTTCTCCTCCAGGCTTACCATCCAGTAATTTTTTTGGATATCCTATTAGGTGGCATCCGCTCTACATGTCCCAGCCACCACAACTGATTCTTACTAACAAAAGAAACCAGATCTGATTCTTGGACCATTCCTTTCAACTACTTATTCCTTCTTATTCTCCAATTGCAGTTCTCACAGACAGGTCCATATATTCTTCTGAGTATTTTTCTTTCTCAAACTTTTAACATTTTTTCACTTTCTTTGAAATTGCCCACGTTTCACAGCCATAAGACCCAACTGGTCTAATAACTGTTTTATATAATGTGACCTTAGCTCTGTTGATCTATTTATCTATCTATACTGACTCTACAACCCGCTTAGCGAGTCATGGCCTCTGCCAACAGCATCTGCCAGGTGTCCCTGCTTTGTGCTGCCACCATTATCCAGTTTCGAATTCCTAACTTCCACTGTGGCATCTTTGTCCGTGCTGTCTCTCCATCTTAACTTTAGTCTTACTACTCATCGCGCTCCATGCAGGATTTCAACCAACACCTTCTTTGGAATCATGTCTCTCATTCTGGACACATGACCTGCCCATCTGAGATGGACTGCTCTTATAAAATTGACAATATTGGTCTTATTAAAACGCTGGTAGATCTTCTGATTTTTCCTCCTTCTCCATTCTCCACTCACACAATCTGGACCATAAATTCTTCTTAGAATTTTTTGTTTAAATATTATGAGGTCCTGCTCGACTGCCTTGGTTATTGTCCAGGTCTCTGATACATTACTTAAAACTGGTCTGTAAAGATTCTTGTATTATTATTACGCTCAGTCACCAAGGTGCTTTTCATGTGTTGACTCATACCATAATAGCAACAGTTGGCCAACGAAATCCTCTTATTTATCTCTGTATCCATCCATTTATCACGAGTGATCTGCGAGCCCAGGTATGTGAATTCTGATACCTGTTCAAACCTGTGTAGTAGATAGCCCCCAGTATTTACTCCTTTATGTGGCATTGTGTAAGGGAATGAGAATGAATATATAGGAATGTGAGGTTGCACTATGAATTGTACTCAGTTGTACAGTGAACAAATTATTCATTGAAAAGTCTCATATCGATAAACAATCGACGAAGAAGGAAGAAGGTTGGAAAAGGACCGAGCAGGTAGCAGCAGCTGGAGAAGGACTCCGGGGAGAAAAGAAGGCACTCTAGGCCAGGACAGGAAGAAAGGATGTTATCAGAAGAGAGAGGCACTTCACTGAAGAAGATCAAACCTAAAGTTATAAGACTTTAATTGATTCACTTATCACAGTTATAAAAATAAATTGTTTTGTTAGATAGGAGGAAAAAGTCATTTATTTATTTAGTTGTCCCAGAGGCCTCACTATTAAAGAAAACAAACCAGGTGAGTCAATTCAATCAATGTGTGTTTACTAAGTCCCACATTTCTTATATATATATATTCTTATTATTTCTTGTCACTCTGTGTCGCAAAAGTATTAGATTCCCGAATTCCCAACGACAGTTCAACACCCTCAAAAAGTCTATATCCGGGGTTTTGTTTTAAGAAAATTAAATCACGAGTGTAAATAACCTAGTTTCCCGATAAAAACGGAAGGACCAACTTTACACAACCACAATGAACTTAACTATTACTTTATACAATTCATCTCAGAATCTCAAAGAATTTAGAATCTCTCAATTTTATGAAGAGCTAAAGTGGCTTTATCCTTCCTACTATCATATTTCCTGTCATCCATCATAAATCTCTGATTTCCTTCAATTCAAATCTTATGTTCAATCCTACAATACCCATTCTCATTCTTCAGAATTATTTCCAACGGCTCGCTGAATCGTGAGTCTTAACAGATCTTTTATTATCTGATTCTCATCCATAAGGAAATTCCATTCCTCTTTTCATGTGTCCCTTCAATAACTTCCATACCTTTAATTCCCACCTATTTAATTACTTCCTATCCATCGAGTTCTCAAAGAATGTAAATGAATTGAAACATTAACTTATACTTTTTTTACTGTGTGTTTATTTAAACACTAAAAAGTTTCATTAAAACATAACTGTATTTATTATTGATATATTATTTTCTTAAAAGTTTCAATTGACCATTTTCTTTATCTATATTTTAAAATAACTATATTGTTTGTTATTTTTCATCCTCAATAATTTTATTAGCTTCAGGTTTTTCTTGAAAATGGATTCTAATCTAAACAGACAAAAAATAGCTTTCCTTTGTTTTTGTCAATCACTGATGCAAATACTGCAGTTTTGCTTTGTTACAATGTAATAAAGAATTAAAGGATTGTTAAAAAAAAAAAAAAGTAAAAATAGTTTATTTTTAAATAATTGTATTTCCTAATTTTTACTTAGGAGAAGGGTGTAGAGCTTGGTATACTTGCTATACATCACACTCTTATTAGTCCAAATACTGAAACTTTGCTTGTTGGTATGAATTCGATGGATATTTTACAAGCAAATCTCGAGCTTCTATTTAATAAATTGACACCTGCAGAGGAAGAAGTTTTGAGTTACATCCAAAAACAGTAAGGGTTATTTTAACAGTTATTTTATTATTGAAACTCTTGTGACCAAGTCAATATTTTTATTTTATTTAATAATGCTTCTATTGATTTTAAATAAAATATAATTGATTTTACAGTACTTACATAATGTTTTACTTTTTTTTTCTATTCATTTCAGTATTTTAAACAGAAGTGATAATTTAAATTGGGAAGGAGAAGAACTAAAAAAATTCAACATGGTTATGGATTGAATTCTCAAAAATTTACAATTGGAACTTATCTAGATAACAGAATATGAAGAATCAAGATCCTTCATAAAAAAAAGGGATATCTCCTGTATGTTTTTACATATTTTAGATTTTTTATACTATATATTCATATAATGTTTTACATGCTTAAAAATTACACCATATTCTATATATTATATAAAACAATTATGAAAATATATCAATAAATATATTTTAAGAAATGGTTTTATCATGATTTGTGACGACATCCTTTAAATGAGTAGCCCTGACAAAGGCCTGAAACTTAGGCTGAAACGTTAGCATGAAATATAATAAATAAAACCACCTTCAACATATTTCCCAACAATGAATAAATAATATTTTAGTTTATAGTATTCTTTTGATTAATGAGATCTAAAGGTAAGAGGTAAGTATAAATTCCATCATTTGGATATAATATATTAAATTTTAAATTTGTATACAGCATAATCAAAGTTAAATGTATCACACTGTAATGAACCTGTTGTGCTCACTTCTGTGACTGAAATCCATATTAATTAAATTTTAATTTGTTTAGTACTATATAACTTAGTTGTGGCACTTTATAATACATTGTTACTTCATAAAAAAAAATCATGTTTTTATACTTACAATTTTGAAGTATATATTTAAAACAAAAAGTTCATTAGCATATGTTTTAAAATTTCTTGGTTGATATACCCTTATGAGTTTGTCTTTCTTTACTGTGTCTTATTCCATATATAAAATATATCAGCAAACCTAAAAAAAAAATGTACAAAATTTAAGTTATGAAAACAAAAATAAAACTGTATAGTATTAAGGTGCGTTTAAACATGAGAGTAAAACTCGAAAGTGTAAAGGCCTCCAAGAGTTTTTGTTGAAAGTTGAAGGGAAGCTCTCTGAGAAGTACTATGTTGCATGAACCTCACTAGTCTAAATGTTGGCTCCTTGCTCTCGGAGAGTAATCTCAATCATTTCAACTAAATTTGAATTTGCTGAGTTATGATTGCCAAATCCAATTATGACCACGAGTATGTTTGCAAGCTCATTAAAGTACACAAATTGAATCCAATCCTTTGGAATGTCGACTTAATTCACTCCCTACTTGAGAAAAAGTTAATATTTTTTTGTGTATTAGTGTTCTTTTATTTTCTTGAAATTATTCTCTACTTAGGAGCAAGTTATTTTAAAAAATATATATTTATTAAAATTTAAAGCTGAATTAGGCAACTAAAAATACTAGTAAATACAAATTAGTATAATGACATGAACAGACTTGTAGAGAAACTACCGTTGATGCCACTCCAATACTATTTCTATATTAGAAGGTTCTGAGACTAAGTTGGAGAAAGTTTATATATATTTTTTAGATTATTATTTTTTCATTTTCTTGAAATAATCCTTTTCTTTTTTTTTCAATTTGCATGTAAAAGTATGTGACACACCTAAATGATTACTCCTTTTTATCCAGGACTTCATCTCCTTTTTTTGTTTTAGACTAGATTTTTTTTTTTAAATTCGCATAAAACTAAATATGCTGAAGCTATTTTTTTTTTTTTTTTCCTGTCGAAGACATCTTATCAATTTAAAATCACTCACATAATTGACTCGCGTGTAAACAGTCTGAAGTGGACTTGAGAAAGTTACTCTCCGAGAGTTCACTCTCCGGTGCAAAGGGCTCTACGAGTAACTCTCAAGAGTTCCGAATGCAACTTCCCCTCACATATAAACGCATATTAATGCTATGCTCAATTTACCAAAGATTAACCAGATTCCAAAACGTATCCATGTCTTTAAGTTTAGTTTCAGCATTAAGTAAATATTGATAAACAAAGACAATGCTGGTAAATAAGGAATGGGTTTGACCTGAAAATTAAAACAAAAAAAAAATTAGAACATTGTTGATTTAAAAAAAAATATAATTAGTTATGCTAAGATTTACTTCAGTATATTTTTGGTCTCAATGTAACTTTCACAGCTCAACTTTTCAGAGGATACAAAAAAAAAAAATAGAACAATTTCATTTTCTTCAAATCAAAATGTATCTTTATTTTTTAAATAGTGAATCCTTTTAAATTAGTAGAAAAATATAGCAATGGAATACTCTAATAAAATTTAAGCAATGGAGAAGGTGAAATAAAACATTTGCTACTTATTGAAGGTATGAAAAAGTAAGTTAAAACAATCTTACTAATATAAAAAAATTATTTACATTTTTTAAATTAAAAATGTATGACTAAATAAACATAACTGTGTAGTAGAAGTATTAACTAAATAAAAATAATAGTACCCTAAACTCAGGAACTCTGTAATAAAGATAAACAAATCCTTATTACATAATTCATACTTAGCCAGTGTCTGGTTTATTTGTGAAGAAGATCTGGAAAAGAAGAGTTTTAAAAGCAGAAAAGGAAGAAAATTCCAAAAGGTGATGAAATGAGCAATGAATGGAATGAGGTGGATCTATGAAAAGGTGTATATTAGTTCAGAACCTCGAGATCTTATGGTAAGTGTGTGAATTGAGGATTTGAATTGGAGGAGATTGTAGGTATAAGACAAATGACAATAGTTGATTACTTGTTAAAGAAATTTGCACAGAAAGTACTATAACACCATGAACCATATAGCTGTTCATAGTGGAAGAAGATGGGGAAGAAACTGAAGATGACAATAGGGATGGAACAGTTGCAGGATGTAAGTTGATCAACGGGAGATAAGGACAGTATGGTGATTCCACGAGAGATTTTAGTCTATGATAATGCCCAGACCAAGTTATTAACTGAGGAATTGAAGATGGGATGGTCATTTAGGTTCAGGATTGGAAAGCTGGTATTGGATCAGATAAGGGGCTTACAGCCAATGAGAATGGCCTGAGTTATTGCAGTGTTTAACCTTAATCCATTTAAGCTTGTACTAATCCTTTCTTGAAAAAAAAAAAACATTACACTATATTCTAAGCAAGTACCCTTGAAAAATAGAGCGGTGGTAGTAACTAAATATAAATATTAAAATAATTTAGCTTAAGGAAAACTTTCCATCTAAAAGAAATCAATAGTTGAAAATTACATTTTGTTTAATATTAAAAAAAAAATTGGTTTATTTCTTTAATAAAATTACAACTAAAATATTACATCCTAATGAGAAGTTGTAAATTTAAAATTTGAAATAAGTTCTCTTCAACAATTAAATGAGTAACCATTCATTTATACAATTGGTGGCCTCTACAGTTCCTAATTTAATTACCTTAAACTTCAACTCTGCTTTTGATACTGGTTGTCTTGCAATCACAGATAGAGAGATGATCATCACTATTGTTAAGATAGCAGCAGAAGTAATAATAATGGGTTCTAAAGCCATTAGTTTGTTAATTTCAAAGGCGAATATTAATCCGAATAGTGTTGATACCAGTACTGTAATCATATTGATACAATGAATGTGCTGTATAAAAACACAATCTATTTCAAATATAAATTTTTACAGGATATAACTAATTATTTAGCCCAAAACTACTTACTTACTACATATGTGGCATATTTCACTATTGTACTTGTAAGCTCATTAGGTTCTTTGTTGCTAATTGGTTTATTAAATATTTTTTTTAGAGAGAAGTTATATTCTTGTTTCTTTTTTAATGAAGCAGCAGTTTCCATATCTTCATCTTCATATCTTGAAACATTTTAAAATTACTAAAGATATTGGAAAATTGAATTAAATCAAAACGGAAGAAAATCTGTACCTGTCTTTGTTGTAAAACATGCCATATGTATCGTTAAATTGTTTAGTTTATTAAAAATACATTACGTATGTGCTAAAAAAAATTATATTAGCTAAATAACTTATATATTTAATTTTTACTGCTGGTTTTAATACCAATGGCTCCAAACCTGCTGGCTCAGGAGAGTTGTTAACCAATAAGCGGATGCACTTTTGCATAGACTGCAATAGATGGACAGAATTATATTTCTTTTACTCTTTCAGATATACTGGGACCTTCATCTCACAGGTATTCCTCACAATTACCCTCTGTTACCTGATCATCATACTTTTTTTTTGGAAAATGTTGGCACTTCGATTTCTATTGTGAAACATCTACTTATTGCATAGAATACTACTCTAACCCATTGGTGTACCTGATATTATCTTGATTTTACGTAAAGAGAATAAACATGTAAAAATGTTGCATACAATCTTTTGGACTAACAGTAGCAATATGTAGTATATTGTTATTCACATTTTTTTCTTTCATTGAATGTAATCAAAACGGTATGAAGTTATTTGAGATAAAAACATTCCTAAAGTTCTCAAGAAATCTCTGATGAAGAAAAGGATGCACAAGGCACAAAGCAAACCGATAGACAAGAAAGTGATAGTAAGAAACAAAATAAAAATAATAATGACGAGTTTTAATCAACAGGAGTGGAGTGGTAGTGATAAAGTACTGATATTATACCAGGAATGTTTGAGAGGTAAGGATAATGTCACTTAATTTTAAATTTCAGTAATAAATTAATTATTTCAGTGGTCTAAAAATCCATTATCCAAAAGATCAAAAACAAAATAAAAAAATCTGGTGCGTGCAACACACATCTTTCACTTACCCTACTACTATGAATAGAAATCATTTTCTGCCAATGTTTGGCTATTATAAAAATTTTTAATTGATTTTAAACGGAGCTAAAGCTTAAGGTTTACGGATAAAAAATCACTAAGACCATTAAAATTACAAAAAATCTGTTTATTACATCATGGGTAGGCAATAAAAATCTAAAAATCTCCATCTGCTTTTATTAACCACACAACTTCAGAACATATTTAAAAAAAAAAAAAAAAAAGGAAAGAAATATACAGCACATAATATATGGTTCAACATGAGATAGAGATTAAAGGATAAAAACAAATCAACAATTGATTGTATTATATATCTCACCTGATAGTATGTCCTATTAAGAAAAGAAAAGATGAGATGATTGGGTCACGTGCAGAGAATGAAGGAGAATACAACCCACAAGATGATAATGGAGAGATATCAAGAAGGAAACAGAAAGAGCTATGTTATACTTTCAGAAAGATAAGGGAGCAGACCTGGAGACTCTCAGAGTTAGATGATGGAATGGCAAAGAATAGAGGTCATGGTTCTTTATGGACTTTTTTTTCCCCTCCCCTTCCTTGCCTTAAAGGCTATACGGGATTTTCCCGGGCCAGGGGGTGAGGGCGGGCATTTAAAAGACTTCTCCAGCACCAGGACGCGAAACTGACTATTTTGAAATCCATTATCTCATAGATCAGGTTGCCAGGAAACGGCGGTGCTGTGCACACACGTTAGCCCATTCGGCCACCCTGTCCACGGTTCTTTATGGACTGTTGCACCATTGGAGAGATAGAGAGAGATCATAGTATATAGCAGGAGTGTCCATCTCCACCGAGGTCGATGGTGCATGACCTCCCTCCTCTTAAAAATTTTATTTCTTTCCTCTTCTTCAAATAGTGCAAGCTAAAATAAAATTTTAAAAAACATAGGTCATATATAATTACACTTTCACTATGCTTTTCTGTTCACGGTCTGTACTATGCTTTTCTCTTGTCCCCTGATTTGAAACTTTTCAATCCGAAAATTCATAACCCTATAGAAATGTGACCCCTAGGAAAATCCAAATCCTGTCTAAATGTGCTCCACCTTAACAATTTTGACGGCGCATCTTGCACCATGAAACACCCTTGTGGGCACCCCTGGTATATTGTATCCATTATTTTGAATAGTTGATTGATTGTTAGCATATTCATTTAATTTCTTAAATAATAAAATTTCAGCACTACATAATATCAACTAATAATGTTTTTAAAATTTAATGTTACTCAAGAACAAATTTTTTATCATGACAAGGTTTCATAATTATTGTATTTATTAACTAGCTAAGTTTTAATTTATGCAATATAACCTACCTAAGAAGAAGAACACAAATTGCAACCATTGTATAGGCCATTAGCGTTCCTATTGATGTCATATCTATCAGCTGTTCTGTGTTGAAGAATACCGACCAGAATCCTACACAACAGATTATAAAATTAACTAACCATTATTTCTTTAATATCATTGAATATTATTTAAACAATAGATAATGCCAACATATTAATCTATGACAGGTGAGAAAAGCCAAGGCCATATCTGATAGATTATTCATCCTTTATGTATCTGCTGACTTAGGCGCTTAACTTTCCTGTTGAATTGCTAGATTTGATTTTCACACCCACTAAGCTACATCCAAAATTTTAAAATTACCAATAGTAATAATAACAATTTAAAAAAAAAAGCAATTAATATACATGTATGTTACAATTTTGTCTGGCATCCCAATAGATTTTATGGTTATCTTATTCTAAAATTGTTAAGTTTTATTACATTACCTGTCAGCAAGCCAGATGCTATAGTAGCATTAACTGGTGTTTTTGTAATTCTGTTAATAACAGACAATGGTCGAAACAGAAGTCCATCTTCTGCTATAGAATATACAATGCGAGCCATCCCGAACACAGAAGAAAGTATGCTAAAATACGAAATCATTAAGGATGTACTGATCAATTGATATTTCAAGTCAAATATATTAGCTTTAGGAACCATTTTTTAAATTATGAATAATTGATGTATCAAACATTTTGTTTCTTAATTTGTAAAAAAAAAAATTAAAAAAAAATAAAAAACAGGGAAGAAAAAACATACCATCCTGATACTGCAGCCAGGGCTCCAAATGTTATTACTAGTCTCATGCTGCCAAGACCCCATTTTCCCAAAACATATGGATAAGGCGATCCTTTGCTTAAATTCTTAAAAAGAAATTAAAATTTCAGTATATGAGAAATAAGGAAATTGTAAGTTTGGGAACTCTATTAAATAATTTACTTCAATTTTAAAATAATCTAGTATAAAAAAATAATATTATAATAAAAAACTTTGATTAAGTGAATGTTTCATTAACTTTTATCTTTTTTTTTTCATTTCTAATTGCAAAATTTCTGTTTTCTCTGGTTTTCATAATTACACAAGTCATAAAGATAAAAGAACAACATATATTTTTAATTTATAGTATAGTTGAAAAATCCACTCTATAAAGGTATTATACTTATAAATAAGTAAAAGCTTTCTTGCAATGTTTTATTTTACCTCATCAAAATAAGGCCACATGAGTGTTAATGTGGCCGATATAGATCCATACACTAAAATGGCAAGTGATATGCTTGCAATCAATGCAAGTGGTACTGTTTTCTGTGGATTTTTGGCTTCTCCACCTAAAACATTTCCTTACTAAATAATTTTCTATTTATTAAATTTAAACCTAAAGTAATACACCACTAAGCAAATACCAAAAGAATAAGAACTTATTATTAATTTTATATAGTTTTTAAATGAAATGACTGTCCATCAATGCAGGGTGCTACCAGAATAGAAAATATTTAAAAACAAAAATAAAACAGAGTGCAGTCCCCAACAAAGTAAAAACATTGAGAGTGACCACATAACTTGTGACAGATCAGATTCAATCTTCAAGCTATTGTAATAATATTAATATAGAAAAAAATTATGTAAAACATAATATCACCTAACATGTATATAATACTATGATTAAAATGTATATACCATGAAGATCTTTGGCTAACTTATATATACCTAAGATTTATGTTTACTTTCTTTTAGATGTATATTGCTTGCAGAATGACAAACATCCTAGAGATGGTCACACTACCTCACGCTGTTACAGACCTCGATACAACCTATAGGCAGTGCCTTTCTTACTGACTCATTCGAAATCAATGACAGCGACAAATCAATCTAGATGCATGAATTATGGCTACTTGGATTGGAGTCAGAAGGTCCACGATGGCTTGTATCTCTTTCCCTGAAACAGACTGAGCCACATCAGGCAATTGAAATTCTGGAAAACCACATCTCGATTTCTGGTTAAGGTACGCAGGGTAGATTCATCATTCCAACACCCAATCTGTTTGAGTTGCCTCCAGTTGGCTGACAGGTCATTATCATTCTAACACAACAAAAAAAGTATAAAGTATTTATGATGGGGTGCCATGGGAGGAGCCCAAAAATATATGAGAATAAATGAATGGAAAACAATTATTTATGTAACCAAACATACAACAGTACCAGATAAATACAAAACAATAATCTTTGGGCCCTCAGAGGAGCCCCTCTCAATCATTCTATGTTCATAAAAAATTACAAAAAACTTATGTTAGGGCCCCATGGAAGGATCTCAAAAATATGAGGGAATAAACAAATGGGAAACAATTATATATACATGTATGATAAGCAAGTACTTTCTGGGTCTGAATGGTCAAATGCCCTGAAACTGAATATTAATTATGCACCCCTGCATGGAGTCCCAGGTGTCAGCGGACAGGTAAGAGAAGTTGGGGGGGTACGAAAGAGAGCCAGAAACACCAGCACATGTGCTTGGAAAATACCCCAACAACTCCCTCCTTATAACGCGCCGTCACCACAGAGTCAAACATGAACTGATGAGGCTCCTTAAAGAGAGAGATTACACCTGTTTCGAGGAAGTATATTGTATAGATACGGATGGATCCACCCGATATGCCGACATTGTAGCATTCCTTAAGACGGGAAAGTCAGCGATGATTTTGGATCCGACCGTGAGATATGAGACCAACGACCTCGATCAGGCAGGAAAAGTGGAAAGGGAGAAAAAACAGACATATGAGAAATGCATCCCTTTCCTTAGTGAAAAGTTCCGCGAGAGTTTCGGGCCGAGAGAGTTCCAGGTGAGAGGCCTTTGGTTCAGAGCTCGCGGAACGATACCAGACTCAACAAGGAGCTTCATGGAGGGCCTTGGTGTCAACATAAAGGACGTGGCAAGGTTGGCAGAGAACATAATCCTTGACTCCCTGGGAATTATCCATCACCATGTGCATGGATAGAGAGTTTGTTCATGGGGGGAGGCATGCGTGTTTTACAGCATTTTTACATTATTTATTGACCACGTCCACTGCACCTTATCTTTTTGTATGCATGTTATGAATTAGGTTAGGAAAAGAGAGGAGAAAATCTAGGGAATGAGAAAAATGTATAGAGTGAGAGAAGGAACAGAAAGGGATGTATAGTGCTAATAAATGAATTAAAGAAATAGTAAAAATAAAATAAATAAATAAAAAATAAATAAATAAATAAAAATATAGGAAAAAAATTATGATAAAAAAAAATATATAGATAAAAAAAAAAAAATTGTATATTATGCTCATACATGTTGTTAATACTATATAATTGTATATTAGTTTTGGAAAATTGTCTGTAGTGATTAATAAGTATGCTGTGTTTAAAGCAACCCAATGTAATTGGGCAGCACCCTTTTATGATAATAAAGTGATTCTCTCTAGAGTTAGAGTACTAGAAAAATATAAAAAAATGGTTTTGGGCTCCCTTCTGGGTGTACCCCTAGTTCGGTCACCCTCAGCAGTTGCCAACTAGCTGAGCTGGCCAGACTGATCCTTTTCAATCCTGTTAAGCATCTTTGGGACTAACTTGGGACGCCCATCAATCAACTACAGAACCGTCCATGTGACTTGCAAGTACGTGAATGGGATCAGATTCAAGATCGGATAAATAACCTTATTCGCAATATGCCCATGAGAATACAGGACGTTATTCAAGGAAGAAGAGGCAACACTAGGTACAAAAGACTCAGATTTTATAATTAAAAAGAATTAGATGTGTTTCATTTTTCTTCAAAAGAGTGTTCATTTACTTTATTTTAGATTATGCAATTTTTGTTGTTTTTCTTCTTTATTCTTGGTCTCTTATAAACAGAATATGTCACACTATATTGAGGTGAAAAAACTTACAACTTTTTCTGTTGAAAAAGGAATAGCGACAAAATTCAAGGGGGCTGCGCCTTTTTTTTATGACAAGGTTTTTATGACCACCAAAGTAAATAAAGTATAAAAAAATGAAGCTTACCTGTCGTTGCTATAGTATCAAAACCAGTATAAGCATAGAAGCATGTTGCAGCACCTTCCATGACACTTGAAAAACCAAATGGCATAAATCCACCTTTACCAGCTTGAGTACTCAGTGATCCACTAAGTGACCAATTATTAATATTAGCATAAATTAATCCAATTATAATCAAAGTTATAATGGTTATCATGTTTATTATGACAAAGATAGTAGTTATCATTGTCGATTCTCTGACACCAATACTTACAATCCCTAAAAATAAAGATGAATGTCAATTTTTCAAAATTAAAAATAAAAGTTTTTGAATTAAAAAATTATTTGTAAATATCCATGAATATTTCAAAAATAATGAAAGTTGTGATAATACTTTCGCATACCTGAGAATATAATAATAATAATAAAAGATAAAAAGTCCAAATATTCTGATAAAAATTTGATATGCATTCCAAAATGTTTTTTTTCCCAGTTAGAAATGCTACCACCAAACATGGAATCAATGTATGCACTCATTCCACGAACAAGGCATGCTGTACCTGAAATATTAATGATAGAAAAATTAGATTTTGTTTTCTAGATAAATTGTGGTGGAGTATGTCCACCTTAACAAGGAAGCAAAAAAAGTAATACTTCCTGTAATAAAGATCCCTGGATCAAATCCCGGCCCATGGCAGAAAAATTATTTATTCTGTTTAATTGGCCCTGAAGTAGGGAGACCCTCCTGGGGCACACCCAGCCTCTACAAATTGAGTAACCTTAATTAATAATTGATTAAGGGAGAAAATCTGGTGCTTGAGCTTGACCCTGGCCTGATTCCCTCCCTTCACAACCATTGGCCTTGAAACTGTACTTACTGTACTCTAAATAGTATTGAGCTCAAGACTCTTCATGGGTTGTAGTGGTACAGATTTTTAAATAAAATTAGTATATAAACAAAGTCAACAATAATAATAAAATAAAAATAATATACATTTAAATAAAGAATGTAGTTTATGTTACATATGTTGAGTATTGTTGTATTGTATTGTTGAGTATTTTGTGCAATTTTATTTAGGTCAATTTTTATTCAAGTAAAATATGTTTTGTACGTCTGTGTTTGTATCTTTTTAAACTTTGATTATTGTAATGGACTATTGTCTTAATTAAGGGGTTTACAGAAGTGTTTGTTGAGTTGAAAAATTTCTCGGTCTGGTAGTATATGAATTGTTTAACTGTCTGAAATAATTAAATATGTTGGTTATTCATGTGTATCCTTTATGATTCTCATACACGGATTTTGTACCCTTTCTAATATTTTATAGTTTGAGTCAAATGTGTTACTGCATACTGGACAAGCATATGTTATTTTCATTGTACATTATATTAGGCTTCCTTTTCAATTTCATAATAATTATAATTATATCGCAATATAATATAAATGTAAATAATATAATAATTAATATATTGTATTCAAGGGGAAAATGTCAAGATCGAAACATAATTTTTGCCACCTAGGTAAAATCAAACTACCAATTTTTGGTCTAAAATCTTCATTTTATATTAGGATGATATGAGATTAAAAGAGCTCAATACCTTAAGGAAGACATCAGGATGTAAATCTCTATTTTATTTTTTTAGGATATGAGGTTACAGGTGCTCAAAACAAACATAATTAAACGAACAGCTACATAATCAATGCTAATTTTAGAGCTAATAGGGAGTTCCCGTAACCCTCCTACTCTCCTAATACTAAAATAAAAAAAATATGAAAGTCACTAAAAACTTGTTTACATAATGGAGTAATTTTATAGAAATATACATTATATATAATATTAGTTGCGTTCTACAGTTTAATCTATGGATTTGGATTTGGAAATAATAATCTATATTTGAATAATTAGCAGTTTTCGATATTTTAAAATAACACAACATTAATATATATTGTTAAACATTAAATGAAGTAATAATTTGAATACTGTTGGTTTACCAATTACGAATTCAAGACATAAGTTCCAACCCAGGATGAAAGCAACAAACTCCCCAACTGTTATATAGCAATAGGCGTATGCTGAACCAGTCCCTGGTGTACGGCTTGCAAATTCAGCATAACATAGAGCTGTAAGATTATTTTTTTGAGAATAGAGTAAGACTTAGAAATAAAGAAGGACAAAAATATGACTAAGAAATTGGTACAAGCAAATTACTACAAATTATTTTATAAAGCAGCAAAAGACCATTCTTGTTATTTTATTATAGAACAAAGATATTAATTTATAAATTTGTAAAATATTGGAGTAAATATTTAATTTCTGCAATGACCTCAATCAGGGGTTGTCCATCCTGCCCTCCCCCGCCCCAAGGTCATTAGGGCAAAAACTTATCCCACCCTCTCTCCTCCCAAGATATTTAATTGCTCACCTTTCCTTAAAAACAGAGCAAGCTAAGATAGAATTAGAAATCTTAGATCATATAATATTACACATATGTGTAATATTATATGATGTATACTATTACATGTCTCGTCATTATTTCCATATGTTCAAATTTACTAAATATATTTCTTTAATACAGCTGTAAATATCATTAAGAAATAAAAAAAATAATTTATTTTTATAATCTGATCTTTATACTGAAATTAAGTTTTATTTATTGAAATTTACAACTATATGAAATAAAATACAGACAGTAAATGTGAAAGGACAAGAATATTGTCATGAATAAACTTTTGAAGATGCTACCCAATGGTAATATTTCCTAAATATTTGTAAGTAAAAAGGTATGTTCCATGTTCTTTCCCTGGACCCTTGGTCCAAAAATCATAAACCTGTCAAAAAATACCCTCCTCAAAAATTAAAAAACCCGTCAAATATGCCCCCTAATAAATTTTGATGGCACAACTCATCATGAAACCCCCATCTGGGCACCCCTGCCTCAATAATATTGCTACATAATTGACACGGAATTTCTGCCTATTTTTCAGCAGAATCTCTCTGATTACTCACTGAATACAGTTTAAGTGCTCATCAGAGCAGTTGATATTTACTGTTTGATAGCTTTTTTTAATTTTTAATTTCTCTATACTATCGTGAAGATTGTGAAGCCATACACCAAGAGGAAAATCGCAATGTACCAGGCGTAGGCAAAGTGCCACAATTGCCAGGCTTACGGTCACACGAAGACTTATTGCCATAATTTGCCGCATTGTGTAAAGTGCGGTGAACAATACAAATCAGCAGAGAGCACCAAACCGACACAAGATTTGTAGCCTGGAGTTTGTGCCTTGTGCTTAGAGGGATACCCGGTCAACTACAAAGGCTGCCAAACTTTTAAGAATCTCAAATCCAGAAGACCCTCATTCAAGATGAGACAACCAGACCAAGAAGAGAACCTACTAGAATAGTGAATAATAATGTATCATTCTCCGAACTACTTGGAGGTAAGAACCCAACTAATAAATGTGAAGTGCTGCTGCAGCAAATACTTCAACCCCAACCTCAATACTCTGTTCATTCTCACATATCTAACCATCAACAACCTCATCAACCTCAAATTCCTCATATCCCTCCTCCTTCACATACCACAGATATCACCAGTTTGTTGTCATCATTTCTCATTGAATTCAAATTAATGGTTACCCCACTCATATCACTCTTTACAAATCTCGTACCTCACCTCATCCCTCCTGTAAAAAATCCTTAAATGACTCTCACCAAACACATATCTACTGTCCTTGGGAATGCGAATGGTGTTAGAAATCACGTCAGAAACTAACAGCTTTACAACAAGACAAGAACATTGAAGTAGCCCTAATTACAGAAACTCGACTGCTTTTAAAAATTCCACAGTCCATAACATAAGGTACTGACCATTCTGACGGTACACCACATGCCGGTACTGCTGTCATCGTACACCAAACACCTCTCTTATCACTTACTGCCATTACCTACTCAAGATTTCCTACAATCAACCGCTATCGTAATCAAAACCTTCTCATTTCTGGTCACCCTTATATCAGGGTATTGCCCACCTAACGAAGTCCAGTTCAGTTCTCTCCTCAACTCCTTAGGTCATCACTTGATATTAGGCGTAGAATAAAATGCCATACATCCACAATGGGGTTCAAGAACTGTTTGCACTTAATTCCCAACTTTTCAGCCTCCTTTCACCCTAGTCACCTAAAGGTACTATTTGGCTGGCGCGGTCGACGACAGCGACCGCTATTCCCCCCTGCCAACCGCTGTTGGCGTACCTATTTCGCTGAAACTGCTCACTGGAGTTGTTATAACCTGCCTATAACCTTCGAACATTTCTCGCTGTATCTTCCAAGATAAAAAGATGGACATAATATAAGAATAAAAATGAACTTCCTATAATAATGAACATCTCTGACTAACGCTTTTTTATTTGAGTTAGAAAAAGAAGAGAAAATGTTGTTCATAAAGAGAAGGAATATCAGTATTTCGATGTGATGCTCATCATCAAAGTTCCTCTGATATTACATATTATTAGTTTGAAAAATAATAGTAATTAATACATAATTGGTTACTAATAAATATCATATATTTGTAATTAAATCTCAGCAAGCGATGTTTTAGAGTTTTATCAATAGTAATCAGTAAATCACCACTTTAATTAAAAAATACAAATCGTTTTTTCAATGGGTGGATTTTAGTATTTACCTGACGATAAAATTTGTTGGATTCTTTAATTTATTTAATATCGTTTGGATTTAGGTATATTTGTATTTCGCTGTAAAATATTGCTGGTGGAATAAATAAATAAATAATCTTGTTACTTCAACATTAAAAAAATGATTTGCTATTGCATTGTTTCAGTTTTAAACAATATTTGTTATAATTTTGCCAGACTTGAAAGAAACATAGGAAATAAAACGTATGGACGGGACTGTTATCATCAAAACAATGCTTTGATATGATAACATAACCTACAACCGCCGAACCGCCAACAGCTCCACTGCTTCCAGAGGAGTCAGATACGAGCAGCTTAGATATGACGTCATACCTAGACTGCCGAGCAGCGCCAGCGAAATAGGTTCCTTTCTATTCCACTAAAGCAGTGGTCAACCGCCAGCAGTCGCGGTCGTGGACCGCGCCAGCGAAATAGTACCTCAACGCTCCACTGCTCCCAACCGCAATCCTGATATCCTTGATTTTTTCATCCACAGTGATTTCGGTCCCCTCAATTATTGCCTTACCCATCTTGACGAACTTTCCTTAGATCACAATCCATTAATACTTCAATTATTAATAGCTCCTATTCCTAAAGCCCCTCCAACATGCTTCATCAGAGGTCCAGTTAACTGGAAACAATTTCCGATAAAATTTACCTCAGAATAATGCCGTGCATTCCTTTACCAACACTATTCAACAAGCAATCTGAACTGTTTTCTCCCCAAATCATTCCTCCAAAATTAAAAAAAAAATTATGTACCTCAATACCTGATAGACCTAATTCACATCAAATGCGTTGCCAGAATTTTATGTTAACGTTCAGGAAATCCTACCGATCGCCGCTCCAATAATTATTACATTAAACGATTAAAGCAGAAATTGGCCGCCTTTAAATCTCAATCCTTCAACTCCTAGCTTATTTCTCTCTTTGTTCATGGCAATTTCCTATGGAATATCACCAACAAAATCATGAAATCCCACCATATTTCCCATCCACTCCGTCGATGCGATGGCTCCTGGGCAGCATCCGATGAAAACAATGTTGAGGAATTCGTCAGATACCTCTCCAGAACATTCACATCTCATCCGGAATCCTACCCCACCAATACCACAACAGTATAAGAATTCCTTATATCACCCATTCCACTTTCTTTTCCCTCTAAAGCAATTGATCCTTCTGATGTCAAAAACCACTTACGAAAACTTCTCCGTAAATCTCCTGGATACGGAGAGATACGGCCTCCTTACCTCTTAAATCCTCCTACAACTTCCTTCTAAAGCTGTTATATTTCTCATTTACTTATACAATAGGGAATGGGGTAGCTCAGTGGTAGGGTACTGAGCTTCCGATACTAAAAGTCGAATCTCGGCTCATGACAGAAGAATTATTTATATCTGTTTCATTGGCCGTGGGCGACACTGGGTAGCTAGACCCTCCTGGGGTACACCTAGCCTCTATAAAGTAGGTAGCCTTAATTAAAATAATTAATTAAGGGGAAAGCCTGGTGGTTGGGCGTGATCTCAGTCAAATCACCTCTTTGCACTACCGTAGATTAAGATATAGTACTTTCTCTAAATAGTATTGAACTCAAGATCCTTCATAGGATGTAGTGGTACATGTTTTTTTTTTTTAAATTATATAATATCATCCTAAAAACCATCCACTTTCCTCTTTTGGACATTCCACTATAAGGTAAACCTCCCAGCATCTCGACGTCCTTCAGGCCAATTAGCCTACTTCCAATCCTCTCAAAAATCTTTGAAAAGATCCTTCTGAAATAAATCCTACCCTTTATAGAATCCAAAAATCTTTCCTTCCCATCCGTTCAGTTTTCGTTCACAATACTCCACAGTCCAAAAAGAACTCCGAGTGGTCGATCATTCTTCCGCAGCACTGGAAAGCAAGCAATATTGCTCGGATGAATTTCTGGACATTGATCATGCTTTTGACCGGCTATGGCACGCCGGGCTTCTTTCCAAGCTGAAAACATATCTCTCTGATCGCACCTTTTGAGTTCACTGTCGTACAGAATTTTCCAATTCCTACCCAGTTGAAGCCGGTGCTCTTCAAGGTAGCGTCTCGAGCGCCGACATTTATATCCTTTTTACTGCTGATATCCTGATATCCATCCCAATACCTTCCTGGCAACATTTGCTGATAAAACCTCTATCCTATCATCCAACTGAGATCCCGAAATAGCATCGTCAAATCTCCAAAGATACCTCTTGAGCACTGCTGCAATAAAAAACGCATTAAAGTAAACGAATCCCAATGCAAACATATTACCTTCACGCCGCAGATCCTGTCCACCAGTCCACTTTAATTCCATCTAGCTTCCTTTTTCAGACACAGTCCGGTATTATGGCTGTCTCTTAGACCGAAGACTAACGTGAACCCACATTCTAGACTTAAAAGACAATAAATTAACAGACGATACGGTCAACACAGATTAATAGCTAGAAAATCTCAACTTTCAATTGACAAGAAATTACTGATCTACAAGACAATCCTGAAACCTATTTGGACCTATGGACTGGAACTTTGGGGAACAGCAAAATTATCTAACATGAAACGCATCCAATCCTTTCAGTCCCAAGTCTTCCGAACTATAGTCGATGTTCCGTTCTATGTAACCAACAAAACCCTTCATCGTGACCTTAATATTCCATTTGTCCTAGACCTTATCCCTGAATTTTTTTCTAAATTCCATCAGAGCCTTACAAATCATCTAAATCCCTTTGTCCAATCCCTATCTAGTTCCACTCATCCCTACAATCCTTCTCGAAGGTTGAAGCGACAGTGGCCCAGAGATCTGTTGTACTATAAATCTTGAAGTTATGGCAATGGCCAGATTCTCCACTCAAGACATGAATGTATGTGCCTAAAGCGTTCCCGCTCAATCTCCACTGGTTTTAGCACCAGTGGTACGATTGAGAGAGTAGCACAGGGATCTCTTAGAGTCCTACTTTTCTCTGTATAGTTGGAGGGTCAAGCCTGGCTTTGGGTTCCCTGCCTTATTGTTTATAGGTATGAGCACGTTTTTATGTTTTTAATTTACTTATCTTTAGGTTTTTTTTTTTTTTATTGTACATAGTTTTTGATTATTATTTAGTTATTATTTTACATTTATTAATTTTATGTTCTCTGTATATATGGTGTGGATGTGCTCATATATCACTATAATTGTTGTCCACGTGACAGATTATTATATTTCTAAATAAATAATTTATTATAAATAAATATTATAATTTATTAATAAAAATTGACACAAAGAAAAAGGTGAGGTTACAGTCAGTGACTCCTTATTTTCAATAATATATTTTTGGTGTTTCTACTTAAAAAAATACTGAAGATGCACACCATTCGTTCCAATGGCCCATAGGAGCAGAGAAGAAAAAATATATAATTTTAAAAAATATATATCATCTTTGTTTCTTTGCTTTGAACGTATTCCTACGTTATCGATTAATTTTTTAAAAGTAAAATAAGATGTTTTATTTATGAAAGAAAGCCAAAAATTATTGTATTTAATTGTATTTCATCCTCAGCTAGTTTTAGAAATTATTCAAAGCACAATTTGTTTTTTAGAATTTTGTCATGGCTACAATGTTTGTGAAATAATTGTTTACACAATTTATGACTTTGGGAAAGTTTTTGGACTAGTAAGGAGGTAAACATAATAAAAGCCTAACTCCCAGGTGTTGAGCCAGATGGGGGGTGGGAGGGGGGAGGGGAGAGGGGCGGAGGAGCACCTAGGAGATAACATTTTTCGGGTCTTCGCTTATATCGGGAAAACTATCCATCCCATCGACAAAGACATTCTTTACAAAATTAACGCTGATAAAATTTGAAATATGAGTTGTTCTTGATATTATTTTTCGCTTTCTCGCTTAGTTTCCGAGATATGCGCCCTCAACTATCACTGATGGTAAAAAAAAGTTTTACCTCATGTTTTTTTACAGTATTGGACTAGCTAGTTTTTGAGTGCTTTGTACTATGATTAACTCATACGGAATAAAGTTGTTAAAAATAAAATTTCTTTCAAGAATATATATTATTTTATCTAGTTTATCTTCAACTGTTACAAAAGTTAGATCAATTATTACTTTATATGTCAATTCCGAGAATATTTTGCAGAAAAAAATAATTTTTATAATATACATTATTGTGTTTAGGCACATGTATATATATACCTAGAGATTTAGATGTATAGAGAGTTAAAGTAATATAATAATAACGAATATTACAAAAAAAAAAGTTCTGCAAATTATCGAAGTTGACATATAAAGTAATAATTGATCTGACTTTTGAACCGTTGGAGATATACTTGTTAAATAATGTAAGTTCTTGAAGAAAATTTAATTATTAAAAACTTTCTTCCGAATGGCTTAATCGTAAAAAGAAGTTATCAAGAGTTAGCAGTAGTCAAATACTGTTCCTCTCTTAACTGATATAGGAAATAATTATCAGATCACACCCCAATATTATTTATTTTGTTGCTAACTTCTTGGAGATCCTACTCCTTAAAAGATTGAGGATCATATACTTCCGGATATGTTTCCATTGCGCACATACGAACATAGTGTACTAACTTAAACCAAAATCTGTCCATTGGTGGACACGTTCCCCTAACCCTCTCCCCTCCTCCGCCATCAAGATTTGTACTTGCTTAATGACTGCCTTAATATTTTTCATGCATCAAAAATACTGTTAGTTCTGATTAAGTTAGTTATGGGTATCTTAATCAACAAGTTCAACAAGATGCGTAATCACTCGTAACAAACCTGCAAGGGTGCAGGCCACACCTGCGAAAAGGAAAGACAGTATCATCGCCGGTCCGACCTTGGTCGCTAAATCTCCTGCCATGATGTAGACCCCCATACCCAGCATGGAACCCAGGCCAAGGAAGACCAAATCATGGAAACGTAAGATTCTTTTGAGACCACTATCTTCTACGTAAACGAATTCTTTTTTCCTTGTGAGTGCCTCGATCAGGCCGGACTGAAAATCATATACATTTATATCAATATATTATAAAGAAAAAAACAAATATGTATACCTGAGTTATATTGATCGATTAATCAATAAACTATTGAACATAATACGATCCATAGAACACTTATTTTTATATTAATAAGATTTCAAAATTAATATTTTTTTATCATCAGTTAGACACCATTTACATTAATATTGTACTGCAGCAACAGCAACTTCTCCCCACCACTATATATAGATCTTAGTAGTAAGCAGTAGCATAGTAGCTCATGTCTCAGTAGTGTTGGAGCTCTCATTATGTAACATTGTACTTGTTTTCATACCAATAAAGGTTTTTTTAAGTTGTTCGTGGATCCGAGTTTATAATTGTCGATTATGGAAGCCTCCGAAGCATATCTCATAAGGGTAGCTCCACGGACGTTGAATCACCGATTTCAATGAAATTGATAAGGTTAGGTCAAAAAAAAAAATTAGAACCACGACCAAGGGTTCAGTCCAATGGGCCATAGGAGTCCAGTAAAATATTTTTTCAAATAAAATTTATACTTTTTTTATATTATTATTTTCAGCATTTGCTCAGCTAAGAAAAATATATTTCCGATTGTATTAAATTTAAATATATAATGCTTTAATGACGGCTATATAGTTGACTGTTGAAATTATAAGGATGAAAAAATTTTCTTGATATGCAGTCGGGAATTTCTTTATTAAGTTAGCCGACGTTTAAAACCAAACATGTGGGCCATTATCGGGATAGTGATTTGAAAGCCTGAGTTTTACGCAATCGAGACCCACATATTTGGCTCAAATCGTCGCCTAACTCATCTGACAGTTTCTAAATCCTTGAGGGAGAAACACTTTATTTTCATAAAATATAAAGGATTGCTGCCCAATTATATTGGGTTGCTATAGACACAGCATACTCCTCTATCCTTAGGACAATATATGAACTTATATATAAATATACAGAAGTATTAGTTAATATTAGTAAAACAGATATACATATATATACATATTTATTATTTTCCATTTTTTTTTTCCTTTTTCCTTCCTTTCATTGTTCATGCTTTTTTTTTTTTTAACATTTAGTATCACTTTCTCTCACTTCTCTCTCTCTCTCTCTCTCTCTCTCTCTCTCTCTCTCTATTGTTTTCAATTATTCATTAAATAAATAAATAAATACATAAATTAAAACTCTCGGTCTAGCTATGCACGTGGTGGTGAATGATTCCCAGGGAGTCGAGGACTATATTTTCAGCCAACCTCGCTACGTCCTTAATGTCGACACCTAGTTCCTCGAGGAAGCTCCTTGTTCTTTTTGGGATAGTTCCGCGAGACCCAAATCAGAGGCCTCTCACGATGAACTCTCTCTCTCCGAAGGTCTCACGGAATTTATCTTTTAGGAATGGGATACATTTATCGTACGTGTTCTTCTTTTCCCTTTCCACTTCACCCGCCTGATCGAGGTCATTGCTCTCAAAGCGGACAGTTGGATCCAAGATCAGCGCTGTCCTTCCTGTCTTGGGAAATGCGACGATATCCCGCGTATCTCGTAGAGCCTTCACTATCGATGCAATATACCTAAGGAGCCTCATCAACTCGAACTTGACGCGATGGTGACGACGTGTTTTGAGGAGGGAGTTGTTGGGGCATTTTCCCAGCACATGGGCTGGTGTTTCAGACTCTCTGCCGCATTTACGGCAGAGGGACCCAACTTCTCCGACCTGTCCGCCTACTCCTGGGACTCCACGCAGAGGTGCATAATTAATGTTTAGTTTTAGGGCATTCGACCATTCAGACCCAGAAAGTACTTGCTTTTCGTAGATGTATCTATTCCCTTTCGGGGTCTCTTTAAAATGGCGAACACCAATATCCTGCCACCTGCAGTTGGCCCATTCCTCAAATGCATTTTCTCGTAGCGACTGCCGTAGAGCTTTCACATTTCGATGACCCTGATCAACCCCCAATCTCTCGCACATTCAGTAATTTCAGCCGAATAATCGAAGGTAGACTGAAAAAGGGCATCTGGTACATTGGACAGTCGCTGAGCAATGGACCAATGTTGATGAGGAGCCTCCCATTGGCAGCGGATTAATCCCAATCCTCGGTATCTCTTGGGGGCATACAACATCGCTGTGGAAGTATTCGCAGGGAATCCAATAATGGTCTTTACGCTCCTGCGAATCATAATGTCGATGCCCTCCAGGATAGCAGGACGCAGCTTTATTAGGGGCGCAGTTTGGAGAGGGTAAGTAAGACCCGGGAACAGATATTGATTGACAATGTTGAGTTTCTGCTCAGGTTTGAGTAAGCAAGAGGTTACCAGCTTGTTTAAATTATCATTCAATTTAGTCACCGAATCTTCGTTGAATTGTAGCTCTCCCGAGAATGTACATCCTAAATACTTAATCGTATCTCCATTCCTCAATGTTTGGATGTACTCACCATTCTCAAGGGAGAGCACCGTAGTTTCCAGCTCTCCTTTATTTACAACGATGCCCATACTTTTTTGAGGATTTATAGCCAGACCAATTTCTTTAAATGTCCTCTGGATGCTGTCAATCACTCTTTCCGCAGCCCCCTTGTCTCGAGCCGACACAGCCTGGTCATTCGCGAAACCTGTGAGGACCACACAATCCTGCTCATTCTTTAATTTGTATCCACATTTCTTGGAAAAGTCCTCATCACACAGGTCGCGGTAGAGATGATCGATGGCCAGGTTGAAGAGTGAAGACGACAGGGGACCGCAATGGGGCACACCGCGCAGCACTTTGATCTGGCTAGTTGCATGGACACCATTATTAATCTTTATGGTGTTCGTGCTAAGAAGAGCCGATATGACATTTGTAAGATTCGGTGACATACCTCTCGCTTCTAGGGAGCTCACGATGTGTTTGTGGCCAACATTGTCAAAAGCACCGACAACGTCGAGGAAAACTATCGCACAGTCATTTTTCATTTTTTGTGCATTTTTTAATACCGCGTCGATAATCCTCGCGTTCCCGGGAGACCTTTTATAAAACCTCTCTGACTCTTGTGGAAGGTGACCTGCTTTCTTAATTCGTGGTCCAGAACCTTCTCTATGATTCGGCGCACAATCGAATATATGGTGATCGGTCTCCAGGTAGAGATATTATTTATATCACCTTTGCCCTTTTATATTAATATTGTGCGCCCTTGTCGAAGTGGTTCCGGAACATATGCCACCTTCAGCATTATCTCTGCAATCGTTTTGATAATGTTTGATGCGTCAAAATATTTTATTGTGCGGATCAGCACTCCATTGACTTAATGGCTTTCTTGACAGCTTCTATGACAATGGACAGCAAATTTGGCATCGGGGCACACTGTTCGTAATCCGCACGCCCGCAGAGATTTTCGCTTTCAAAGAGGTCTTTATAATGCCTCTCGATTTCGGCCATTTTTAGAGGTCACCGTTTTGGAGCGTCGGCATTCATTACAGTTTGCACAACCTTTTTTCTTTTATTATAATAATTATATTGGGCAACCTCATTCTGATACTGCTCCTGCCGACGACTCCTGTCTGCTTTGTTTGCCCTCTGAGGATTTGAAACTTGTCCAGCACCCTTGTCAGCCATTTTCATTTTATTTTTTTTCCTCATCCTATAAAATTTTACGGCTGGTTGCTGGGGACCTGGCAGTTCGGCATTGATAACTTTGAGGAACTTTAGGAACTTTAGGAACTTACCTACGGCCTCATCAAAATCCGCAGTATTTACTATATTTTGCTTTAAAAGGTTCTTGAACGTAGCAGACCATTCAACTATGTCCTCTTTTATTTTTGATGACTCACCCTCTCCATTCCTAGGACCTATCACGTTCTTTACTATGCCCCTCAATGTATTGTTATTCGCCTCCCTGGGATGTTTTTTTGCAATGTGGGTTCCGAGACCTCGTTCGCGCTTAAAAGAGAGCCCGCATATCAGACAAACGTTATCATCAGGGCGTAGAGCTTCATTTTGCCGCTCACTAAGTACCTCTGCGACATTCAGCCGATCATTTGGCAATCTGGGAAAGACATCATCTATCGACACCGTCTTTCCCAATACCACACCTTCTGTGTCAGGCCATTCCACTTTAATAAATTTATTTTCTCCGCCTCCTGCAGTAGCTACAGACATCACAGAGGCAACAACCGCCTCTTGAACAGGTCCTCCAGTTCTCAGAACCCATACCTTTTGTCCAACTTCGATCTTTTTCGTTGGTATTTTGTTCATTGCAATATTATTTTTTCGTTCTAGACTATGCCCACCACGCGCACGATTGAAACAATCGGTGCATAATTAAATAAATAAATAAATACAAAGTTAAAACTATAAAATTAAGTGTTAAATAGTGTTATAGTTAAAATATAAAATCAATAAAAGGTTAAAAAAATATAAATCTAAATCAAATAAATTGCTTATAAATAAGTTACAATATCGAATCAGTTAAAAGTTTAAAGTTAAAATTTAGGTACAAGTTAAAAATAAGTGAAAGTTGAAATCTAAAAAAGTTAAAATCTAAGAAAGTTAAAATCTAAAAAAGTTAAAAAGTCAAAATCTAAAAAGGTTAAAATCTAAAAACGTTAAAATCTATAAAATAATTTCCTAAAATGAGTTAAAATGTAAAATCAATTAACTGTTAAAAAGTTAGAATCTAAAATAATAAATAAATAAAACAATAAAAATAGTAATTGCCTAAATCAGTTAAAAATCAAAAGATAAAAATTTAAGTAGTTATAATCTAAAAAAAACAACAATATATATACACCTATCCACATCACATTATCAAACCTAATATATTCTTCAAAGTATAAAATAAATTACAAAATATAGGATCATTAAATACTTTTAAAAAAAAGAAAAAAATTCAGTTCAGCAATAGTTTTTTTTTTTTTTTTTAATAGCTTATTTATTGAAATATATTACAATCTGTCTCAGGGACATTAATAATAGTGTTCACAGATCACATTCACACTCTATATACAGTAAATAAAATAAATTATACAGAAAAATAATATATATACAATAAACAAGAATAAAATAATCTAAAAATAAGTAAAAAGAACACATGCACACCTACATACAATATTTACAACTTGGCGAGAGAACTCCAAGCCAGACTTGTCCCTCCAACTGTGGAGGGAAAAGCATGACTCCAGGAGTTCCCTGCACTCCTCTCTCAACCGCGTCACTAGGGCTAAACCCAGTGGAGATTGAGCAAGAGTGCTTTAGCCACATACACTCATGTCGTGAGTGGAGAATCTGGCCATTGCCAGAACTCCAATATTTACAAACTATAAAAGATCGCGGGGCCACTGCCGTTTTAACCTCCTTGGAGGATTATATGGATGGGTGGTGCTGGATAGAGATTTTGCAAAGGGATTTGGATGATGGGTAAGGTTCTGGTGGAATTTGGAGAATTTTGCTGGGATAAGGTCTAGGACAAATGGGATATTAAGGTCATGGTGTAGGGTTTTGTTGGTTACATAGAAAGGAGCATTGACTATTGTTCGAAGGACTTTTGATTGGAAGGATTGGATGCGTTTAATGTTAGTAAATTTTGCTGTTCCCCACAGTTCAAGTCCGTAAGTCCAGATAGGTTTCAGTATTGTCTTGTAGATCAGTAACTTGTTTTCAATGGAAAGTTTTGATTTTCTGTTTAGTAGTCGGTATAGTTGTCCGTATCGTCGGTTTAGTTCCTGTCTTTTAAGTCTAGTATGAGGGTTCCACGTTAGTCGTCTGTCTAAGAGAAAGCCAAGGTACCGGACTGTGTCCGAGAAAGGAAGCTGAATGGAATTAAAGTGTACTGGTGGACAGGAACTGCGTCGGAGCGTGAAGGTGATGTGTTGGCATTTGGATTCGTTTACTTTAATTCGCCATTTATTACACCAGTGTTCAATCAGGGAGAGATGTCTTTGAAGGTTTAAGGATGCTATATCAGGATCTGAGTCGGATGATAGAATGGCGGTGTCATCAGCAAAAGTTGCCAGGAAGGTATCGGGATGGACAGGGATATCAGCGGTAAAGAGGATGTAAAGGACGGGACCCAATACGCTACCTTGAGGAACACCTGCCTCAATTGGATAGCAATTCGATAATTCACTACCGCAGCGAACTCGGAAGGTACGATCTGAGAGGTAGGAACGGATGACAAGGTACAAGGACTGAGGAAGATAGGTTTTCAGCTTGGAAAGAAGCCCGGCGTGCCATACCCGGTCAAAAGCTTGAGCTGTGTCCAGAAATGCACCCGAGCAATATTGCTTGCTTTCCAATGCTGCGGAAATATGATCGACCACTCGGAGTCCTTGTTGGACTGTGGAGTGTTGTGAACGGAATCCGAACTGATGTGAAGGAAAATTTTGGGATTCTATAAAGGGTAGGATTCGTTTCAGGAGGATCTTTTCAAAGATTTTTGAGAGAATCGGAAGTAGGCTAATTGGTCTGTAGGACGTTGAGGTGTTGGGAGGTTTGCCTGGTTTCGGAAACAGGATAATAGTGGAATGTTTCCACAAAAGAGGAAAGTGGGTGGTTCTTAGGATGGCATTATATAAGTAGGTGAGAAATATAACAGCTTTAGGAGGAAGTTGTCGAAGGATTTGAGAGGTAAGGAGGTCGTATCCAGGAGATTTACGGAGAGGAAGTTTTTGTAAGTGATGTTTGACCTCAGAAGGATTAACTGCTTTAGGTGGCAAGGAAAGTGGAATGGGAGATGTAAGGAATTCTTCTACTGTTCTGGTATGGGTGAGGTTGGATTCCGGATGAGAGGTAAATGTTCTGGAGAGGTGTCTGGCGAATTCCTCAGCTTTATCTTCATCAGACGCTGCCCAGGAGCCATCGCTTCGACGAAGGGGATGGGAAATATGATGGGATTTTAGGATTTTGTTGGTGATCTTCCATAGGGAATTGTCATGAACAGAGAGGGAAGTAAGGTAGGAGTTGAAGGATTGGGATTTGAAGGTGGCCAATTCCTGCTTTAATTGTTTACTGTAAAAATTATAGGAACGACGATCGATGGGGTGTCTAGTACGTTGCCATAATAATCTGGCGCGGCGTTTGGTATGGATTAGGTCTATGAGGTGTTGAGGTAACTTATTTTTCTTGGGAGTTCTTGAGGAGTGGTTTGGAGAGGAAGCAGTCCAGATTGCTTGTTGGATAGTGGTGGTGAAAAGGTGTACGGCATTGTCAAGGTCATCTGGGGTTTTTAGGGTTATTCTGAGGTCAATTTTATTGGATAGGATTTGGTGATAGAGTTTCCAGTTAACTGGGCCTCTGATGAACGACGGTGGAGAAGACTTAGGAATAGGAGCAAGAGATAATTGGAGTAATAATGGACTATGATCTGAGGATAGTTCGGCAAGACGGGTAAGGGAATGATTGAGGGGACCTAAGCCACTGTGGATGAAAAAATCAAGGATATCGGGATTGCGGTTAGGATCTGTGGGCCAGTAGGTAGGTGACTTAGGAGGAAGGATACTGAACCGTTGGGAATTGAGTGCAGATAACAATGTTCTGCCACGAGAGTTCGTGGTTCTAGAACCCCATTGATGGTGTTTGGCGTTTAAATCTCCACCCAGGATGAAATTATGACCTAAGGAGTTGAGGAGAGAACTGAACTGGACTTTGGATATGGATCTGTTAGGAGGGCAATATGCTGATGCAAGGGTGACTGGAAAGGAGAAGGTTTTGATTACAATAGCGGTTGACTGTAGGAAATCTTGAGTGGGTAATGGGAGTAAGTGATGGGAGAGGGATTGGTGTACGATGACAGCAGTACCGGCATGTGCTCTGCCGTCAGGATGGTCAGTACGGTATGTTAAATACTGTGGGATTTTCAAATGCTGTTTTATGGTCAGTCGAGTTTCTGTAATAAGGGCTACGTCAATGTTCTTGTCTTGTAGTAAAGCTGTTAGTTCGTCAACGTGATTTCTAACACCATTCGCATTCCAAAGGAGAATGGATATGGGTTTTGGGATGTGAGTCATTAAGGATTTTTCAATTGATGATGATTCAGCAATAGTAAATTTAAAAAAAAAAAAGTGTCCACTTTAAAAATTTGATTTAAAACGTTATATAAATAATAAATTATGATAGTAAAAACTATTTATTTTTTTAAATATTTTATGAGAGAAAGGGATCGAATATATAAAATATGTAACTGTCAAATTAGTTGGGCTCCGTCGATGATTGTATCGATGAGATGACACTGACCTTGCTGAGAGGTGGAGGGGCCGACAGGTACCAGGCGATATAATATAATAAATTACCAAAACCAAATGAGACAACTAATAAAGTAAATTTTAACATGAATCTGTTTTCATACCAAAAAATATAAATTTTGCGATTTGATTATATGGGAGAATTTTTTACATATCGTTTACAAAAGAAATAAGCGATTTCTCCAACTCTCACATCCCTTAACATTAACTGATATGTGAAAGATCGCAAGTTTCACAGACGCCTCGCAACCTGGCCTGTGTGTTCGAGTGAGTAATAATCAACAATATATATGTAATAGTACTTATTATAATATTAGTTAATGTTATAAAAGTGCATGTTTTTTACTTTTATAGTCGTTTTATAATTCAATAACATTTTCTTTTTATATATCATATTAATATTAGTGGATTAATAGTTATTACTACTTAATAGTTAATACTACCTGGAGTCATGTCACAAATATACACCCCGACCAAACAAATTTATCAATTTTTAATTTTTTTTCTCGTGAACATAATATCATTGGATTTGAATGAAGATGAAAGAATCTACTGGGTGTATTGAATACTTTTTGATTATTCATAATGAATCTCTTAAAAACGTATATTTTTAATGAGTGTTATTTTCTTCTTCTTGGCCAATTGATTCATATTTTAAATTAATAACATATTGTATAAAATGTAGTAAATTGTATTAGATATAGAATTGTATCTTGAAAAATTTTCATTTTAGGGAAAAATGCCATGAGGAGTAAAATTGTAACTTGATATTATAATTTTTGTTATAGCAAATACATTGAAATATATAAATACTGAACTGAAATATAAGCTGTTCCTAACAAAATATTATGAGTTAACACTGGTTTACTCAAGAAATTTATAGAGTAATTGCCAAACTGAATATGGTGTCTCAGACGCAATGCGACCTGTGCTGTTATATGACACCTGGAGAGAGAGAGAGAGAGAGGTCCGGATGTTTAAAATACAGTATGTAAAATATCTCATATTATACTTGTTCATTTCCCTTTGATTAATTATATTAAATAAATTTGATCGTGTTTTTGGTGAAAACATTCCTCTTTGTAACAATTTAACTTTTGCTTCCTCACTACCTTATGTAGAGTAGCATTGTATTTTTATTTATATACTGTTTTTTTTTTTTAACTGATTGATTTATATCGTAGTACCGCTATAGATTCCATACTTATCTATTTCTAGAGTACATATGGTGTATATTAAGGTAGATGATCGCTCACCTTTCCAGAATCATTTTTTTCTGTATTTTCTCTAAGTAGGGATTGAGACTCAAGGCTAACATTTTCGTCCATAATTGTATTATATATAAAAATATTTAAATTATAGATACTACATACTAAATAAATGAAAATAAGATATTCCATAAAACAGCTGTTCATTCAATGTGTAAACTAAAATAAATGGTTAGATAATACGTTTAATTCATTCTTATTCTTTTTTAGTTTAGTACTCTTTAGTACAATGGAAAAACAGAAAAGAAAGTGAAATATAATACCTACTTTAGCCAGTGCGTTCGCGTCTAGATGTATTACGTAAGTCCGCTAACAAATAACAGATCTACCACAGTTCTGGAGGCAACGTTAGTTATAGATCTCGCCAATGCAGTACCGCTATCTAGGGTCCATTCATATCTTTTGGGTATGCAACACTGTGACCATTGAATTTCTAACTTATACCAGCAGTAATACTTAATTATTATCCATCAAGAATCTGAGTTATTGAGCACTAATTTCTGACAAGCCAGCGACATGGTGGCTTGGTACTTATCTCTAATAGGTGGAACAAGATATGTGTTCCAGTCCATTTGGACTGAAGATTTTAAGCTTATACTCAAGTTAGTACTTAATTAATATAAAAATACTAGAATCGATACCCGGTTGGATCTTGAATAATGTCAGTCGGGTTTCTGGGATATGTTTAAGTAACGAGTTGGGGAAATTTCGATATTATACCTGACTTAAAAAGCTTAAGTAAGGGAGTAACCTTAAAAGATCTTAGGTTTATCCAGGTCTCATAGAAGGCGCATATTGGGGCCTCAACTACTTAGCAACTAACACAATTTACCAGTTAATTATACGGGTATTCTGAGGTATGCGTCTCCGACAAAAGAACAGGTTGGCGACGATTCAATGGTTAGCTCTCCTGCGAGTCACCAACACGTCAGACTTATGTGTCATAATGCTCAATAGAGAGTTATATACTAATGCTTAGATCCAATTTAAGTTGTATGACAGAACTCTGTAAGGTTAAATTGCATAGTGGCAAAAACATCTGCAGAAATATATCTAAACTGCAACATACTTGGTTAACTCGATATGTTAGTTTTAAAATTGGAATAATAATAAAAATGGGAGTTTTCCTACTTCCAAAACTCAATAAGAAAGTTACATTTAACCGCCTACATCTACCAGGCTCAAAATTGGGGACAGAATTTAAGTTCGATGGTATAAAACCAACAAAAATTCTGTAACATTATTATATTAAATGTCTACTAGGAATTTAAAGGCACATAACGATTTTTTTAAATCTAAGTTTGATATATATATATTATTTGGTGAGATCTCGCAAGTGTTTTTTAAACTATTTGAACACAACATACGGTAAAGTTATTGTATTTATGTCTTTGTATTATTTTGTTGTTACATTTGTGTCTTTAGTATGTCCTTTTGAATGCAATGATTTTTCGATGGAACGGCTTGACCGATTTTCTAATTCAATAACTACATTATTTGATAAAACTTGAAGGTATGTGTCGATTTTATGTTCGAATTTTAAACATGATGCCTCAATTTTCTCAGCGCTTTTCCATGAGTGTTTTGAAAAAAATTAGCTTAGAATATTTAATTATATTTTAAGTAAGCAATTTATATTTTTGTCAATCATAATATATTAAAATATATAATTAAATTTATGATAGTAATACTATATAATGTAATTAAATAATTTATAACGTAATAAAATATCATATAATTTATAATGTAATAAAACATCATATAATTTATTATGTAATAAAATATCATATAATTTATTATGTAATAAATATATTTTAATTAAAATTTTATTATAATAAAATATATATTTAAATTAAAATTACATTACATTAAAATTTATAATATTTGAAGTAATTAACTTGTCAAATTCGCAGCTTTTAATATTAAAGTTGTCTTTACATACTCGTAATAAAATGTTCCATGTTCCATCTTTCCTGTATTAATGGTGAGCATACCTATAATTTCTTCTTTTTTTTTTTCTTTCCTTACTCGCCTTTTTCCCGGAGCAGCGGAGAGAGTGAGGGATTAATGCTCCATAGTTAAAAGGAAAATATTTATATAATAATAATAACTATATACTATATAATAATAACCAAATACCTTAGCTTCTTTAAAGGAATCTAACACTCACTACAGTGGCCTTTGGGAAAAGTGATAAGTCATCCTTCCAGGTAGTGATGTAGTCCAGTCAAGGAAGGATTTATAGAGTGTGTTACTTGAAACCTTAACAATTCCTTCAGAAACTTGTTCAGAATGCAAACAAACAAAAAATTCTCACATCTAGGAGGTGATTCGGAAGAGGGCTTCCGCTTAAATCTCCTAAATGGTGCGTCGCAGGAGAAAGTTGTCTGATAATAAATGAACGTTTATAAAATTATCTTTAAAACATTTTTTTTTTCTAAATTCTCTACCGTTTTCCACCTACACGCTCAGAAGAATTAAGGACGTCTTTAAAAGAAATGACGTCTGTGAGGTCAAAGAAAAGGAAATAGTCGATAAAAAAAGGCCTTAATAAAGCAAGTAAGGAATAGAAAGACGGTAAGCACCGAAGTTTCTGTAGTTTGACATCCTTTTTGATTTATACCAATTGTGAAAGTTACACCCTAACAGATAAAATTAAAATATATGGAAGGCTCTGTCTCTTCCTGTGTTGGTACGTGCATCTAAGAAAGAGACAGTTCCGTCTCAGCTCAGGAATCAAGTGCACAGCACAGGCACATACCCTCTCAGCGACGACTTTATGAAGAATCCAGGTATGATGTCTCCATACCTGACCTTTTGTTCTTGTGAGTCTTCCATGGGTGAAGACCAATAGAGTAGATGAAACGAAGAGAAAATGTGCTGTAATGGGAAATGCCATTATCAGACCAAGAATCTTCAATCAACCTTGAATCACCAAGGCTGCTCCAAGGATTGTGTAATTGGCAAATGTAAATCAAAACAAGCGATACTGACCTGTTCTGCAGGGTGCATCCACTGCAGAGTGAAATGCCTAAACAGCGTGCCTGTTACGGAGGACGGCGTAAAGCCTATTCAGCAAGAACCATGGTTCACCCACTATTACCACTAAGCTCCGTGATAGACTGAAAAGATTAATAATAGCTGCGTAAGATTTGTTATTGGTGCCCCGAGGTACTCCCATGTCTCTCACCACTACACTGAATTAAGGTGGCTCTTCCCCTCCTTTAGAAGACAATATTTCCTAGGTACGTTCCTCTATCAAATCATCAACAACAATCGTCCTTTTTACGCTTACAACCTTCTCCAATTCAAGTCCTCAGTCCATTCTCTTTCAACAAGATCTCGACCTTCTGACCTCTACATCCCTTCTCACAGATCTGCCTCATTTCAGAATTCCTTTATAGCTCGTGCTGTCAATTTCTGGAATTCTCTACCTATCAAAACTCGGCATTCTCCCTCCATATCCATATTCAAATCCCTCCTATTCCAATTTCTATCCCAAAAACAGTCAGATACTTGCTAAACTTTTGATATTATACATTTCTAGTCATCATCAAACGATCGTACTATTCTATACTGTGAACTTCACTAGGGATATTACAATATCTTTTTCTGCTCTTAATGCCACTGACCGTATCTATTGTTTGTTTTTTAAATTTTTTTTTTATTCTTATGTAATTAAATCTTTACCTATAGCTTGCATTTGACAATGATGAGTCTACATATTATTCATTATTTAAATACAATGATATTTTATATTGTCAGCTTTTTCTTTTCTTTGTTAGCAGAAACACACCTCATTTTAAAGAAGAACTCAATGTATTTTTTATTATTTTATTTTTCAAAAGAGTATAATTATAATTGTTTCTACTGTACATAGTAAGTGTTTTATTATAGTTTTAAGTGTTTTTTATATAGATTTTTTTTTTGTATATAGCTTGTTTAACTAATATTTTCTTTACTTTCTCTTATTTATTATTGTTTTATTTTGGCCAGATGTAATATTTTAATTATGTTCTATTTTGATATTCTAAAGGGACTTTGTCCCAGAATAAAGTTATTTTCTATTTCTATTTCTATTTACTGAGGGTGAAGAAGCCATGGGCGAACTACCTTTGCCAGAACACTCACGTTCAAAGTAGTGAGTGTAATTTAAGAAGTTGTTGAGAACAATGATAACAATTAGGTTTATAATTGTATGTATTTAACGTTTAACGTAATGAAATAGAATAGAATTAACGTGAGATTTTTTATTATTTGTACAATACACTATTAAAATTTTCAAGTAACACGAGTTTTCTATTTTATTTAATAACTGGCTTTGAAAAATGGTCACTCGTATTATTTATTATACAAATGAACAAAATTTGTAGGCCAAGAATATGATACAAACAAATTTTTCTGAAAATTGCAATATTTTACGAAACTTTTTAAAATAACTATATAAATAGATAGATAGAAAATAAACTTTATTCTGGAAGGAGGTCCCTTATGAATAACAATTATGAACAAAAAACAACATTAAAGAATATATACAGTATCTTCAATGAAAGTATATTAAAACAAATAAAAAGTAACACCATTTTGAAAAAAAAACCAACATTATTTAAATGAAAAGAAATCAGGTAAAAAATAAATAACAAAATAATATAAGCACTCAACAATGCTTTGAAACTCAAACAATTTCAACAACCATTCACCTCAGTCAAAATCTGTTTCACAATATTTATTTCATTGTACAACGTCATTTTGGGATGTGAGAAGGAATTGGTAGATATGATATTTAAATGAGGTAAAGGAAAAGGAATGGCGGATATCAGATGGCAAGGAATTCCAGAAGGCAGTGGATCGGGCAATAAAGGAATATTCAAATGTCTTAGTTCTATGGGAAGTGATATAAAGGTCGGAAACACGGGATCTTGTTTTCTGGGAGTGGACCACGGGTTTAAATAGTAAGAGACTGTAGATGTAGGAAGGGTGTCGGGTGTTTATCGTTTGGAATAGGAAAGATCCAAGGAAATATTGTCTGCGGAAAGAAGGGAAGAGCCACTTTAACTCGTCGTAAAGATGGGACACATGACACCGTCTCGAAGTACCGAAGACAAATCTTAAACAGGAATTCATGAGTGGCTTCAATCTATCTTCGAGTACTATCAGGATGCCTCCGTACATCACACAGCCGTAGTCAAAGTGGGGGAAAATGAGAGAGGATACAAGGAGCTTGCGGATGGGTTGTGGGAATAGGTGGCGGGAACGATGAAATAGCTTAAGGGTACCTATTGACTTTCAGGAGATAAGGGCGATATTTGGTTTCCAGAGAGGTTTTCGGCAATGGCGACTCCTAGGTTTTTAACGGAGGAGCTGAATGTGATAGGATGATTGTTGATGGCTAAAGGAGGAAGGAAAGAGATGGATTTAAGAATAGAACTGGAACCTATAATAATGGCCTGAGTTTTTATCGTGTTTTGCTTTAAATTATTCAGACTTGCCCAGGCACTGGTCCTATCTAGGTCTGCCTGAATATTGGCGTACGCGACTAGTAGCTCAGAAGGGTAAAAGGAAAAATAGATTTGGGAGTCATCGGGATATAAATGGTGGTAGACTGTTGTAGATTAATAAAACAAATATCTGGTGTGTCCACGAACACGACTTTCCTACCTATTTCAAGTTTTTATATATTTACATATGCTCATGAAAAAACCAAAAAGAATTGAACTGGATTTATTTTCCTGAAAATTGATCAAAAAAAAGATTTGAGTACGATTTATTTGATAAACTAAAGCAATGTAAATCGGTTTAAGGTAGATCAGTGTAAAAATTTCAATACTCACTACTATTTCTGATCAAAAACTTTTTGGCATAGCTTAGTATTGTCAAACAATAATTTCTGTTAAAAGTAGAGGAAATGGTGAAGATTGTGTGATGCGGGCAACAGATTTTCTTACTTTCACTTAGTCATCTTCATTATCTCATTCACCCCTTTCTGACACCAGGATATGAACCCGTAATCTTACCTTTAAAATTAAAAAGCTGTAACTTTGTTAATAGTTTTTCAAAATGAACAATTTTTATATGGCTTTGTAGGGAATTTCATTACCTTTCAAACCAAAGGCTAAACGGCGTATCGGACCCGATTGCAATACTTTCCTTACCTAGTATAGGTAGGAAAGTAATAACTTAAATAATGTGTAAAAAATAGAATAAGCTGTATCATCGCTAATACTGGTTCGATTCCGATGATTTTTTTTTTGTTTTGTTCGTAATTTAATTAATTTCAAACGTTTTATTATAAACTTTACCGTATAATATATACTTAGGGAGTTAGGCTCCAAAACATTTTTCATTTCTTTATAACTTTTTTCCTGAATTTTTTCGGGAATTCAGAATATGTACGAAAATTAAAAGGACGATGATTAGAATATTATAGGAAAGTTTCATCAAAATCTTTAGAGCCGTTTTGAGCTACAGTCTATAGAAAAACATGTTTTTCATTTATTGCGCGCAAGATATTGCGCATGGAGCACCGAATTTCTGTCACAGGCATCAGTAGTCAAAACCCTACAAAATAAAAAAAGAAGCAACAAAATCGGTTCAGTAGTTCCCGAGAAAATCTTGGCACAGACAGACAGACAGACCAATGGCTAAAAATGTGTTTTTCGGACTCAGAGGGCTCTGAAACGTATAGATCCGTCGAAAACCGCATATTGGAAATTTGACCTGATTGCAATACTTTCCTATATATATATATATATATATATATATATATATATATATATATATATATATATATATATATACATACATATATACATTCTAATAGGGAATTTAAGCCTCTAAAAATTCTTTTGAATGAATTTCTTTCGCTGATGAGAAGCTTAGATGATATGAAGCCATGTTTGATGACAAATTTGAGGTAAAATGATTTTTTTTTTCAGAAATGTCAACTTTTTCCGAGCGTGTAGCTCGAAAACAGTTGGCAATTCGTAAAAAAATATAGATTAAAAGTTTTAGTTAATTTTGTATACTTTCATTTATTGTGAGAAAAGTTTCCCCAACGTACTGATTTCCAGATATAAGGGAGAACACAAAAATGGTGACCTTTCATCTCCTGATGAGTGAAATGTAGAATCACAAAAGGGGACTTTATTCCTGTTAGGAAATTACCATCATTGTTATTCCCTGAGTGAGTTAAAATGTGTAAATTTTTGCCAACAGGATTGGCCCAATGATAACAGAGAGTGTTGTATACTTCATCAGTATTGTTTTCTTTGATTTTGGAGAAAAATTAGCATTTTACATTTCTTTAAAAATCGGTTTATGTATCGCTTTTTCGTACTTAATTCAATTCAATATTCATTTTGCCTTCTGAATATACTTAACACTCACTGTTTACACCTTATTAAATTTTCATGAAAAAAAAGACTTTTGTCCAACAGAAATAATGCTGGAAACATGTGACATAATTTAGAGGTGGTTAAATAACAAAGGAACAACAGTAATTAGCTCATTTGTGGTTTATTGAATTTTAAAACACGCATTTTGTAGAAGTAAATTTTATTTAAAACATAACTGAAAATATACACACAAATATCGTATTTCAGAATACATTCTCTCTTATATTTGAAAGATCTTGAGGTAGAGTACATATAGATTACAGGTACAAGTTTTCCCGAGATCAAGGTTTGAAAACACATGCTCTTCTGGAATCTCAGTTTTAATATCTAACTTAAGATTACTTTAACACATTCTCATAATTCAAAAAATAAAAATTTAACTTTTATATACAGTAAGAAGATTATATAAGTCTTGAATTGAAAGAATGTCCCATTTTTAAGTAAAAACAACCCTGAAAAGGGCCTTTTATTGATGAGGATACTTATGTGGCTCAAGTTAACATTGATTTTATGAAATAATGTATTAAATTTAGAAATAATCATGTATAATTTTTATTAAGAGATCAATAAATTTTACAAATACCAACAGTAATAATACTTAATAATAATTTGAAGAAAAAAATTACTATTTAGATTTAAAATAACTTTATATTAAAAAAAAACAACATCAGGATTGATTTAGTATTACATACATCTCGAGCCAACTCAAGACATTGGAAATAAAACTTAGATAGATTATGTGTTTCTACTATTATTTATTTCAGCAAAAATTACAATATTTAAAAATATAATATAAACAAAGTAGATTTAGGATTTTATTCACATTATTTAAAAACTGCCAATAACAATTTATGAACAATGAATTATGCTTTTATGTCAAGCAATACCAGCCTTCCAAAAAATTGTATTAATAACAATAAAATAAATGAGTATAAATTTTTTAAACAAATTAAAATTACCTTAAAAAATAATAAACAATAGTTTGAGAACTATTTGTTAAAACATTAAAATTTATTTTTTATAAATACTTCTATTAGTTTTATATATATGGGGTGCAAATTAATTTATGATCAAGTTAATTTAGATATACTTAAATTTTAAGAGGAATGCAACACAAATATGATATATATTATGCTGTATTTAAAATTTTTGAATTTTATTTTTAGCAGTCATTTTTTACAATCAGCAAGCTCTCAAAGCAAAAAAAAATAATAATAATAATAATAATAAGCCTTTCATTGTAAATTGTGCTAAAAATGTTTTAATTTAAATATATTTACATCTTTAAGTTTAATTACAATATCATCACACATACATAATATCCTAGGTTCCAATGTTTTATATGGCATTATAAATAGACTCACATCATATATTTCGGCCTCTTTCATAGATTCGATTGAAGAATAATATATTTATATCACTTACATTTTTATATTTTGTTTTTATAACAATAATCTTCTCATATAAATAATATCAGATGTGATTCTGTATTTTTATTTTTTCAAATTTATACTGTATATTTTACCTATAAAAACCATTTATCCTGTCACATTCGCTTTATGCGAACTTCATAAAATGTAAGGCGTAGTTCATTGATGTACCATTTATGATTTCTTGGCCTCACGCTGGGGTATACCCTCATGATTTTTCCTTTCTTTACTGTGGTGCATTCCATATATAAAATATACTAGCAAGCCTTAAAACAAGAAAAAAAAATTAAATTAATAAGAAAGCAAAAAGTGATTTTTAAAATGTAAAACTACGCTTAATTTACCTAATATCAGCCAGACTCCAAAACGAATCCAAGTCATCACATTCAGTTTTAGCATTAAATATATATTAATAAACATGGACAATGCAGGTAAATAAGGAACAGGCTTCACCTGAAAATTGAATAATGTTTATTTATTTATTACTAAACTAGGTTTATTTCAATGTATACAATATGAGTTTGTTTGTATTAGATTGAAAATAAGCTCAATCTATACAACTTAGAAACTAAAATGATCAACGATTAATATGAAATGGATTGAAAAAATAATATTCATGAGGAAAAAAATAAAATAGAACTAATATGAATTCTATTATATCAAAAATTTAGATCTCAACATGAATAATATTTATTCATATTGAGCATAAAGTTAACATAACATAAATTCATGCTTGCTTATCTAAAATCTAATTATATTCTAATTAATAATTTATAACTAATTTACAGATTAAGGAATTATACTCCCTGTTATTTTATCAACATTTTTATGAAACTCAATAATAATATGTCTGTCTGCTTTTTATCTCAGCATGCTGCATAAAGAGGATGATACTATTTTAGATTTATAAATAATTAAAAAATTGATGTATTTTTTAAATCTAAAGTGATTACTATACTATCTCTCCTTGTGTATTTGATTTCATTGTTTAGCATTGGATAACATAGAATGAAACCTATTATGATAGAATGAAACCCAAGATGAAATAAACAGGGTCATAAAGTCAGTGATATTTTATTTTAATCATCCCCGGCTGAACTCCTTTCTTTGATGTTCACTGTGCAAAAGGTTTGATAAACTCCAATATCTTATTTGTTCAGTAGTTTATTCCTTATTAGTTATTTCCTTCTTCTACTTTGAAAAAGTTATTTTTGATTATTATTATTTTTTATAATCATGTAGGAGGTTTGAATAAGCATAATTTTAATAAACCAATTATTTAAACATTTTAGAAGAAATAGCAAACATTTATTTAAAGACTGTTTATTTTGGTAATGGAAGATGATATTTTATTCTAAAAGAAAGCTTATTCAGACTTTTTATAAACCAACATTAAATTATTTATATAATAATTTCAATTACCAACATTGTTGACTGAAATGACAAACAACCAAATTAAATACTCTGTAAAAATAAAACATGCACATTGTTATATTGCATAAAGAAAATTAATAGGTGTGATGCCATATCATAATAAAAAAAAAATATATAAATAAAATGATAGCAACAACAACATGGATATATAGTAATTAGAAAAAATTATAATGATTTCCTAAACCAATCTAATAGAGCCTAGAATCTATAAGCCTCCTTCTGGCTCCAGATCGTTAAAAATTCAAAGTATCTCTAGACGCATATTAAGAAGAACTTTACAAAATTTCAAGGGAGCAAATATATATTAAAGTTTCTGACTTAATTACCTTAAATTTTAATTCAGCTTTTGATTTTGGTTGCCTTGCAATCACAGCTAGGGCAATGATCATCATTAGTGCCAATGCGGCGGTACAGAGGAGAATCATAGGTTCTGAAGCCATAAGTTTGTCAATTCCAAAAGCAAATATTGATCCCAGTAGTGCTGACACCAACACTGTTATCACATTATCATACATGAACATAGAAATAAAAATATGTTTTAAAATTTTATGAAAAAATGCATAATGAAATCAATAAAAATTGTAAGATAAACTTAATTGATAAATGAAACCATATAACTGACAAATCCTAATTTATCACCAGAGACAAAAGAAATACATAAAAAATTAAATTTTAATCATATTGAGATATGTTTTCTTAAAATTTAGACAAAAATAAAATATCCCTAATTAAAACATTCCTCACTGCATTTTCAGATTAAGATTAATGTTATTTTTACTCATAAAGCACCAGAGTGGTCACTGACTGACTACTGTGAACTTCACCAGCAGGGCAGGTCTTCTGACCCACCTCTAATAAACTTCCTCTCCAGGCCATAGGACTACCCGCACTCTGGTTTTCTTTTCTCCTGGGGGGTGCCCTGGCCCCCAGTGCATACTGCTCATATCCCAAACTAAACCAGTTTAATGTCATTACCTTTTATTTAATTCACTGATATCTGTCTTTTTAATTACTTGTAGTTATCAAACAATCAGGAGCTAATTTGATCAGGCGAACACGATACATCCTATTCTGTAGGCCATAATATATTCCCTGTGGACCGCCCATTAGATTAACAATGAAACTAATAAAATAATGTCTTTTCATCCCAAATCCAATATATTCTTATCTTTTTGGTGATTAAAAAAATATTTTAGATTTTTTGGTAGCATTCCTATGTGTTAATACATAATTTGATGTTTTTGTCATCACCCTACAAAAAAAGCTGGCATATTCAATATGTTCAGTCATATCAATCTACCACCGAAGCTCATGTGGACTGTTTAAGTCAATGTTCGTAGTAGGAATGCCAATGTTTATTGTGCAATAATAATTCTACAGATTTTAATTGTATTATATGTTTATCTATTTATCGTATCTACTACACAATATATATTAGTATACAATACATACAAATATTTTAGTATTTGTTATGTACTAATTTAATATTAACAGAATTACTAACTACTCACCAACTGTATAGGTTGCACATTTGACAGTCATGCTTGTCAGCTCATTAGGCTCTTTGTAGGTAATAGGTGTATTAAATATTTTTCTCAAAGAGGAGTTATATTCTTGTTTCATCTTCAATAAATATACAGTTTCCATATCCTTATCCTCATACCTTCAAGAAGAAAAAATAAAGGAATCTAAATGATTTTAAAAATCTATTTTTAACTAGTAAAGAAATGAAATTTTATGTTCATCTAAGTTTTTGTTTAATATAATAATTTATTAGATAATTATCATAATTGTTTATCTAAAAAAATATTTATTTATAAAACTTAATAAATTATTTATATATTTGTTTCGGTTATTAATTCAATGAGTTTATTGCCATAAACTCAACTTTCTTCGAAATTATATTTTAATTAATCATAAATACAAATAATATAAATTTTAACTAAGCAGGATTACAATTTACAAGTAAATCCTAATAAATAAATAACATATATAAACAACCTACCTGAGAAGAAGGACACAAATTGCAACCATTGTATAAGCCATTAATGTTCCAAGCGATGTCATGTCTATTAACTGTTCTGTGCTGAAGATCACGGACAGAAATGCTATGAATAAATAAGATAAATTATCAATAACTATTCCACTGATAGTTTGAACCATCATTAAATCATTAATCATTGATTGATAAATCATTGAATCATTAATAATTCTTATTCAATACCAAAGCTCACAGAACAGCTTTTCAGTCCTAATAGTATGTAATAGAAAACATGTAGGTCATTAACATTATAATGTTTTTGTTTTTTTTCAATTTCACTGATATTTTTGTTTAAAAATTATTGGTGGATCTTGTCATGGCTTTATTTAGACTGAATCTATAAAATTAATCATCGCTGTGACTTTACTTTAATTTTATTTAAGAGGGCACTCTGCTGGAGATCCTTCAATAAGGAACAGAAATGTTTCTGATGATATAAAATCAAATCGATGGTTTCTAAAATTCATTCAAACTAAATGAATGGAAACGTTGTTTTTTAATTGTTAAAAAATTCCAAAAAAAATCATTTAAAGTAAAGGATTCAGAGTGATTGTAAAATCCAAATAAAATTGAGATGCATAGGCGCTGACTTTCCATTCTGATTGAAAGGGGGGAGGGTGAAGGACCCTTCCTCCATCCAAAAAATGTTTCGGGCGTTTATATTATGTATAAAAATTATGAGAGATAATCAACATAATTATAGTAAAACGAACAATATAATACTATATATAAAAATAAGTTTATATAAATGTTTATATATATATTTTTTTTTTATATAAAGAAATGTCTGAAAATATGTCAACCAAGCAATTGATTACATTACGTATTTTTATGATTAGTTAAATAAATAATAAACTATTAGATTAATGGAATGAAATTTTAGTATATATTTTACCAATCTATAGATAAAGATTTATAAATTTATATATTTAATCAAATGATTCTTTTTATTCTCCTCTACATCACCTTTTCGGATATACATTTTTTTTTTCTGAGTCAAGAGAGAGAGCTTGGAATTCATGCCAGAGTTAAAAGCTCTTAGGCACCGGATTCAAATTCGTATTTTTCAGTTTATCAGGTTGCTGGAAAAAATATTTGCCCACATGTTAACCCATTCAGCCATTCCCCACTCCCCCCCCTAATCTACAAAGTCAGCAGTAAAAAATGTATCTATTAGTTATAGATAACCTATTTGTTCAGAAATTGTTGTAATATGACTCCAGTTTTCATACATTTTGTAGTATTAATATCTCAATAAGTTTTAAAGTATCAAAATAAAATTTTGTAATGTTAAAAAGGATGGTAAAAAAACAAATAAAAAAAGATTAAAAATCTGACACCATGATTTACATGTCTTGAATCACTTGTTATAGATTGACTCTTCTAATTTGAAATAAATTCTTAAAAGGAATTCAAAAGAAACTGGAGAGGAGTCAAACATTACTCCTAATCCAGGGGAATGCAAGTTCGGTATTATGGAATAATTTAAAATGTATAATGTCAATAATACATTGAAAATATTGAAAACAAAAATAATCATCTTGTTATGTGTTTTACATTACCTGTCAGCAATCCAGTAGCAATGGTAGCGTTAACAGGAGTTTTTGTTATTCTGTTAATTACTGACATTGGTCGGAAGAGAAGTCCATCTTCTGCTATAGAATATACAATGCGAGCCATGCCGAACACAGAGGAAAGTGTGCTAAAATATAAATTCCTTATAATGCATTACTCAAATGAAATTATACAAATTTGAGAAACTGTTGAAATATATGTAATTGAGATATTGAGTATTTCTATTCAATATGTTTCAGAAAAAGTGAGCATGCATACCATCCTGTAACCGCTGCTAAAGCTCCGATAGTCACGGCCCATTTCATATTTGTGAGGCCAAGGTTTTCCAATATGTATGGATAAGGGGATCCGTTCTTCAAATTCTGTGAAAGATGAGACACATTAGATCTATGAAAGAGACACATTAGAAATGTCAAGGTTTAAAAATTGTTTTTAAGTATGGTCAGCCATTATTCGGTTGAATATTTATCCCACTAAAAATACTTCTATTTTAGTTAAATTTTTAATCATCAAATAGGTAAAAGTTTATTCATAATTACTAAAAATTTTAAAGCATTAAGATTTGGATCTTCATTGAGTACTTATTTTTAGGTAAAAAAAAAAGATAATATAAGATCTATTTTTGAAAATATCATTACAAATATTTTCCTTTAGAACATCAAAAAGCAACAGATAAAAAGTTATTTAGCTTTTTAGCTTTTCACTTTCTATGTTAATGTTCCATTCAATAATAATAGTCCATCAAGAATGACTCATTCATTCTTACTTAACAATTATATTTATTGTACAATCACCGACTTCTTCACTTTAATTTTTATTTCTTTATGGAAGTTTTTTTCTAAATTTTAGTTACGAGATATAAAAACAAAATATCAATCAAATATAACGATTAAATTGATAGGTAATAATTGGCTGAAGTGACAAACAATATTCAATTAATTAATAGAATAATTAATTTTTTCTATAAATTATTATACATGCTATCCTTAAGAGCAATACAACTTTACAGGAGTAAATGTAGACTCTTCCGTCAAAATTTTGATGGGAAGTATACCGAACCTGTATCTTATCAATTGTGTTCAATATGTTTCACTTGTTCAAATAGATTATGAATTATGAAAACATATATTTGATAAGATTATAACTTTATAGTGTTACATTCTAGTTTTATCTCATAAAACAACCTTTTCAACAATACTGGTACAGATCACTTGAAGTGTGATTAGGTGATATCATTATTTAATTTAAATTAAATGTGTATACATAAACCTCCTTAAGGGTGTTTCGTTTCCTTGATGTAAAGATGTGGACAATATGACACCAGTAATAGTCCAATAAAGAGGCAATCACAATATTTAAATATTTTATATAATGATGACATACACAAGATACATACATCTTTCTTAGGGATGGTTAGCAGGTTAACTACCTTAATATGGTGATTTGTTTTATCAAATTTTCAACTATTTCATGGTAAATTTTTGTAAATTGGATTGTCTTATTAAGATACAAAATGCGTTGTAAGATGCAAAACTTAGAAAATCACTGTGCTTCCTAATGTATAAATTAGTATGCTTTAATAAACAAAACAAACAGATTTGATATTTTGAATATTAAAAAGACCATTCAACAAATTAAATCAGATCAGGCCTCCTAGATTTTATTTTACCTGGTCAAAATAAGGCCACATGAGGGTAAACGTTGCTGATATGGATCCATACACCAACACAGCCAATGATATGCTTACAATTAAAGCAAATGGTATTGTTTTTTGAGGATTTTTGGCCTCTCCACCTAAAAATATATTCAAATAAAAAATAAAACAATAAGACAAAAGCAGTAAAATATATATTTAGTTTATTGCAAAAGGTCACCAACATAAGTACATTTTTAGAATGCAGAACTTTTAAAAATAAGGTTTAGTGACTTTGAACTAGAATTAATTTTTTTAAAATTAATTTTTCATACATCAATATAAAGTACAAGAATAACCATTTGGTATAAGAAAAAAAATGTTTCTAAATAATATGTTTGACAAACGCTCTCTATTGAAATATAAGTAATCTTAGAGCTGTTCCAGATAGTTTTTATGACCTCTTGCAGCATATTTTATTGTTTCAATCTCGTCCTTAATGCTTTTTTTGGGTTTGAATTGTTTTGTGTTGATCATTGGCTCTCCTGATTTAATAACTAATTACTTATATGAGGGCTTCTCATACCTAAAGTGTTGAAGGCAAATCAACTCAGAAATATTCAAATCCTCAAACAGTAAACACAGGACAGGATTCATACAATGCCATCATATCATGCAAAACGGCCAGGTACGATCCAAGAATACATAAATTTTAATGGAGGGGAAGTGCTTAAGATTTTTATTGTAATTTGTATTATTTATCAATCAGTTATTTTTGTATTTTATATTTATATGCAAATAGTTAATTCTTTTACAAAAATTTAATATTGAAATCATTCCGTCAGCACTACTGGATTCATTTAGTTAGTTTTTTTTTTGCATAGTTATATTACATATTATTTATATATTAGCTCTATACTGATGACGATTGAGCGGCATTTAGCTGAAGAGAACCCAATTAAAAAAAAATGATTTAGACGTGGTTATGTTAATTATTTTTGCTTATTGTTTCTCAACACAAAAGAATCATATTTTGATTTAAGTATTTTCAATGGAAAATCGGTGTGGGAAAAAAAAATATTAAAGAAAGAACAATAGTACAGTCCTGGTCATAGAAATTCCATCTCCTATTTCTTTTGATTCTTAAATTGATAACTCTGATTCCATTGAATGTATTTGTTTTTCTTCACTTATTTTGGTTATTACATGAAAACTTCAACAATTCTTCTCAGTTCAGTTTTAACTAATGCCAGAACAAAAGCTATAATTATGACCAGTTACGAAACACTCTCGTCAGAAACTATTAAAATTGTGATGTTCCATGAAGTGAAAAAATTTTCTCGGAAAATAGTAACGAGGACAGGGTACTACCAATCAATGGTGGTCATCGATTTAAAAAAAAAAGAAAAAAAAAAGCAAGGCACCATTGATCGAAAGAAAGGAACTGGGAGGAGAAAAAAAGAAAAGAACAATTTGATCGCTTAATGGTGCGATTGTTTTTAGAATAGTGTTTCAAAACTGGCAAAGAAATATCCGGAGATCTTGCAGTTAGCGATCTGGCACATAAAATAAAATTTAATAACATCTTTACCGTGTTATGCAATGTCTATGAACTCGAACGAAGGACAGTGTTTTAAAACAATATTGGCTCAAGACAATGAGTGTATTTCTCTGAATAATTTGAGCCATCATACTTTAAAAATCATACGAGCTGTTCTCTTAAAGTTAATTAAAAGTTAGTTAAATACCTATCAGCGAATTAATCAAACACATTTTATATAATAAATTTTCACTGTGTTGATCCTTAATGTTCCAAAGCACTCAAGAAAACTCACTCGAAAATAATTCGAACCGTTATTAAATTTGTGACAAGAAAAATATATTTAATTGTTTAGAAACTTTGACTTCAGTGCCACAAGGATGTCGTCTAATTTTACGTCAAAGAAATGGTTATCAATTCTGCATTGACTTGTTTAATTTAAGCAAGACCTGTATAAATTAACATGTTCATTTTCGGATTTTTCTTCATCAGATATGTCATCCTAATTGTAACATTAAGTTTTAAATCACGCGAGTACATAGTACAGTTAAAGACCAGTGTAAAAGAGACGTTCTCTTTAGAATAATAACTGCTGCATACATCTTTATTCAATTTGATGATAACTATATACAACTGTATAAATCGGTATCTGTTATTACCACCATGATTTGTTTATTTAATCAATTAAATATGTTGATTAGTACAAGCATATATACCTGTTGTCGCCACGGTGTCAAAACCGGTATAAGCATAAAAACAAGTGGCAGCCCCTTCCATGACACTGGAAAAGCCAAAAGGCATAAAGCCTCCATTGCCAGCAAAAGGACTCTCTGTTCCATCAAGTGACCAGTTGCTTAAATTAACATGAACTATTCCTGTGATGACCAACATAATAATTGTTACCATGTTAATTACGACAAACGTATTATTAATCATTGTAGATTCTTTGACACCGATGCTTACAATAGCTGAAAATGTAAAAATAAAATGCACATTTTACTCAATGATAACTGAAAATATTACAGATTTTGAAGTTTTGTGTAAAAAAATTTAATCTATGATAACAATACCTGAAAAAACGATCATAATAACAAAAGATAAAAAGTCTGGATAACTTGATAAGAATTTAACGTCCATTCCAAAATGTTCTTTTTCCCAGTTGGCAATACTTCCGCCAAACATGGAATCGATGTAAGCACTCATTCCACGAGCAAGGCATGCTGTACCTAAAACGATATTCACAAAAAATAACTCATTTATTAATGATTTGGTCACACCTACTATAAAATTTAGTATACATCAAAACATTTCTATATTTTAGATCAATCATAAGAAACAATATTCAGTAACGTGGTTCAAATTGATTTACCTATAACAAATTCAAGACATAAGTTCCATCCTAGTATGAACGCAACGAACTCGCCAACTGTTATATAGCAATAGGCATAAGCTGAACCAGTCCCTGGCGTTCGCCCAGCAAATTCAGCGTAACAGAGTGCTGTAAAATTAAGATTGATAAATATTGTTTTGATAATAGTAGCAATCAATATAATATAATAATATACACAATAATATTATATCTAATTAAGGAACTGTAGTTAAATATAAATTTAAGTCTATCATAGATAATATTGCCATTAATTAAAGTAATTAAAGTAACGACAAATTCTTACACTTCGATTAAAAGACTAATTTTATTATTATAGTTAGCATTTTTATGTCTAATTTCCAAAGTTCAAATTTATCATAATTAATTTCAAATAACTGCATTAGAAGTCATTGGAAGACACAGCTATTTCAAAATTGCTTGATTGAGAGTTGGTACTTTGAAAAAAAAAAATACATTTTCATTTGAATTTTTTTTTCAGCTCATAAATATTCCAATGATATGATTCATTGTATTTAGGTTTTAAATTATTAAAATTTTACTTAAATCTATCGATCAGTATAAAAAGAAAATTAATAATTATAAAAATAATAAAGATAATAGAGCCCAAATTCTTATCTACATATATATCTCCTTCTTTTAAGGAAATTCATGACCGTTTAAATAGTCATTTTTCCTTTCACCAATTGTCTTTTAAAATTATAACAGTATAGTATTATATGTCCATAACATTCAATTGTAAATAAAGCCAGATTTTTCAGAAAATTAAACTGCCTAAGCTTTAATTTAAATCATAAAATATATTTTTAGGTAGAAACTAATTTCTAAGTGACATTAACTTTAATAAAAAATGGTCTCCGCGTATCTACATATAACTCACGTCCAGAATGAAAGGGGCACAACTTAAATAATGATTCTTTTTTAAAAAAACTATTAGAAGTAGGTTAAATTAAATAATAATAGCCGGAAGTGGCACTTACCGATTTTACACATTTAACAATTTTCTAAAAAAAAAAAAAAACTCAAACGTTTTTAATAAAATTTGTTTATCTATGTTAAATTGAGTGATCTTTGATATGAAGCAGGTGTTATCTATTATGAAATAGCCCAATAGTGCTTACATTTTTAAGAAAATTGCTTAAAATCTAATCATATGTATAAATATCTATTAGTATTAACTTTTTAAAACTGTTTCGTAGTATTTGTTTTGGACTTTATAAACTTTTACAAAAGATAGACTTTTCGATTGTATGAATTTTTTTATTTTTTATTAATGATATTTACAACTGTATTTGTATAAATACACCAATTAAATGTGTACAGAGGAATATAATCACATGAAAACTCTTGTTGAGAAACTACCCATTGGTAGTACTCTAATTTATGAATTTAAACACTTTTATTTTAAATATCATTTTAAGCATTCGTGTAATTCTTTTGTTCTATATTAAATTTCGTACCGGCCCACAATTTTTATATGATAATTAATTGTTTCAAATGAACATTTTATTTTAATTTGACTTTCAATTATGATTTTTTTTATTTTTAATCAATGTAGAGTGTTAAACGGATGTTGTATGATCCAAGATAGCAAAACTAATAACTTGGAATCAGATAACGAAAATATCCCTTCAACAAGCAGACGCAAGAATCACTTTAACGTTGAAGAGCAAATAAAAAAAATTGCGAATAAATGACAAGCAGTTCATTGAGATTTATGGTGGAACTTAAACAAGGTGGAAGAGGAGCAAAGTACAGAGTAAGTTGTTACATTTTGTAGTACGTTTCTCTTAATAAAATGGAATTTCCTTTATGAAAAAAACTAGGAAGTAAATGCATATAAAAATTAAAAAAAAAAAAAAATACTTAGAGAGCCCATAGTTATCGCACATCAAGAAAGGTTCATAAAAAAGGGATTTTGCTCACTCAAGGGAATTTGAAACTGATGAGGTAATGCATGACTAATATATAAAGTTAATAATTAACACAGGCAACTAATAATATTTGTCAAGTTTTCTAGGTTGCACTTGTAAGTCAAAAAACCCTGGTGGAGTCCAATACCACCCTTTACACTTACTAATTATTTACATTTCTGATACATTATTCCTAACCATGTTCAACAGAATGCACGGTCATATATAACTCACCTGCGAGGGTGCAGGCCACACCTGCGAAAAGGAAAGACAGTATCATCGCCGGGCCAACCTTGGTCGCTAGTTCTCCTGCCATGATGTAGACCCCCATACCCAGCATGGAACCAAGGCCGAGGAAGACCAGATCATGGAAACGTAAGATTCTTCTGAGACCACTGTCTTCTATGTAAACGAATTCTTTTTTCCTTGTGAGTGCTTCGATGAGGCTGGACTGAAACATTGGATCATACAATTATTTCTAATTAAAAATCAATGTACAATGTTCAATGCTAAATTCCATACATACATTGCTATAATATACATAATTTAAAAATATATTATTGCATTATCTTAATCCTATTTAAATCTAATAAAAATGCAATAATAATAACAAAATTAATCATTTCCAAAATACAGTCCTTAATTATTTCATTAACTAAGTAATACGTTTAGTAATGTATATATAATAAAGGTATTAAAATGATCCGCACGAATTTGAATATTTTTAAAAATCAGGTTCATATTATTTTCATTTCAGTGGCTAGGAATTGAAAACTTCTTCTTTTTGGTAGATCTCTTTCTGCTAATTCTAGCGCCGAAAATTCTCAATCCATCGCAGCGATTCCTTTCGATCTGATATTAGCTTCCTCATTTATTGAAGGTTTTTTCTTCTCTCTCCCTCCTACTTCAGTATATATTTCTGATAAGAAAATATACTCTCAGTTGGTCGAGCTTACATTGCATTCCGAGGTTCATTCTCATCCTCAATGCGACATACATGACCAAACCACTTCAATTGGCGATTTATAGAGGTCTTTAGCTCTATCACGTCCATGCGCTTCCATTATCCGCTCATTCCTGATTCGACCTCTCCTTGTCTTTCCAATGGCCCTTCGCCGAGGTATTTCATCTCAGCATGTCACCAGGCTGATCAGTTTGTCTATAAGAAGAGAGGGTTGCGAGTTTTGTTGATTGAAATTTCATCAACAAGAACTACAGTTGTAGGACAACATAGTAACATAAAATTTAAGTTGAGACTTTTTTCCTTATTACACTTTTGCAGCCCTGAAAGTAACTTTTTTTGTTTATTTTCATGATTTTTTTTAAACCACTTTGCTTTATTTTTAAGTAATGTACTGATCAAGAGAAATGTAGAAAAAATACTCTAAATTATTTCAGTTTTTATTTTGGCTTGATATCTACAAAATAACCAGAGTTATAGGCACTTTCCCAAAATATGTTTTCAGTAAAAAAAATATGGTGCGCGCAACACACAACTTTCACTTACCGATCTACTTTGAATAGAAATTATTTTCTGGCAATGCTGGGATATTATAAATTTTTTTGAAGTGTATTTTAAACGGAGCTAAAGCTTAAAGCTTCCAGATAACAATTCATTAAGAACATTATAATTACAAAATGTCTATTTAATATATCAACAACAGGCAATAAAAATCTAGTCACTCCACCTGCTTTTATAAACCACACAACTTTCTTTGTTTTTATAAACTTCAGAATGACTAACACCAATTTCAATATTTTTAAGTGATTTCATTTTAGTGATATTTTTAGTTGAAAAAGTTATCTATCTATGTAGAATATGAGTAAGTTGATTCCGGAGGTGGTGATTGCAATGTTGAAATATAGAACTGAGAATGAAGGTATAAATTTAGGTACTTATTTCTTATGAAAAATTTTCTTAGGAAAGATACATTATTAAATATCTGTAGAAAAAGGTTTTTTTAGTCTCAACAATTAAAAAAGTATATTTTAAATTTATCCAAATTTTCGCCTCTTCAGGGAAAAAAACTAGAGACCATATATTTCGTCCTAGTTGTCCGATCTTAACGATTTTGCTTAGATTTTTTAGGAAATTCCATAAACTTTTAAAAAACCATTTACAATATCCCGTAACTTTTTTTCCAGCTTCTTTGCATTGAAGTATGTTATATAGATAAATTTAAAGGGTGTCGAGAAAATGACTTTAGCGAAGTTTCATTGAAATCGGTACATTCGTTTAGGCGCTACCTACAGTCTATAGCAACGCAGGTTTTTCTGCATTTTTTTTTCTCCTTTATTAACTTATCAAATTCTTTCAAAAGTTATATTTAGCATTTTTTTCATTACTTTGAATAATGTGAAATGATTAACTTTTTAAAATAGACCAAAGGTACTTTTTTAAAATAGATCAAAGGTACTTTAGAGGAAGACGTATATGAACATTGGGCATTTAAGCTCTGTAAAGTGACATCAATGGAGATAAGACCTAATTGATATTAAATACAACTTAATTATACAATGATACAGCGAGTTTAATCAAAATCGTTAGAGCCGTTTTTGAGAAAATTGTGAAAATGTGTTTCCGCGTTGATATAAAGTGGCACTTCCGATTAGCCGATTTTAAGGAAAAAGTTGCCGTCACATCTAAGGCATATACCTATCTTAAATACGTAATATCAGTTTCGTAGGACTTTTCGTTTTTGAGCTAGACTGCTAACATACAAACACACAGACACAGACCATTTTTCGGGACTTGGTCATTTCGATTCAGGCTACCTCAAAACGTCTATTTCCGTTGAAAACTCAGATTCAAAAATTTTCTCGATCGCAATACTTACCCTTACTATATATTACATATATATGTAAGTGGAAGTGAAAAATTAAACATGACCGCCGAGAAAAAACTGTGGGATTCAATTTTTTTTAACCACGGTTTTGAACCCTCAGATAAACTTGCAATAACTAGTAAAACAATGATTAAAATCAAAAATGTCAAGCAACATTGTCTGAATGGTTTCAAATGGAATGACCCAGTAATGACCTGAAATAATACGTTGATTATTCACTTAAAATACAAAATAGTCTAAAAAATAATATTCATAATTTCAAAAAACTTATCTTACAGTCAGAGATAAATAAAACATATGTCTATAACATTTATTGGTTTCATAACTCTAAATCCGATAATATACAATACAATACATTTTGAACGATTTCTTCCTTATTGAAAAGATAGAATAAATGACCCATTTCCAAGTCGATTGAAGTTGTCATCACCCAGCTTTCGAAAATTTTTTTTTTATGTAGTTAGCTTGACAATTTTCCACAACAAGGACATAAGCAGATGATGTGATAGGAATTGCGAAAGTAATGACATGTCAGGTGTGAAGAATGTGATTCAATCACCTAGATTTGTTAAGAAATATGATCTCTCATACAGCACTTTTTCACTCTCCTTGTATTCATGATCATATCAACTGTAGTGATATTTCTAACTGATATGATCGTACTTCTGTTTCAATTAATATAAAACCGTTGGTAATGAGTCCTTATGTGTTTTAACACATAACTGTTGGAATTTGAATTTTAAATAGAATTTTTAATTAAAATTTCTCTTTACTCTTTTGATTGAAAAGAGGTTCAGATACTCTAACTTATATGGGCATTCCAAATTCTTTTTCTTAAACAAGGTTTATCACCAATTTCCATTGCTCTATGAAACAATGAAATTTTTTTTTTAATTATTACATGAAATAATTATTGGATGAAGGTGAGGATTCGATAATGATGTAAGTAGACATTTTATTCATATTGTTGATTTTTTTGGGAAATTTAGAGATTTTTCTTTTATGTGCTTTACATTTTTTCATTGGTATTTGATGTATTTAATCGTATTGTAATATTTTAGACAAAAAGTTCGGCTTGAAAGTGGGAAAAGGTGGCCAGAAGCGTTGTCGAAATAAATAAAATGAAATGAAAGCTTGAGGGGAGATGAAAGAGTTTAAGTTATTTCCTTAAAATTATTAATTTTATTAATTAATTATTACCTATTATTTCGAAGTTAAACTGCAAGCAATTTCTCATTGTATTTTTTTTTTATTGTTATGATAGTATTTAAAATATTTTATAAGTGCCTTTTTGATCAATGCATAGAAATTTTATTTTTAAAAGAAATTTAATGGTTTCTAAAGTTCGATATAATAAAATTCTCGATTTACAGAGTTTATCACTTTTTTTTTACTGTGAGGTTAGCTTTTTTAATTTTAGCCTCCTCGCAACTGGAGATTGGGAAGCTTTGTATTCGTATAGGAGGTTAAAAAAATGTCGACACTGAATGTTGAAAATTTTCAGATTCGAAAATTGCTCTTTAATGTTTTTTTTTTACAACATAATGGGATTTCTTTTTATCACGAGTAGTTAAATATGGAATTGGTAAGAGTGAAACTCTTGAGAATTTTTGTATTCGCTGATAATCAAAACTTCCGAGGAATTATGGTAATTCCAAAAATGGAATAACGGTAATTGTGTAGCCAATGAAAATATTGAGGAAGCTATACCGACTGACCTTACTTGGTGATTATTTTTTTTTTTATTTTATTGAGATGAATATTTTTCTGTCATGAGAAATTTTCTGTCTCCTAGTGTTAATCTACTAGTATTAAGGAAATGTGATCTTAGGTGCTCGACTATATTGTTGTTGGAATATTTTTCTGAATTAATTCATCATGAGTTTCAATATACCACATATATTTCATTTTCATTTTCATTATAATTTTCCATCATAACATAATTTTAACAACTAATGTTGCCAAAAAATAAAATTAACTTTTTAAAGGACTATAAATCTTCTGAAAAGAAGATAATAATGGCTAATGACTATAAATCATTTGCCATATTTGGGAAACAGCTTAATATCCTTTATTTAAAACAAGTTTTTATGTAACCGCTACAAAAGATTCAACATTAATTATATCATAAAGGCGACACCACAGGTAATTGTGACTGTAAAAACCGATAACAGCGAAACAAGTTGCAATCTATATTTCAGGGACACTATAATGCCATTTGGCAGATCATAAACTTACAGTGGATGCTCTACCTTTTAATATAACCCTTCATAGTTGTCAAGTATTATTGTAATTAGGTCGCTGCTATATTTTATTCATTAAAATATTTGATAACAAGATGACAACGTTAAATCTAAGGAAATGGTGCATTTCAACATAAAATTTCAACAAGCAAATGAAGTACCTCCTTAATGTAATCTGTAAAGTGCTTGGGTCCGAAACACAAAGCACACTCAAAACATAAAAGATTGCTTAGTTCTCATTAGCATTAAAAACATAAATTTATAATCTCGGTAGAACACCTAGGTAGAATACCCTCCAATTTTTTTCATTTCAACAGAAGCTCATTGTGCGTAAATAACACAACTCTACATAGGTTACTTACGAAAAACAACTATCTACCATCATAAACTTGCTTTTTATTTCCGTTTCAAAAACAAAAATTTCACACTTGTCTA